CAACTTGGCCTTGAACACTTCCAGGGGTAGATTTTACTCAAAAAAGATTCAGCAGAACTCATGAAAGTCTAATAATTTTTCATAAGCAAAAATGGGTACAATAACTTGGAAATATCCATACATCAGAGCTGAATACAGCAGCCAAGGGAAAGTGAAATTTTCACTTGCAGGGGAAGGTTGCTTCCTAACAGACCTCACAAATAACCATAAAAATAAGACTCAGTGTTAAACTCAACTCTCATCAAGAAAGTGCTGAAGAAGTTATTGCACTGACAGTAATTTCAGACTTGGATGAAAACCATCCCCCACATTGCTAGGGGGAAAAATGTGTTTCTAAGAACACATTGTCAAATACATCTGTCCTGTGAAATAAACCAAATTGCTGCGTGTGCTGCCTTCTGCTTAAACACGCTTTTCTCTTCAAATCCAAACCTGAGTCTTTCAGACAGCATGTCATGCAGAGCCAAAGCTGTGGTCAAAAAGAAGTTTTTGTGATATTTGGCACTGTTCTCTTGTTACACTTTTTTACACCTGGAGTTTGACCCAAGGTGGCAGGTTCTTCTCTGCTCCGTCTTGCAGGACATCCTTCTTCCTGATGCTGATAGCTGGCTCATCAGGAATGTCAGAGTATGATTAATGTCCCTCTGTCCAATCGTTCCCTTGTGCTTTCTACATAAAATTCATGATATAAAATGTAAAGTAGCAAGAAAAAGCCCATATTTTCAACACATAATTCCCTGCAGACCCAGCAGGATATTCTAATTCTCAGTTCAGACAAACTGCAACAGCTTTGCCAGCATCAATGTTGTTGAGTCAAGCCACACAAGGTGTTCAGATGTTAGCCCTTACAGCAAAAATCTGCTTTGTAAAGCAACTACAAAACCCAGTCTCCTGTTCATTATGTCTTTATGCTTTTCTAATCAGTTGTTCCAATTTCACAAGTCAGAAGACAAAAATCCATGTTTGTGATTTTCAGGTTTAAATCAAATCAATGAAGCTAAGCAGACTTTTTCTTAATTCAACTTCACCATTTACAAATATATTCTATGATTCTATGTTCTATAACTCTGAACCTTACTGTGAGAGACTGAGTGTGAGATTCAAGTATCCAGACATAAAAAACTTACATCATTTGACATGATACATAATCTCCCCTGGGGTCTCCCACTTAAGCTCTGGAAAGGCTTCCCTTGGTCCTACACACCTGCCAGTCCCTGTCAGTGTCTCTGGCTCAAAGGCATTGTGGATGGTGATACCCTGCCATGCACAGGCATCAGATCCTGCTCCAGAAGCTGCCAAAATGAAATCTTTATCAGGGCAGGGTTTGGCCAGTTTCCACATTAAAAGACTGAGCCATCAGTAAACTCTATTTTACTTTTGTTTTGTTTTGTGTTTGTGTTTGTTTGGTTTTGGGTTTTTTTTATATAATTTTAAATATATATATTTTAATATTATTTTAATTGCCCAGAATGTAAAATCTGTGCTTGTCTCCCAACCAGTTTTGTGGTCAGAGCACAGAGTTTGGACTTAGCTGCTACAGCATTTTTATTGTCTCTCTGGAAAAAAAAAACAACAAAACAACACAGGCATTTGATATAGCTTCCAAGAAGCAGCTAATTCAAAACTGTTTAGAAAACAAGTAGAAATTCTTAAATAATTTAACAAAAAAAAAAGAGATATTTTCCCCAAATGATCCCATTGCTTTGTTCTGTCTTTGTAATTTATTTATTTGACAGGCAACAAATTGAATGAAATAATGGTCTGTTTTCTATAATTGTAATAATTTGTACACTATATATATAAAAAAATGCCAACAATTGACAGTGGTGCCATATGTACCTTTTAAAAATGTAAATAATATATTGCCTGGCTCTCTAATGCAATTTTGACAGTATATCCTCTCTTATCACAGGACCAAACCAAAATGCAACAAAAAAAAATTAACCTATTCCTGGGTTTAAACCTCAGACTCAGTGAGCAGACCTTATGGTAATTTGCCAACCACTTGGGGTTGCAGAGACAGGAACACTGACATGCCAAAGCCACAGCTGTCCCTTATTCAAGAGCAGTTAGGAGAGAGAGTCACCAGCACCATTTCTGCCCTACCTGCCACCTCCTGCCTGTATGGTCACCTTACACAGTGCTGGACAGACAATACACACACCATCACCTGCTCAGGCACAGATCCATCTGCACCTTCTGGAGGGCAGCTTCTGACCATGCCCAGGGCTGTACTTGCTGCCCAGATGGCAGACCTAATTTGGAAAATGATCTCAGGCCACCTTTCCAAGGACTGCAAACACACACAAAATGACTGAGGCAAAAACTGTGGCAGTTTTCGAAATCCTACAAGTACACCCTCCTCTCTTACCTGTTGTTGCAGGTGATTTTTTAGGCACATTCACATAGGGCTTGCTTCTGTAAGAGGTGGCAGCTCTAGAAACCTCCCTCTGATGATTATGCCCTGAAAACTGGGTGGCTACAAACATGAATCTTGATCTGGGTCTGCAGCTCGTGTCTCATACTCTGCTCATTAGTGACAGATTCTGCTTAGTAAATGTCATTTAACTGGCTGGAGAGAAAACAAGGAAAAGAAAAAAAAAACAAAAAACCAAGAAAAAGCAGGGAAATGGCACCCACTGAATTCAGGGCACAGAGACAATCTGGGGTGTCTCCAGGAACAGACTGAACAGATAGCCATATGCTAGGGAATATGCTGGAGCAAAGGGAATTAGGTTGTGTCCCCTTTACTGGGTGGAGAATTTGCAGAGATGTAATCTATGCCTAACCCAAGCAGACGTGTCCCTTGTGCTCCTAATACAGGCTCTTGGAAATGGCTCCATCAGACATTCAAATGAAAAGGGCTTTCAAAACAACCCCTTAGATCTCCTTCAGCTGGATGACATTGCACCATCTCACCTACTGGGGATTGCACTAAATGACCCCTAAAGGTCCCTTCCAACACAAATTATTCTATGATCTCACAAGACTTAAAGACCTGAAATTTCTTTAACAGAACATCATTATGTATCTTCCTTTCACATGATGCACCAGCATGTATTGAAATCTATCCCGTGCTTGACAAATGCAGACACACACGATAAGAGAGAATCTTTAGTGACTAAGGAGTCACCATCATGACAGGAATTACATGTCACATTAGCATGGCCCAGTTAAGATGTGTGGCCTCCATAACACCTGCTCACTGCCATCACATTTACCCAAAATGATGTTTCATCCCATGATGGGAGGTGTCTCTTGAGTAGGGACCTGTTTTTGAGTAGGGAAATCTCACTCAGCCTGGACTAGGAAAAATGTTTCTCTTAAATATGTGATCAATATGTTTGCTTAATACTAAAATATAGCAAGCTGACCCAAGATGCAGTACAGTAAAAGATATACCACTGAGAGTTACTTAAAAGTGGTAAGCTTTTCACTTCATGATATTTTCCCTTTCATTGATCTTTCCATAACAAGAAACACAATAAAATCAAATCAAAGACTTTATTTGAATAGGAAATAGCAAAAATAGCACCACTGAGAGCTACATAGCAAAGACTTTGTTTAACCCTGGCATTTGAACATGTTATTTAATTTCATTTTTCAGTAATGCAGAGAAAAATTTTATCTGCTGCTGGTGAGAAAAAGGCTCCAAGGCTGGCAAATGCTTATCTCTGGGCTTTAGCCTCAGGGCCTGCTTCTGGGCTGGTTATCAACAGCTGTGGCTTCTGCTTGGGTTAGCCAGTTTGGAAGCACCATGCCATATGGTGGATGTGTCAGCAGGGCAGGGTGCCTCTTTTCTGTCTCCAAAAGAGCAGATGAGATTCCCAAACACATTCAGCACTTAGTGCCTGTGTCAGGTCCATTACTCCGATCTCTCACTACAAACTGCTTTGTGCAGAAGGGGTTTGAGAATGCAGCTGCTTTGCTGGCTGGAACAGATATCCAAGGCCTGATCACCTCTCAGGTCTGCACTTTGTGGTGGGCAAACCCTCTTGGTTAGAAGGTTTATCTCACAAATGACCTGTTGTGAAGGTCTTTTCAGACTCCATCGCCTCTTTACTCTGTCTTTGCATTCTCAGGTTGATTTTGGCAATCAGCTGATAGAGGAAAGGGCCAGTGTTTGATTTGTTGTTTTGCCCTCAAATATGATTTTCTCAATGTTTCTGAATACTTCTTTACTCTGATCCTTTTGTCAGAGATCAACATCCTCCTAGACCAGCCTGCAGCTACTCACCCACCCTCTAACTAACACAGCTTGCCAAGTTATTGTCATAGTGGATCATGCAAAACAGTTAGGTCACAGTTGGCTTCCTGAGGTTTTTAATACAAGGGGACTTTCTGTGCTGCTCTGACTGATTTTTGGGTGAGGCAGTGGTAGGGAGCTGTGCATGCACCAACAATACATATGGGATTTGGCATCTCTGAGTTGACAAAGGACGGTGTCAAAGATTTTTGCAGAGGTATCTCCCTAACAGAGGGAAGTAAGCTCCATCTGTTAGAATCAAACTTTCTGAGTACAGAAGTTCTGAGTACAGAGAGTAGCGAAGAGGTTAGATCATCTCTGTGGTCTCTTCAGGCCTTTACTATGAGATCCCACATGATTCCATAAAATGTAGCTCCTATAGGATATAGATTCACTTAGCAGCAGAAGAATGTTAAATTTAACAGGGATCTTCTTGAAAGCACACACTGGCTTCAAAACTGCCTTTCCACTGTGAGTTGCAGGTACTGGAGACCTGTTTTCCAGCTTTGGTGTGGCTTTACCTTCTTCCCCTCCATGGGGATGGCAGACAGCACCAACAATCCTGTGATCAGCCTGTGTCTCACAGTTAATGCCCCAGGCTGCAGGATTTGATTTCAGTTTAAAGGGTGCAGAATAAAGCTTTGAAAATAATTGATCAGATAACAGACAAAAAATTTGGCATTGGAATGGTTTTGCATAAACAGCTACACAATGCATTGATATTATATGCTCTTCAAAAGAGGAAAAAAACCACTTATTTGTAATGTTTTAATATGCCCTGATGTTGGAGAAAACAAAAATAAGTTCACATATCACATCAAAGATAATAATAATAATAATTATAATTCATAAAAATAATCTGACCGACCGGCAGCATTTGTTGGCTTTAGAAGGCCTCCCACAAAAGAAACACAGTTGAAGACATCTGAGAGCTCTTGGCAGGTGTGATGAATTCAAGTTTTGAAACAAGTCTGCAGGTGCTCCCTGTGTGCTAGGGCCCTTTGACATTGCTGGGTCGGGCAGCCAGGCTTGCATAGTAAGCGCACTGAGAGGGGTCACACTGTCCATTGGCTCCCGGAGGCCCCTGTGCTCCCGCGGGACCGGGCACACCAGCTTCCCCTTGAGGGCCAGGTGGTCCTGGCATCCCGTCTTTGGCATAACCAGGCTCCCCTGGGAGGCCTAAAACAGAAACAAAATGCCCTTGGTGAGTGACACCCCCGGGGTGCAGTACTCAGCAATGCAATGTCACAGGGGATGGCTTTGCTGCCAAACTGGGATGCAGACATCAGCTCCCACAGATTTGGGTTTGGCTAGGAGGTATCTCAAGGATATGACCGGAGTGTCTCTGAAGGAAAGATTTCCACTCCCTATGGCATCCTTGGGATGCAGAGCTCTGCTGTGGCTGCTCTGCCTTTATCACTACACTGAAGATGTGAAGCTGCAGGAGACAACTAATGACATATAATCCTCACAGACAGGAGGTGAGGATGGGAAAGCTGGAGGCAAGAGGTGGCTTGGGGAGATAACTCATTTGTTTGAAGCACAGTGGATCCATTGTTATTTGGAGGAAATGCAGGGCCAGTATGCCAAATGCAAACCATGGGGTTACAAAGGCTTCCCATAGTTTCTTCCCCAAGAAAGCGAGTGAAGGCAAAACTGATCAATGACTCCTAATTTGAGGTTGCAGACAAACTATATTTGCTGCTGCTTTGTCAGTAACAGAAAAGCAGGAGCTGTATGTCCAAGGCACAGGTGTTCAATATGACCTTTTGTAACATCTGAAGCTGCCTGAATCTCTGGATTCAGCTTGGTCACAACAACACTCTGCCAAGGACAGAGAAGACGCTTCACAGGGTATCTAATAATTAAAGCTTCACTTTGGATTTGACCCAAAGGTCAGTTAACTTAGCTGTAACTGAGACAGATCATTGTACCTGTCCATCAGTTCGAGTAAATAAAAGGTGGCCAGATATGATGCTAGTGATGTAGTTCTTCCCTTTGAGCCACCTTCTACAGAAACCACGTATGCTGTATTTATGTTATCCTGATTGTCTAATATGGCAGAGACCTGTGTCCTTGAAATGGTTCTGAGTGATGTGTGTTGAGGGGTGCTCTGAATAACACACCTGGAATTCCTGGAGGACCTATTTCCCCTCGTTGGCCAATGCCAGTGTCTCCTTTATCCCCCTTTGCTCCTCTTTCTCCTGTAGAGAGGGAAAGAAAAATAATGAACTGATGAGAGTAGCCTACAGAACTACAGAATAGTACTATAGGTCTTTTATCCACACTGAAGGCAGTACATTTGGCTAAAAAAGTTGCGGTCAATCCTCCAAGATTGGACATTAAGTGGGAATTAAGACTTGCCCCACTCCAGCTCTGGCCAGAGGTGGAACATACCAGTGACTGCTGGTCATATTCAACACCTCTGGTTCAACAGACTGAGGTTGCTTTAACACCTGCATTTTGAGAGCTTATTTATATGCTACTAAAAGGAGAAGGAGATGACAAAGTGGAGTGGACACACTCTTTTATTGGACTGCCTCAACACACCAAGTTTCACTCACCTTTGGGACCAATTGGTCCAGGTGGCCCTTCAGACCCAGTCTGTCCAGGCCGGCCAGGCTCTCCAGGAGGGCCAGTTCTTCCTGGGAGTCCTTCCTTCCCAGGGGGACCAGGAGGTCCTGGTCTGCCATGGGATGCTTTTACCTGTGCAGGCTGTATCTGAGCCAGGAGATAGGTTAACTTTGCTGTAAAGAGAGGGAAATGGGTTTGTTAGACTAAACGCTCTATGCTCTAAGAGATGGAGAGCCAGAACCAGGGGCCCAGAAAAGTCCAAGTATTGCCACAATTTTCAAGGGCCACTCATTTGTTTTCCCCACACAGTCGTTTCCCATAATCCATGATTGTGCCCCCCTGGTCTTCTCTAAGTTATTGAAATCTCATTTCTCGATAGCTTCAAATTTCTCCTAAATTTCATACTTTATACTAAATTTATCTGTCATCCTCTACTTCTTGTCCTCTAAGGATCTTTCTTTATCAGTGAAACTGTGATCATTGCAGCTCTGAAAATAAGAGCCTTTTTCCACTGTTCTGTTACACGGAGTGAGATGCTACATAGCTGGTGTGTAGGGAGAAAGCTGACTTTTCTTGTTTTGGGCTGTTACATACATGGAGTTAAAGCTGATGTACCCATCTCTGGCTGTGAAGTCAGAAGCTGTAACTAAGCTTCCTTTGACAGTGTATTCTGCAATTTCCAAGCAGGCACATTGCTTGCCATTTCAGTGCTAAGACCCTGAATGACTGTGCTGGTTTTGGCTGGGGTAGAGTTAATTTTCTTTACAGTGACTGGTATGGGAGTAGGTTTTGGATTTGTGCTGAACACAGGGTTGATAATATAGAGGGGGTTTTTTTATAGCTGAGCAGAGCTTACATAGAGCCAAGGCCTTTCCTGCTTTCTTTACTGCCACGCTGGCAAGGAAGTTGGGGGTGCGTTAGAGGTTGGGAGGAGACACAGCTGAGACAGGTGATCCAGACTAACTAAAGGGATATTCCAGACCATATGGCATCATGCTCAGTATATAAAATGGGAGGAAGAAAGAGGAAGACGGGAGATGTGGGGAGTGATGGCATTTGTTTTCCCAAGTCACCGTTACTCACAATGGGGCCCTGATCTCCTGGAGATGGCTGAACACCTGCCTGCCCATGGAAAGTGGTGAATGAATTCCTTGTTTTGTTTTACTTGTGTGTGCAACTTTTGCTTTGCTTATTAAACTGTCTTTATCCTAACCCACGAGTTTTCCAGCTTTTACCCTTCCAGCTCTCTCCCTGATCCTGCTGGTGGGGGAGTAAGTGAGTAGCTGCATGGGGCCTGGTTGCTGACTGGGATCATACTATGAAAACAATCTAGAGAGCTCTTAAGATATACTCAGCATCACATAAGCATCCTACAGAATGGAGTTTTCTATCTTCTCTTCATTGGTCCTAAATCTCAAATGCTTTTAGATTGGCATGGATATTGAAGTCTGAGAGTGTGTAAATAAAATCCATGAAATAGATTACTACATTGAATCATGATCTTTAGCATGGAGGAAAACGCCTGCAGCTATGTGTCAGCTGCTTCAAGAGCTGTGTGAGAAGCACTACAGCTCTGCATCTCAGTGTTGATGGAGTCAGTAGCAGTCTTCAACTCACATACTTTGAGAGAAACAGCAGCCCACATCCACTCCAGCCTCTCCTCATACCAACGAGTATCAAATGTCAGGCAGAAATCAGGAACATTTCTTCTCCAGCTGGGACCTCAAAAGCAGGTTTACATCCTACTTTAATTACTTTCTGTGCTTGTGCTGGGAACATCAAAGCTTGGGGACCAGTAAAGCACATTTCATCTTACACACTCCTCTTTCCAGGCAAGCCTGTTGCAATATTACCTTCCATAAGCAGGAGATGTTCAGGTGCCAGCACAGCTATGGAAAGCATATTTTGTACTCTCAGATACACCTCCTGGCTTCCCAGAAGTGATTACTTACCATCTAGCTGCTTGGATAACTCCTCTTGGATGAGCCTTCTCAAAGTCTCTAGAGATGGGGGTTCCCCCTAAAGAGTCAGAATTGCAGCAATGAGACATGATAATCACACCCAGGGGATCAGATAGTTATAGGATAAGGGAGAATGGTTTAAAAGAGGAATGATTTAGATAAAAGTAAAAGATAGATAATAGTAAAAGAGGAATGATTTAGATATGATGTTAGGAATAAATTCTTTACTGTGAGGGTGATGAGGCACTGGAACAGGTTGCCCAGAGAACCTGTGGATGCCTCATTCCTGGAGGTGTTCAAGGACAGGTTAGGTGGGGTTTGGAGCAACCTGATCTGGTGGGTGGCATCCCTGCCAATGTAGAGGGTGTTGGAACCAGATGATCTTTAAGCTCCCTTCCAACCCAAAACACTCTGTGGTTCTATGATGTGCAAACTAAACCTGCCACAGAGGGTTTAGCAGGTGGCATTTCATCACCCACAGCATACACAGGGCTGCAGGGTTTGCCTGAATGAAGAATATAAAGGGACTCGAAATAGAATCACAGAATCAATTAGGCTGGAAAAGACCTCTGAGATCATTGAGTCCAACCTTTGACTGAATATCACCATGTCAACTACACCATGGTACTAAGTACCATGTCTAGCCTTTCCTTAAACACCTCTAAGGATGGTGACTCCATCACTTCTCTGAGCAGCCCATTCCAATATCTAATCATCCTTTCTGTGAAAAAAATTCTTCCTACTGTCCAACCTAAACCTTCCCTGGCACAACTTAAAACTATGTCCTCTTGTCCTGTCACTGGTTTCCTGGGAGGAGAGGCTGAGCCTCACCTCCCCACCTGGCTACAACCTCTTTTCAAGCAGTTGTAGAGAGTGATAAGGTCCCCCCTGAGCCTCCTCTTCTCTAGTCTAAACAACCCCAGCTCCCTCAGCCACTCCTCACAGAATATGTGCTCCGGACCCTTCACCAGCTTCACTGTCTTCCTCTGGACCAGCTCGAGCATCTCAATGTCCTTCCTGAATTGAGGGGTCCAGAACCGGACACTGTACTTGAGGTGTGGCCTCACCAGTGCCGAGTACAGGGGAAGAATCACTTCCCTGGTCCTGCTGGACACACTATTCCTGATACAGCCATTGGCCTTCTTGCCCACCTGGGCACTTGCTGGTTCATGTTCAGCCACTGTCCACCAGCACCCCCAGGTCCTTTTCCACTGGACCACTTTCAGCCACTCTGCTCCCAGCCTGCAGTACTGCAGGGTGTTGTTGTAGTCAAAGTGTAGGACTCAGGACTTGGTCTTGTTGAAGCTCCTGCCACTGGTTATGGCCCAGCCATCCAGCCAGTTCTTAATCCAGCAGAGAGTGCCCCTGTCCAAGCCATGGGCTGTGAGCTTTTCCAGAAGCATGCCATGGGAGATGGTGTCAAAGGCACCCACAATTTCCAAACTGCTGGCAAACCATGGGATCAACGGTGTAAGCAGGGATACTGGTCTGAGGGGATAGTTGGAACACTTTTCCCATTTCCTTTCTAGAGAAAATCTCCGTCCTCCTTCCTATACACTCATAGGGCAAGTAGTAGAAATCAAATCAGGAGACATCCTCAGCCCTGCCAGATCACAGTGGAGATCCCACCCCCTTTTCCATCATGGCATGTTTCCTTGCAGAGAGATGCACATGTGCCCCCAGGGTAGTAACAGTGGGTATCTGGACTTGCTAAAAACACTCCTACTGAATGGATCGCCTGCCAAAAGGCCTTGTCTCAGGGATCAGAAGCCAGTTTATGCATATGATACCTTTTCTTCCAAACCAGTACAAGGTTCTGCCTGATTTCAGCCTCTTAAAGAGAGACAGGGAATGTGGCTTCCTGGCCTTGGCCCCCTATCCAGCCCCTAAGGCACATGTGTGACATTGCTGTTGTACAGCTGTAATAGCTGTCAAAACTCAAAGTGATGTGAACAACAACTCTGCACTGAAAAAATGATGAAAGGATTTTTGGTAGGAGGAAGGAGAATTTTTTAGGTTGGGGCTTTCCAAATAAATTAAAAAAAAAAAAGAAGAGAGGTTTTAGGGTAACCAGTCTCTTGTCCTTGCATAAACTCAAAGAAAAAAATATAGCTATATTTAAAAATAGACCATTTTAAAGCCACAAGATCAAATGTTTCCTTTGTAAATCAGAAAGTGAGATGTTTCACTTGAAATATACTTTTAATTTTTTTTGGCTAAAATTATTCTTGGAATTTCTGTTAGTTTGGAAAATACTTCTGGTCAACCTAAAGTCTTCATTCTTTTGTCTATGAGCTACTTGCATTAAAGTGTTGCTTTTCCCACACATTTATCCTTTTAACATACAAGGATGCAGTTTGTGTCCTTTATGCTTATGAAAACCTGGTGAGCTCTTCTGAACCAGAAGTTACTCTTCATTAAAAAAAGAATTGAGATTTTAATAAATAGCTAAGTAATATTTCAGTTTTAATCAATAACACTGCTGATAAGTACAGAGTTGTCTATTTGCTGCCTCCTTCCCAAGATTTTGCATGAGAAAAAGAGGTGTTCTTTGATGACAAAAGAAACAATTTTTTCATAACTACTAACCATTTGTGATGGCTCTTACTGAATCTCCCAGAAAGTAAACACAATTGTGCAGCATACTTCGAAGGTTTACAAATTATATTTTCAAGTTGTAACCCTATTAGTTGCATTGTCTCCATAATCATTACTTAATCTCGTCAAAACTTTGAGATGTTGAGATACACAAAGAAATGCTTTGTCTAAAATTTACTCAGCTTTTACATCAGAGATTATTTCACTGTTTATTCTCTTCTGAGGTGATCTCAAATTCATCCTTAGGATGGGCATAGTGGTTTCACTGATATTGGTAATTTTTCTCATTTCTGTTACATGCAGCACCCTCAGGCATTCTCAGTAGTGAGGTTGTTTCCCGTTAGGGGGAAAAAAAAAGGAAAAAAAAAAAGAGACAGAATATTAAACAAAAATAGTATTTCATGAATTCTGATGAGCTGGCTCCAGGATTTCCAGGAATAGAGCAGTGACCTTTCCACAGCTCAGCATTTTGTCTCTCCTAACAACCAGCAGCGGAGGAAGGCATTAGTTCTCCATATGAAATGCTGCACATTATTGCCCTTATAGAAAGAATTTTTTTCTGACTCCAGCGCCATGACCACAGTCACAGATCTGATTTAGGCATTCAGGGGTAAGAGGCATCAGTGACTGGCTGCCCTGGCTATGGTTCTGGACTGCTCAGCTCCCCTGAGTGCCATTCAACACCCCCACAACACTTCTCCCGGGGGTAGTGAGCCACCTGGTTTAGTGGAAGGTGTCCCTGCCCGTGGCAGGTCTTTCAACCCAAACCATTCTGTGATTCCCTGAGATGTGCTATAGCTCTCCTCAATGTGCATCAAGAGATAAAAGCTCTGCCTCCCCGTTACAACACACTCATGCTCTAGTTTCTGTCAGTCCCAATGTAATCTGAGCTGCATTTCTGATCACGCACCGTGGCAGTGAAATTACTGTACAAAGCCCTTCTCTGGAAATCTTACCCTTGGTCCTGGAAATCCTGGCTGTCCCGGAGGACCGGGAGGTCCAACTTGCCCAGTGTCTCCTGGGGGTCCATGAGGACCCATCAGTCCTGGATGGCCCTTGTGACCAGGTATCCCAGGATCACCCGGAGGGCCCTTTTCTCCTTGAGGGCCTTTTTCACCTTTGATTCCAGGCTCACCCTAAGTGAAAAGAGAGGCATTACCACCACAGAATAAGAGGCAAAATTCTGATTTCCAAACACAGCGAAACACTAAGAGCTGAGCTGGCAAAGTTACTGAATACAACATCTGGTGCACTACAAATGATCCACAAATTATTAGTGATGGAAAATGATTAAAGAGAGAGCTGGGAGAGTGGGAAGCACGGGCCATGTTTCACTCTTGAATGACCCCTACCCCCCCTGCCCCTAACTCAAAACAGCTCTCTTTATTTCAGCATAATGAAATAACTAATAATATTCTCCAACCTACCCTCTCTCCTTTGGAGCCAATTTCACCATGTTTCCCTGGTGCACCCTGCAACAAAATAAAGGTAAACATAAAAGATCTTTCCATAATAATAGTAAATAATAAAACACATACCTTTGCAATGATTCTTGTGAGCTGATGAAAATTTATTTCCCTGATGGTCCCACAGTTTCCCAAGAGCTCCCCACTGGCTCTCAATTATCAACAATTCAGAAAAAAAAGAAGCATGACAAGCAGGTCAAGGGAGGTGATTCTCCCCCTCTACTCCTCTCTGGTGAGACCCCACCTGGGGTAGTGTGTCCAGCTCTGGTGTCATCAACATGAGAAGGACATGAACCTGTTGGAGCAAGTCCAGAAGAGGCCACGAAGATGCCCAGAAGGCTTGAGCACCTCTGCCATGGAGACAGGCTGGGAGGGCTGGGATTGTTCAGCCTGGAGAAGAGAAGGCTCCAGGGGTGTTATAAGAAAGATGGGGACAAACCTTTTTTCAGGGACTGTAGTGACAGAACGAGGAGTAATGGCTTCACAATGAAAGAGTGCAGGATATTAGGAAGAAATTCTTCACTGTGAGGGTGGTGAGGCCCTGGCACAGGTTGTCCAGAGAAGCTGTGGATGCCTCATCTCTCGAAGTGTTCAAGGTCAGGTGGGACAGGGTTCTGAGCAACCTGGTCTAGTGGAAGGTGTCCCTGCCTGTGGCAGGGGGTTGGTACTAGATGATCTTTAAGATCCTTTCCAACCCAAAGCATTATATAAAAAAATCAATTTGTTGAGACCCAGGTGGCATCCTTGATGTTTTTTCACAAGACACCAACCTTATTTTGAAACAACTGGAAATTTAACTTACCTCTTTTCCAGGAGGACCCTTCTCTCCTGGTTCTCCCTAAGACACACAGAAAGTTCATTTAGCAGCACACTGGAAGGAGTAGGAAGACTCTACCTAATAACCTTAAACCTTGTTTTCTGCTAAGAACACAAGTATTCTGCACAGCAGCAGGTTTGGATTGATTTATCCTTAACATACTGCTATTGGTCATGCCTGGCAAGACACATCCTATTTAGAAAGCACTTTTCAGTAATGTTGCATCCCATGTAAATGTGAATAACAGGAAATAATTTCTAACAAACCAGCTGAGAGCAGGACAGATGTTTCACCAAAAGCGTGTTCCTGCTTTCAACAAATTTTGTTCCTTTTTCTTACCAACACTTCACAAAACTTCATACACTTCATAAGGTCTGGTTTAACTTAAGCAGCACCAGTATCATACCTGTAACATTCTAAAGATGTATGTCAAGTGAATTTTGTAGGTAGAACTACCATCTTGTACTATACCAGCTGAAACAACACATACAGAGCCAGTGATAAAGGAAGTTCAAGCCTGACATCTTGCTTTTCTTTCAGAACTATATTAAATAATCCAAATTTGAATAAGCACCCTATTCAAATTTTTTCTCTATATTTCTCAAATTATTTTCCCTGCATTTATAGTGTGATAATTAGACAGTACATTTTGCACTTTACCATTTCAATGAAAAAATGTCACTGCAGTCCCAAAGTGCAGATAAAGCAAAGCAAACCTTTATCTAGTTATTGCTGAAATTCTGTTCACTTCCTCATATCATGAATGGAAAGATTCATCTTTGTAGCCCATTTTCAACCAACAGACATGGTCATATCTATAACGTGTATGCAGGTGGTATTTTCCCCATAACCTGGAAACATAACATCTTGGGCACTGCTAGAGCTAAACACGTATCCATGAGTAATGGAACTAATCACAGATGCCTCATCACCTCAGCTCCTAATTAGGCAGCATCAGACACACTCGGGCGTTCCTTTGGGCCACTTCAGTTTTAGATGACCACCATGTTTGCTGCTTTAAATTAACTGTACAGCGAAATATTTCTTTCTTCTCTTTTCATCACACAGCTCCCTTTCAAATTATAAAATAAAATAAAATATAAAAAAATACAGAAGGAAAAAGAATCATCCTGTGGAATATTCAGCTTTGCTAGAGTCACATCTTTTATATCTCATTTTTAACCCAACAAATCTAGAAACAGAAATATTTGCCTAACGTTCACCTTTTCCATCCTTCCAATGGAATTTAACATGTTTTACTTGCCTTGCGAGGGCTAAAGATAATGGATTTTGAGGCTGTGATCTTTTCACATGCATAGGTATTATTTTAGATCACTTTGGGAGATATATGAGTGCTTTAATTACAATATACCTCTATTGCTGGCAACAAAGGAATTTTCCTTGGAACAGCAAATATCAGAAACACCTGTATTATTATCACTCACAATTTCCCTATTTAGTCCACCTGGGGTTCCTGCAGAGATATAGTCTGAGAAATTAAATACCCCATACCCATATTAGGAAGACTATTGAACCAGTTTGATTAATGCACACATTATCTGACTGAAAAGTACCAGCTCCATAAATGAGATTTTGGATATTCATCCATATGAAAAATGGTATTTTTACAGTCCAGTTTCCTTTGGAAGTGAAATTATATGGCTTCTGGATTTTTCAGATCTCCTGCTTATGTTTTTTTTTACCTAATTGAAGGTGACTGTGTCCCATCTTTATCAGGCTAATATTTAAAAGCAGGTAACAAGAGGGTCTAATCCATTCCTACACATACTTACAGGTGGTCCTCGGGGTCCTATGAAGCCAGGGAGTCCTGGGCTGCCTGTTTCTCCTTTATTTCCTTTGGGACCCTTAGGACAGAAATGAGACAGACACTAGCAGCCCTTTCTGCAACATCTCTTTTCTAGAGTATGCATTTACAGATACACTGGAACGGGAAATTTCACTGTAGCAGCAGGACTGCTAAAACTGACAAGGAAAGGAAGAACAAAGTAATTTAGAAAAGCAGGTTTCAAATACCATGGTTGCATTTTTAATAATCTATGCAGGGTCCCTGGAAGAAGATGAAAAGGAAGGGACAATTATGGCAGGGACAGGAGGTGTGTTCTGTGGTTGTTCTGGTGTCACATGGTTTATAAGGGGTGTTGAGAGTGGAAATGCCGTGATGGGTGATGACAGGGAAACAGTGCAGGTGGTCGTACTGCTCAAATCCGAGAATACAACACACAGACAGATACAGAGCTCCTCTTTTGCCATTATTTCCAGGTTAAATTTATAAAATGTCTGCCTTTCACTTATCTCTTGTGATATTTTGTCAAAGTATCCTTTTTCCTTACTGATCAGGGCAGTTTAAATGGCAGTTCATGATACAGAACCATTTCACGCAACCTTCTTATGCAATTTTAACTCTTATTTTAACCTTTTCTTTCACAACTTTGTCCTCTGTCTCCTAATTCAGAACATAGCCCTTTTTCTTCTTAGAGTAAAACTTGTGTAGAGTGAGCACCAACTAGCTTGGTAGGCACAAAGCACATGGATTTTGTGTATGCAACTAGCCCTGGAGTCTTCAGGGGCTGGGCTGTGTTGCTGTGTGCAGGCTTAAGCATGAACACTGTAAATTGGGATGGGCACTGTCAAACAGCAGCTGCAAAAGGAGAAGGCTCCTGGCAAGTTTTACCTTTTGATTACAAGTCAGCAGTGGTGAAGGTGGAACCCCCCCACCACCCTTAATGCCATAATAACCTTTCTCACATCTCCTTTTCCTCAAAATAGAAATATAAAATATTGGCTTGTCACACCACATTGTGAAAGAAATTAGTGCTTTTCAAAATAAATGGATTCATGTACAGCACAAGGAAATACTTCCCATAATAACCTTTATGAAAGGGAGAGGATTCATTTTAATGACAGAAAAGGATACTGATGAGATGACTGTCTGTTCTGCTGACCAACACTGTCTCATTGTTTCCCCTTTCTCATCCATCTGACTTTATCCTTTTTCAATCGCCTATGTTATTTTTGGACTCTAAATCCTCTGGAGCAGAGGCTGCTGTGGTGCTGTGTTTGTGCAGGAAGCTGCCTGGTGAGTCCCTGGGTCACTTGCTGATGGTCTAGGTAATGTGATAACACTATGATGATTAAAAAATAATCCCCATTTGGCATTCACAAGGCATCCCAAAGCCACAGCGACCTGGTGAAGACCCAGAAAGTAAAGAAGGCAGTGATAGGAATTGGGAACAGGGATGGGTGAAATGAAAAGAAGAAAAGAAGGTATAAAATGCAACAGTGAGGAACCACGGGGTAAGAAGCAATGACAGCAGTTCCAGGAAGGTAAGAAGAACTTATGTCAAGGAGAAAAAGCTGTGGCACTTATTTTTTGATCCAGAAAGGCTGTGAGACTGCACCATACCTGTGCCACCTGTAACCTGGGAGTTTCCCCCTCCCCAAACAGAAAAGTGACATTTGCTTTTCTGAGACATCCCTGCACCAAGCAATGATTGATCAGGGCACAAGTCTGTGGAGAGGCTGGGATGGCTTTATGACACTGCAAGGGCCACAGAGAGTGAAATCCTGCTGCAATTTTTCAGATTCCTCCTGCTCTGGCCTTTTTTCCCCTCTGAATCCAGCAGTCCAGCAAGCTGTACTGTCTCCATGAGCAAAGAGAGGGAAGAGCCCTGCATTGCGATATATTCTACTAGACACAAAGGTATATTTGCATGGATTTGATGAATTCTGGACAGTTTTCAGCAGCAGAGCAGAGTAAAAAAAAAAAGAAAAAACCCAACAAAACAAACCACCAGCTCCTCACTGTCCTCCTTACAGCCCGTCATTACCAAGCTGTTCTTCCCCACAGGATGGCCTCAGGGGAGTTTCATTCTGCTTCATGATCTTGGTTTACTGCCCGCTGTCTGCTGTTTCCCCAAGTGCCTGGGGAGGATTTTTCTGCTGCTGCTGTTCCTCGATGGCAGCCTGCCAGCTCCCCGAGGCCCTTTCCTTCCTTTTGACAACTCTCTGCAGGCTGCACGCTCTCTGCTTGGCAAAATTAAATCTACTGGTGAAGATGGGGCATGCCAATCTCCTTTCCATACCAGGTAATCAATCATTTCCTTTTGCTGTGAACACTTAGCTCTCACTGGAAAAAATGATGACCCAGTTAGAATCTCAATTCCAGGAATGTAGCCAAACTCTCTCCAAAGTCATGGCCAGCAAAGTGGTTTTTGGATCAGTGATCTTAAAACATGGAAACTTCAGGAATGGTAACCAACTACACATAATCCACTCCACCTATGCTTCCTCAGTCACCTGTCCTTGCTGCATGAGCTTCCTTTTGTGATACTTACTGGGATACCTGCTGGGCCAGGTTCTCCTGCAGATCCAGGCAATCCATTCTTGCCCTGTGTCAAAAGGAAAAAGGTTAGTGACATAATGTATTAAAAATATCCACCTAGACCAGCAGGGATTTCTTTAGCATTGTTCAATCTCCTCTCCTGACAGACTGTGGAGTGTCTTATTTGCAATTGACCCCACAACTTCTGCATCCCTAATTTGATATGTCTGATCCCATCTCAGGAAAAAATTGAGACTTGGACCCAAATTCTCTTGTCTGAGGAGGACTAAACCAGCACTTCTCCTCCTCCTTTCCTCCGCCTTTGTCCCTATCATATGTAGCATCCTCCAGGATGGATGGGGCCACCAACCACAGCTGCTCCAAATCACTAGTGTTCAGACAAGCCTTTTTTATGGTCTCAGGCTTCTCTTTCTTTGGGAAATGGAGAGAAACACTTGTTCTAGGGCCTTGAAGTGTTTGATACTTACCTGACACCAGACAATTCAGAATGAGCCTTTAAAAGTGCCTGTTTTTCACTGTTTCTTAAAAAAGGAGTTGAGCTGGTCATCTACACAGACAAAAGTTTGATGAGATGAAGTTCTACACCACTTGCCACGCAGGGGTGCTTTTCCCCTGCATTGGAGTTGACCATAAAGGCCAGCCCTTGTACTGGCAATATTGAAAATCATGACTCACAGTCCTTGTTAGAGAAGAAACAAAGCAGAGGGAGAACAAGAGAAACTGATACTTTGCCTTCCAACATACATACCCTCAAGTATCTCTTCTCCAAAGAGTTATGATAAATTTTATCTCTTCAAATATTTTTACTCATGGCCAGTGTTGTGCAGGGACATGACATGTTAGTGAGTGATGCCAGCAGTACAGGAATAATGAGATGAATTACAAGGTAAACACAGGAGCCTTCCATATGTTCCTGCAGTCTAATCTAAGCCCCAACCCTCCCAGGTTGGAGGGACCTGCCAGTCCACCTCCTGGCATTGCTGGCTGAATCAGCATTTTGCCCTGATTATAGAACATGTTGTAGAATCTGTTTATCTATTAGGTCTCACAAAAAGGAAAAGAACTTACTCATTGCATCACATTAAAGATGTGCCGAGGTTCAGCAACAGAGACCTCCATTCAAATTTGAGACGGGTTCATTTTAAAAACCAAATTTTAAACCCCATTAAATTAATAAAAGTAATTTCTGAGCCATCCCAAATGGCACTTTTTGAAATGTCAACTGAATTGCCATTTCTCCGCTGAAGTCATAATAAAACTGTGCAAGTGAAAAGCATCACAGCTGGACCCCACATTCCTCAACCTGGGCACCCACAGTTAGCGTCTATCTTTGAAAACTGAGACCATGTGAGGAGTGAGTGAGATTCTAGAGGCAGGACTGGAAAATGAGCATTTCTGACACTGAAATCCTGACAGAATCCATTAAACTCTTCTTCCCACTGAGTCAGCAACCATCAGTCCGTTGCAACATTCTGTCTTTATCAGTTTCTAGCAATATCATTCTTATTTGTCTTTCTCAAAGTAAGAAAAGGGTTTTAATTAAGCATCATCTGAGTCTTCCTGAAAACTATTCCTTCAAACCACAGTTCTGGAATGCAGAACATCCCTGCCACACACAATGTATGGACACCCCACTCTGGAAGTGTTCAAGCACAGGCTAGATGGGGCTCTGAGCAACCTGGTCAACTGGAAGATGTCCCTGCCCAGGGCAGGGGATTGGAACTAGATTATCTTTAAGGTCCCTTCCAATCCAAACTATTCCATGAACTATAATGTACCTCCAGAAATGACTTGTCAGAAGAGAAAACTTACCGGCTGCCCTCGGAGTCCTCGAGGGCCCTGTGGTCCTATGGGACCAGGATCACCCTGAAAGGAAGGAAAGTATTCTGGTCAGTGAGAAAGATCTGACATGGAGGCAGGTGAACAAACATTTTAAAATGTTCCTTATAAATTACACTGTTCACATATCAAGGAAAACCATTAAGGGAGTCTCAGTTATTTATGAGGAAGACCAACCTTTTGAATTTTAAACATCTGTCACTAAATGCAGCCTCATTTCAGGCAGAAACCATTTTTATCAGATTATCTTAAAGCTGTATTTCTCAGGGACAGAGAGTCTCTAATAGTTCTCAAGAATTGACTACTCTGTTCTCTCTCCACAGAGGCTTCAGAGCTACTTCTATCTTCTCTGATAGGTTCCTTTAGGTCTGTCTTACATTTTGCTTTGTAGGGTACCATTTACAGCTCAACAGTTTCCAGTGATACAAGGGGGTGCAAATGAGAAGCCACTTCTCCAGGTCCCCTGGGAGTGGCACATCAGCTGCTCGGTACATTTTTCAGCAGTCGCTGAAGGATCCCACGTCAGCAGTGCTCTCCCAGGGCTTTGTTATGTGGCTGCACTTCACACTAATAGTGCCAGAGGATCTGTTTGTACCATCTCTCTTTCTTCTGAGCAGCAGCATCTTATTCCATAGGTATTTCATAGATTTCAGTGGAGCAGCACACTCAGTCAGGTACAGCTGTGGCAGAGGAAGCGTGACAGAACTCGGCCCAGTGGGACCTGCAGGATGAAGCACTGCTTGGAGAAGGATGGCAGAAGGCAGGTCCATGACTACCCAGCATAGCCTGGGTTTCACACAATGTTGCTCTCTCTGCTTTTTCAGATATATAGCTGACATTTTAGTGTCAGTAACTGAGCAGTGACAAAGGCCCTCTAATTCTTTGTTTCCCCTAATGATCATTACACAAATCATTCCCTGCAATAATTCACCCTTTATTGCAGTTCCTGCAGCTGTTTCAGGTCAGGGTCACTGTGAATTAAAAATTTCATTTTTCAGGGAGAAGGAGATTCATTTCTGCTCAAAATGGTAAACTTACATCCTTCCCTGGTGGCCCCTCACGACCAGCAGGACCCATCACACCTGGCTCCCCCTGCAATTCAGCAAAAAGGAAAGAGGGATCAGCTCAAGGTCAAATTCAGACCAGTATCACCGCTGTAACTGGTATTGGGTTTCTGCAATATTGGACTGAGCTCATTGAAAACTTTTTTAAAGCCAGCAAGAGCCTCGTTCATCTTATATGACATGAAGCTTATAAAAATAACTCAGAAGTATCTCCTGTAAGTGATGCACAAGGCAGTGCATAATCTGCTTTCCAGCAGATTATTTACTACTGCTAGTGCAGCCACTGAAAACCACCAACATATTCATGATACTGAAGCCATCATAATGAGAAAGAGATGAGGAACTCCAGCACTGTATTTTTCAGCTAAGTTTCTGCAAGCAGAGAATTTTATTTCCCTGTAAAAAGGCAGAATTAGGTGGAAGAATATTCAGTTTTGTATTCTACCTTTTACACCAAGAAGCTCAGAATAGAGTGGAGAACAATTTTTTGGGCAGGACTTGAGGTTTGGGGTTTATGATCCCCAGGCAACTAAGTCAAAGGGACATTTCTATTCACATTTCTGTAAGTTTTCTACTTAAACTTATGTTACACTTCTTCAGCATCTTTGGAGGAGAGCTAGTACTTGTCCAACAAGTGCAGAAGGGTTCCTCAGCTTGTAAGTCAGCATTTGTACCAAATGAATGTGTTGTGGAGGCATCCTTGAGGCTCCCTCACAAAGGGTTATGTCAAAGGGAGCATCAGAGAACTCAGCTCTACCAGCTGCCCCTCCTAACCCAGAATCAGAAGTTCAGCAGATGGAATGAAGACAGCTGCTGTCATTTTGTGCCATAGATGTGGCCCATGGAATCATAGTAGAAAACAGCCATGTTAAACGCTGTCATCATTTTTACTTTATCATTTATTGCCTCAGAAAGCACAACTTCAATTTGCACCATCTTTCTGGTGCATGAGGTACATATTACTTACCCGGGGACCTGGGGGACCCATATCTCCTCTCTGCCCTTTGAAACCCTATGCAAGACAATGAAATCAATAATTATCCATCACCCTGATACATGAAACACTAAGAAAACTTTAGCTTGAATGTTTACTCAGAAGCCTTCACAATTTTTTTCTTAAAGTTACTGTGGACCACTCAGCATAGAGCAGTCATGTCACAGGGAGTAATTAGGAAGGGCCGCATCACAGGGAAAGCTTTCCATACCTCCTTAGGTGGTAAAACCAAGACTCTGGTCTATGTAACCCTGGTTTGACCAGCCAATAGATTATTTAACCCTCTTTCAGAGGAGGCATAATAGAACACAATGGCTACACCTCTGACTGTGCCTTCTGGCAGAGGGATTGCCATGAAGTTATATGCTTTAACTCCTAGATGAGGGATTTACTCTAAGTGTGAAGGATTGGAAATGTCTGTGTTCTATTTTTGTTGCTTATTTATGCATTTATTTAGTCACAATGCCATGCATATGTTTGCATCAGTAAAGGATGTCATCTGCCCAACAAACTCTTCCTGACTACAGTTCAGAGGAGTGAGGGGATTGAGCCCTTCAGAGCAGCACCTACCGGTAAACCTCTGGCACCCTCCTGGCCTGGGAGCCCTGGTTCTCCAGGCTTTCCCTGTAGGAAACAATCATATTCATGTTAGTGAGAGTTTCAGGCCCATTTCTCTGTTGTTGAAAACTTCCCACCTTTCTCCCTCAGACATAACATCACTGAGAACTGTGGTTGCCCAGGGTTTATCCAGCAATGTCTGAGCACACGGGGAGGTGAGCAGTGACAGACATTCCCATGCACGCACCAGCCTGTACTGACATCTGCACTTTGAGGTTTGGAGGCAGTTTACACCTCTGGATTGGTGCATCCTTGCAGTGTTTTAATCTCAGAGGGGCAATGCACAGAGCAGCACCAATACCTAATCAGCACATGCAAAATCAGCATCTGCACAGAGAAATTGGGTGTTTTGGTGGAAACACAAACTGTCTGCAGCTGCTGTGACAAGCACTCCTCTACAGACCAGTTGTCCTCATGACTGGGAACTTGGCTCTTTCCAGAATCACTAAGTCCCGTTTCATGAGTCACAGAAAGGGGCTGGCAATGCCTGATACTAGAAGCACATTCTTCACGTAACACACACAGTTGCCAGAAATAACATTCACTGCCAAAATAATTAAGATTTCCTTTTAGCTGACAACTTCATGGCTCAGGTTTTTTGCCTCAGCAAATGAAAGTATAGACTAAGTAGAGAAAGTCAAATATAAACCCTCTAATTCTAGCCTCTAAAACAGAATTGTCTCAGAGCAATCCAGAAGAAGCTTCTTTAAAGACATCTCCTCTAAACTTTTTATACCCCATAAACTTCTACCTAAAAGATGGATTACTGGGTTTAATGTTACAAGACAACCTTCTTTCTCTGCAGTGTTTACAGTAGTTGTAAAAGTGGAGTCACTAAGTTTTAGTGTATTTATGGTAGTTGTAAAAGTAAAAGTACCCAGAGTTTGTCAAGATTGCTCGTGTGTGACGCTTATAAATTGTTCAAGACAATATGGTCCTTCTGGTGTGAAAAACAGACATGCAAACAGGCTCCTTGTTCCCCCTCAGGAGTCCGTAGACAGGCAGCTCCAAAAAAAACAACTGGGTGGCTCTGATTGCCTGAGCAAAATGGTTTTAAATTACATTACCGGTTCCCCAAGAGATCCTGGTTTGCCATCTTTGCCATCATTCCCAGCAATACCCTGTAAATGGAATGCAAAACAGGGTATAAAGAATCGACAGGGAAGATTGGTGGTATTTTTGTTAGCATGACAACTCTGCTCATCATGACGTGCTTATGTTTGCCTAAACCTCCAAACCCCACCCTGCTTCTATAGCTCAGCCATAAACCTCTCCCTGCCACACTACTGTAACAGCATAAACCATTTCCCTTTCTAATATGGCAAGTTTAAGGGGTTCCTCCTTTCCAGCAAGGTGAGCACTTTACCAGTCTTAAAACAGCATTCTAAAAACTGCTGTTATAAATCATTATAATGCTATTATTTTGATTGAGGTGGGCTACTTTATACTAGAAATAGTTCTAGCTCTATCTCTATGTCAGATTATAAAACTCCCAAAATGTTGTATTATTACATTTGCCAGAAAAGAGGAGTCTATGCCCAAGATGCACTTGAACTTGAGCCAGTGCAAAGGAATAATTTTGACTTTGGACTCAGATAAAGTCAGTATTTCAGTCTCTGAATTCTTGTGCCCTTACACTGGAGTTATTAGTTGATTTTTTTTACTCTGCATAAGAGTATTTCTTTCAATGAGGAGATAGATAAGGAACAGACTTGATTCATGTTGCTAATTGACACTTTATTTTGAAGTGATCAAATACACCATTCACACTATCCTGGACCAAGGACATTGTATCAGCATTCAAAGCACCTCAAAGGTGTCACCTCTTTTACATACCTACGTCTGTATGAAGAGTTTAATGTACTGAATAAGAAGGAGCTTAATTGTACTCACTGGAAGTCCAGGCAGCCCTGGTGGGCCCTGTGGACCTGGTGGACCATCTTTGCCCTGGAAGGAAAGAATAAATACTGTGGGTCAGATCTTCTGTCAGATGATTTATCACATATAGTTTGACCAGGGACAATTGTGAGAAGCTGGTCCTGTAGCCCATGTCACAGAGCCTATGAGGTTTTCTTTAATTCCTTCTAGTTTAAACTGGAGGGCTCTCTTTTCAGCTAAAAAATTCTGTATTAACTATGAGTTCTTACAGATTGGGAAACCACTGAAATCACTGGTAATTTTTTTCTGAAGTTAGTTATATTTAATATTTTGTCCTTAACTTCCTGCATTAGGTGTCCAGCCAGAAAGTAGATCTGTATTTTATAACTATCTAATGAGTAGTTACAAGAAGGACCTTGCATACAATCCCAAGAAATTCCCAGGACAGGACAATAGCATCCCAGGTCTTTCACAGTGTCATAACCTTGATTGTCCATTTGAAATGGAATTTCAGCCAGCCTGTCCTTCTAGACTCTGGCCTCTCTGCTGAGAGTGCTCACTGATTTCATAACACCCATCAGGAGGACCGTCACTGCTCACTTAAGATGAAGTTCAGGTTGTGCAATGGATCCAAAAAAAGCAACGTGCTCCATAGGAAACCCTGATCTAGAAATTAATCACAGAATTACACAGTCTTAAACTGTTCCAGCTCAACAGCTTGCATTCCTCAGGGAAAGTTAATTTTTAACTTTTCAATCTGAAGTTAGCATCAATCAGATTACCTGTCTCTCCCAGGGTTTTCTGATGCATTACCATAAAGTAGCATCTAAAACCCCTTCAAATGAAACAGAAGTAGCAAAATTTTTTCATGAGCTTCTTAGAGGTTTCACCTGTACCAGTATTTTCAGTGGTGCCAGGCCTTGGCATCTGAGCAGTCTGTGCTGTGACATCCTTCAACATGTTGCAGGTTATATTCTGATAATCCCCACACAAAGTTTAGGTATTAGCCTAGGTTATGAAGCATCCTAACAGATTTAGTAATCCTGTTCTAGAGGCTAAGAGATGTTAATAGCAAGGACAGACAGACAAGAGGTACAAAAACCTCCATACATATCCTGTGGGCTGATTATGCTCTGGTTAATTTGGGGATCCATTTGATGAGTGAAAAAAAATAATTCAAGAACAGAGTAATCTGTGGTTATTTGTGGAAGTCCTACTTGTAGGTGTACAGTTGATACAGGCTGAATAATAATAGATCAAGCCAGTGGTGAAGCACAGAGCTTAGAGCTTACTATGTCTCCTGGATTTCCCACTGGTCCTATTGGTCCTGGTGCCCCATCTGATCCCTAAACAAAATAAAGCAGAAACAATGTGAATGATTCATGCATTCTGTCTTTTTCTCAACATACTCCCTACCACAGCTGGCAACCCTGAAGTTTTCTTCAGTCACTCAGTTCAGCATTCATTCAACTTCTTCATTCATCACCAAAAAGCAGTGCCAACCTCTGCACTCAATCAGCCTCCAAAGCCAGAAAAAACTTGAGTTTGGTCCTGGTCCTTCCTTCCAAAACAGGGGAAAAATAGGAAAAAGCCAATCTTGTGACAAAAATAACTCTGAAGAACAGAAATCACGGGAGAAGAGAAATTATGAAGCATACTCTGTGGCAGGCAAACTTCTGGAGCCACGAGTCAATGAAGGCAGAAGCAAAAGTCAGCAAAAGCTGAAGAGTAAAATTATCTAAGGGACATCACATTTTGCTCTGCTTTGACAGGCTGTTTCACTTTGCACATTTCCTTTGGCTGTGAGTCTGTTCAGAGTGTCTCATAGGACAAGTATGAGGTTAATATAGACACAGTAAATGTATCTGTTATTAACTTCTCCTAAAATAATGCTCACAGGAGCAAAAATGACCCACAATGCAAGTCCACATGTTGTCCCTGTGGCAAAGCATCCAGCATCCTTAAGGCACTGTTATCATCTGAATATAGAATTTTAATCTAATCCTATTTTTCTGGTATGTCCTGTCATTTAGTTGGTGCAATGTAAATTCAGACTGTGCTGATCCCCAGAACAGAGAAAGATGGCACTTCCTCAGCATGGCAGAGCCAAACTGCACTGTAAGCAGCAATATGAGCAGTGATGACTGTGGGCAAAGAAAGACAGTTTGGAGAGAAAAGTCCTTCACTCAGGAAAAGTCCAAACACTTCAGGGGTGTAAAGTGGAGATATCGCCAGCAAGAGAGCCAAGTTCTTTCATCTTTGATTCTGCACTGTCACCTCTTTTTAAATACAAAGTAGTATGGATGTATTACAGAGTGAGTAGAGCTAAGAATGAGGAGCACTGTGATGGAGAGGAACATATGTAAGAGGCCTTTTAATTCAAAAGTAAACCACATAATATGAAAATTGGAAAAAATTGAGTATCATACCACTGTGTAAAATTGAGAACTATAACACTCTTAGATCTGCTGGTTCTAGATTAACAACTTATTCCACATAGAGTAAAACACCTATATACATATTAAGTAGTCTCTGTGGAAGAGTTTTCATCATCATTGTGTTGTATAAAGAGAGCAACTCAAGCTTAGCATCAATTTACAGTGAGCTGAAGCAATCAGTGAAAAGTGGCCAATGTATTAAATAGCAATTACCATGAGTGGGGAACTCTATGACACTTAGGGGACCATTAGGAACCCACTGGAAAATGCAAATTCAATGAACAGACAGATGGGAACGGTCCTTTCTTCCACATGGAGCTTGCAACAACCTTTATTAATAAGAAAAGTACAGGATCATCTTTGCAACAAAGGAACTTACAGGTGGACCAGGGTTTCCAGGAGCCCCCGAGAAGCCAGGCATTCCAGGGTGGCCCTGCAGAATAAAAAAAGACACTTTCTTTAGGCATTATTCACACCTCTAGTGGTATAAAAATTAAGTGGTAACTGAATATTGTAAGGTAACATCAAAGCTAGACAATACCCAGACAGAGCTGGTTATAAGGAAATAAAGAACCATAGCTTTTTTAAAGCAAAACCTTGGTTTTCAAGGTGAACACTTCAGAAATATCATAGTTATATTTTCAGGTACTTTTTCCAATGTGTACCTCAGCCTATGCTAATGGAAGATGAAAACAGATATTGTGGAATTGTACATACAGGAGTGTAGGCAGGAAACCAAACCTGTTTGAAATATCCTACAAATCGCATTGAAGAGGTGCTGATTTGCACATTAAACAGTTTGCTGTAATTTAGACCAGTCTCCTCTTTCCTGTGACAACTCAGTCCCTCCTAAAAGGGGTCATGCTTACATTCATCTTCCAAGAAAAATAGAAACACTGGATTTTTCAACCCAAAGACACCTGACCTTCTGGATACCATCTAGGGATTGTCTGAGGAAATTACTAAGGGTTAGGTAATGTAGAGAATTGAATGCATTTAATCCAGAACTGAGGTAACAGATGATACATGAAGGTTTTTACTGGACGATGAGGATGGAAACCTGTGGAGGACTGCTATAGTTTCACTCTTCAGAATAGCCCATTTGTGGTTTATGAGGGATGAAGAGCTCCCATCTTGCTTTGCCTCTGAGAAGGGAATTCTTCCACAGACATCACAGGAATTACTGATGAAGGGAGAAGCACAGAGGCAGCACTGTTGGAAAGCACACTGTATTTTACCTGTTCACCTTTTTCTCCTACATCCCCAGTCATACCACGATCTCCTTTAGCACCCTGATAATAAAAAAAAAAAGAGGCATTGAAAGTCACTTCAGTATTGTGACAACATTTTGACCTATTTCATAAAGTACTTGGACATTTGAGCATAAAACTCATGAATTAAGACTGAGACCTCCTAGACTTTTACTGCCAATGCTGGAGCCAGGAATATATGTGAAGGATGGCCTTTGAGCAGACCCAGCATAGCTGGTTTTTAATGTTGTAGTCTCATAGACATAAAGAGGAATTACACATCCTTAAAAAGCAGGCAGGTTGTTAGGAACTTCACTAAAATCATATCTTGATAAGGAATCATCTGGTCCAACAAAGACTTCCACAGTATGAGTTAGTAATCTCCCTTCCCTTCAGGGACAACAGCAATAAAAATGGCATTTCCAAGGTGCAGCCTGAAAATTCATGCCCAAAAAGTGCTCCCCTCTTTCTGTCTCTGTCTTTCTGTCCTAATGACACAGAACAGGCAGCTAACTCAAATGTAGATGTCTGTATTATTAGTGCTTAAAATATGGCAAGATGAGTCTCACACAGTGAAAAATACTGAGGTGATGGTGAACAAGTTATGAATAATGCACAGAACAATAATGAACTGCTGGCTGTGGAAATAATACTCTGCTTTACTACATGAGAGCTAGGAGACAAGGGGGAGAGGGAGGGTTTCTATCTATTAATTAAAAGAGCTCTAATTCATATGGACAGAAGGCATAAAGCTGCTCACGAGCGAAGATCTGAAGTTCTACTGCTCTGTTCCCGAATGAGATCTAATAGTTTAGATGGTGTTGGTAAGGACAATATACCACATAGTCATAAGCAGAGAGTAATTTGGGTCTCTCGCTGCAAGATTCCTCCTAATATATTCAGTGAGGACTCACAAAGACTGTCTCTGTGTTTGCGCCTTCCCATGGGTCTTACAATATTCACTTTTAGCATTTGCAGAGTCTTTTCACTGAATTCAAGTTAGGCTATTTATCAATTGTTTGATTTTATTTTATGCACATGTACAGTTTGAAATTTGTCCTTTTGTTTCACCTAAACATCCAATTTTGCTGCCTAAATCTCTGCTTTCTCATAACACAGAAGAAAGTAGCAGATGTGGTATGTCTCAGACTGCTTGGCATTTCTGCCTGTTATTGGCCTTATATGTTACTAATTCTCTTGCAAATTTTATCCTGGAACATTCTTTCATTTTGATCAACTCTGTGTTTACTTTTGAGACTGTACTGCTCTCTCCATCACACTATTAATTGCCAGATATAAAATTAATTCATGAATCTCTATCTGCTTGTCCTACACTCTAATAAGTGCAAATACAAAGATGTTAAAATAGCAGGAGTTAATTTTAGACAGTAAGCCAGTAATGCAGGGATGTGTGGAGGAAACTGTGGGCCATCATGAAACCACCTTCTCTCTCCCTCCATTGATGTTTTTTAATTTATTTCACATTAGACACTCATAAAGGTTTCAGCTGTGACCAGGCACTGGCATTGTGAGCTGACCGATGACAGACCTCTTCATGGGAAATGCTTGAAATGTGACATTACTGGAATACCTCAGACAATGGAAGTTTTGTGTTGGCCTATGTCCCTAGACCACAAGGCAGAAGCACATAGCTGAAACAAAGAGTTCTTCCTATCATTTGTTTCAGGAAATATTCAGAGTTTGTGGATAAAACCACTATGGCAGACGGTGTACAGGGAGCCCAGAACCTCAGTGCAGCAGCCTTAATTTAAGTGGTTCTAGAACATAATATTCAAAGAGGAGAGGAACAGGCACAGTGACTGCTGCTGAGGCTTTGATTTCTTCCTCATCTGGTTTGGGTTGAAACTTACTCTTAAGTCCTTATCTGTCTTCAGAACAGCAACGTAAAGAAGCTCAACATCAAGAATCAGGCCTTTCACATGTGTGTGTCTGTGTGTGAAAGGGATGGTGGAAGACACTATTGAAGTGAAACAGTGTCCATGTGGGGAGCTGTGCAGTTCTGCCCACCCAACAGAGGCACTGCTACCTCTTCACACAGAGATGGATCCTACCAAGGTCCTGCTTCAGCCATTATACTCACCGTGTCATAGAATGGTCTGGGTTGGAAGGCACGTTAAAGAACATCTAATTCCAACCCTCCTGCCATAGGCAGGGACACTTTCCACTAAACCAGGTTGCTCAAAGCCCCATCCAGCCTGGTTTTGAACACTTTCAGGGATGAGGCATTCACAGCTTCTCTGGGCACCCTGTTCCCAGACTAATTAGTGTGATTACTAGTCACAAAGAAGTTTTCATGGAACAACTGAAAAAAACCCAACCAACCTTTGGGCCATCAAGCCCAGGTGGGCCTGCAGGACCTCTGGGACCAGCAACCCCCTGCAATGCAGAAAAGGTAAACACTAGTTTAGTCCACAAGCATCTAAAAAAGATTCAGTAGGTTGTTAAAAAAAAATTATAAGAAACCATCAGCCATATTATAAGAAAAACAAGGTTACACCAGATCCAAGGCATGGTCACTTCCCCAGCTCTCTTACCATTTTCCCATCCTGGCCATCTCTACCTGGTGGTCCTCGGAGACCTTTATCACCTTTGAAACCTGGGATGCCTGGCAGTCCTGGTGGGCCAGGAGGGCATTCACTGCACACATCCTTGGAAAGAACATGGAGACACACATCAGCAATAAACTTCAGGCACTTAGCAGACCCTACAGACACCCAATATGAACACAACACTGTGGTGCTGGTATAATATGCAAACCTTTGCAGTTTTACCTCACTGGATAGGACTGGGGTGAATTTGCCTCACAGAACTGCACTGGGGGCAGTGTGGAGCAGAGTGAGAGTCAGCAGCTGAGCTCACACATGCTCCCATGGGGAGTTTCCTATTAGTTCTAGGTCCTAACAGATCATCTAGGATCAAGAAACAATGGAAAAACCCCTTCCTGACGTGGAGGTCAGAGAGCTGCAAAGCAAGGCTAACAAGAACAACATCATTTTGAAGCTTCAGAACTACCAGAAAACTGTGTCTGCACCACTCTGAAAGAGCTGGGTTACTGCTCAGAGGGCAGATTTCTAGGGAAAAACAGGTGCAGCACAATGTCAGAAAGGATGTTCTGCAGGGGAAACTGTATTCAGCAGCTGGCATTGCCAAGGAGAACTCATCCGATGGAGTTTGTGAAGACTAAGTGAATGTCACAGTGTCCTGGCCAAATTTTATCATGGAGAATCACTACCTCCTTCCTTCCAAAACTCTTTGAAGCATCATCTCAGTAGTCTTTACACTTCAGCTATCCTCAGGATATTAAACACAGTACTATGACATTTCCATTTCAAAGGCAGACTCCCTTCAGCAAAAGGGGAAGGAATCCTGTCCATAAGAGGCAGCACAGCACAACAGACAGATCATCAGGTTGAGAGTCAGGAGACCTTGCTACAACACCCACCTCTGTCAATGATCTGTTGTAAAATTGTGGGGTAAACTGCCTTTCTGAGTCTCAGTCCCTACATGCACCTTTATCTACTTACAATGTCAGTGCTTGAGAAACACCCAGAACAGCAGAGCCTTTATTTCACCTGGAATTTCAAGGTGCTGCTTTAGACAGATCTGTACCAATCATGGAGTGAAAAAGTACCAAGCAGAAAGAATGCAGAAGTGTGTTTAACCATAGCATAAGTAAAGGAAATAATTGACAGAACACCAAAATTTTGTCCTATGCCCAAGAATGAGTGTCTTATTCTTGTCCAGATTAGAAATTCCGAACAATACGTTACAATGAAACCTCTAGAATCATACTGGGCTCCACAAAACAAAGACAGCTCTTCAAAGAAGTCATTTCACAGTAGCAATCTTAAAAGGGTCCTTTTGTTAATGTTGTCAGTAAAAGAAGACAATTGTTTAGTTTGTTTTAATCAATAAGAAAGGATTTCTTGCCATATTTCAAGACAGCTTAAAAGACTCCCAACTTAGCCCATGGAAATCTGTAAAGGATTTTGCAGTCAATGCCTACCAAAGACTGACTTGTTTCCCGGACAACTCTCTACGTGGAGAGTAAAATCAGACAGAACATCACTTTTGAAACATGGGTATTTTGGGGTTAACTACCTTCATCCTTTCAGATGCACAGTGCAAACTAACTTTGCACATATAGTTCAAAATTACTCCAGTCACTGTTGAAGATATATGTGAAAAAATCAGATATTTTATTAATTTGGTTTCCATTTTCTGGTTTAGATAATACAACTGGATAATGTTTATTTCTCCTTGGGAATGCATGCCTCTGAAACAACTGAGAAAGCCTCAAAATTTTTATAGGGATCTTTGTAGGTCATTTCACTGCTGGAGATGGCATTTTGATCTCCAGTGTGAGCTCTAATGTCCCAATACCGGTGCAAGCAGGAGAGTTACAAGTTTTAAGCTTTGACTGAGTGTTTAAAGACACCTTTTGGACCTATAGTCAGACACTTTCCCATCACAGAATGATAGTCAGGTCTGAATCAAACACACAGATAAGCTCTCATCCTCATCAAAGGCTGATTACCTTTACTAGGAGATTTATGTCCTCTGGAGAGAGCAGGGGTGGGGAACCCTGTGGAATGAGAAATTCATTATCTCAGACAATTTTAAAAGGCAACAAGACATTAGATTTTTTTCCTGAACATGCTCATTGGTTTCTCTTTCCTTGCCTAGGACTCACTCGGACAAACATGCACTTCATCACATCTGAGATGAGTTCTTGCTGAGGGTACTGCACAGTGGTGCTAAAAAGGTGCCTTTAAAGTTTTGGCTTTTTACATGCAGAATATCCAGTTATTTTTGTACCATTTCAAAGTCGTCACGGATATTTTTATCATAACCCCTTAGTGGGTCTTAGCGCTTTTCCCTTTGCTCTGCTGGGAAAAGCAGCAGTGGAAAAGCACCGGAGCACTCCTCTGAGTTGAGGTGTACAGGTGCAAAGTGAGTTAAAAAGAAAGATGTAACACAAAAATGAAGTTACATACAGGTTTTCCAGGAGGTCCTCTTTCCCCTGGATTTCCAGGTAGACCCTACAGATCAAAAGAAAGAAAAGAAATGTGAAATTATCATACAATAACCCCCAAGTTGCTCTTACACTCTGCTGACTGCTCTGGATTAGCACACATTTTACTGTCTGCTGCTCAGCAGCACTGCTCCTTGCATGTGACAAACAGTAAACTCAATACCTGCAACTTTAACATCCTCTGAACTCCTCCTAAACCTCATTTACCTAGTGTGTGACCTTGCTAAATTCATTTCAGTCACACAGAGATTGAAATTGCTTTAGTTTGTCTTCTGGTCACAGGAAACACTATGAACTGCAATAGTGTGAAGGATGAAGATTTAAATCTCTGATGGCATCTGTAACATGCAAAATTGAGACCTTGCAAACAGGTTTCTTTGTTTGGGGAGCTGTAGTGGTTTCAGTTTTCATGAGATGAAGGCATAGAAATTACCAGCATCCTTAGAATTTTAGGCCCAGAAAGTCATGGTTTGGAAAAGGGACAACCCCCACCCCTCAATGGGTTTCTCTTACGTTTCATTAGCAAGTCATTAATTTGTTAAAAACAAAACAAAACAAAAACCACGTCTAGAGATTATTGTAATATCTTTGTGTAAACTAATGCTCACAGGGGAAACAAAATCTTTTGAACAGGACAGTTGGTCACTGTCCAGATGGTGACAGAAATCTGCATTGCAAGGATCCTTGCAGTGGTGTTTTAAGATAGACTTGGTGAGATTCCCCCAAACCACTTTCAGCTAAATTCCTGTATCCACTTGGTTCATCACCCTGTGTCATCACTCAAACATATGCATGTGCTATCCATACTGAGAACCTTAAAGAGCATACAAAATATCTTCCATCTATCTTAACCACATACAAAAGCTGTCCTACCTGACTATTTTTGCTTCTAATGGAACAGTTTCTACTGACCATCTGAAAGCACCTTTCTGTGTTCAATTCTGCAGCGGGTCCCAGTTGGAGTGCTCTCTGAGGTGGTTCTAGATTTGCCACCCAGGGTGTTCACAGAATAGATTTGGTTGGAAGGGACCTTAAAGAACATTTTGTTTCAACCCCCTGCCATGGGCAGGGCCACCTTCCACTAGACCAGGTTGCTCAAAGCCCCATCCAGCCTGGCCTTGGACACTTCCAGAGATGGGTCATCCGCAACTTCTCTGGGTAACCTGTTCCAGTGCCTCACCAACCTCACAGTAAAGGACTTCTTCCTAATATCTAATTTAAACCTACTCTCAGTTTCAAATCATTCCCCCTTGTCCTGTCACTACAGGCCCTTGGAAATAGTCTCTCTCCATCTTTCCTGTGGGCTCCCTTCAAATACTGGAAGGCTGCAATTAGGTCAACCCAAAGCCTTCTCTTCTCCAGGCTGAACAATCCCAATTCTCTCAGCCTTTCCTCATAGGAGAGGTTCTCTATCCCTCTGATCATCTTGGTGGCCTCCTCTGGACTCGCTCCAAGAGGTTGCTGTCCATCCTGTGGTGGGGACCCTTGGGCTGGATGCAGCACTGCAGGTGGTGCCTCACCAGAGAGGAGCAGGGAGAGGACAATCACCTGCCTCAACCTGCCTGCCCACAGTGCTCTGGATACAGCCCAGGACTCAACTGGCTTTCTGGGCTGCATCAAAATCTGGATGATGATCAATACAACGAAGATACAAGCAGTGGCTCTCAATCAGTCTCGGCTCAGCAGGGGCTAGCTAGGTGAATCTGAGGCTATCAAAATTTTTCACCTGGAAACCTCCATTAAAAATTGATTAAATGCTTTGCTGGGATGGGTACTGGGTGTTCTGTCAGACACCTTGTCTCAGGTTAGTCTGTTGTCTCCAATCAGTTTGTTGTATTATTTATGAAGACAACCAGATAGTTAGTACTTGGCCACCTGGGGATTTATGACTGAAGCACACTGTGTGTGCTACACCGCAACTAGAGCTATAGGGAAAACTTGAATTTCATCCTTGTGTCTCACATAGTACTTAAATCCTGTATGTCTTGCTAGAGGAGAGCAAAAAAGGGGGAAAATATACTGATTGTCTTCTATTCCACATTAAATGCTTCTGTGTGAGCAACAACCCTTCAGCTACCTTGACTTTCTAAGAGATGAATATTAAACACAAACTGAAGTGGATCTAAAGTGGACCTGAATCAGTACTGAAGCCCATGGACGAATGCTTGTTTCCCAAGGAACTAAATCTGCAGGGGAGGATAAATAGAAGATAAGGTCCGAAGGAGAAGGTTAGCTTATAATTCCCCCCAAATGTCTTTCTGGGGAATTGAATAAAAATAAGGAAACATTATAGCCGTTTATAGTTTTGCCTCTCCCACAGAGCATCAAAGTGAATCTAGAGGACTGTGGGATGTTTGCAAAGTCCCCTCTCTTTCACAGGTGCTAATTGTCAGGTCATGCTTTTGGCATCCTCTTCACTGTGGTTCTCAGCCACTTCTGCAAGTGGGAAGAGGGCTGACTAAGTAGCAATTACACGGGTCTTATATTCCCAGACCTACTGTGTTCAGGAAGACTCACATAGCACTTTCTTTAGAAAGTGTGATGCAAAGCAGAGACTTGAACCATGAGAATAATCCTGTATCAAAAAGCAACACAGAAAAGACAGTTCAGAAATGTCTTTCATGCTGAGTAGTAGCACAGCTATAAATAAACTATTTCTGCGATAGGGCTCACTGACAACCTTTTACTTTGGGATCTGAAACATGAACAAGGCACTGTAATTTGAGTATTTAAAGAAGATTTTTTTAAAAGAATATAGGAAAAGACTTCTTAGTTATGTGAAAAGACACACAAGAAAAGAGTGAATAAAACTGAAATCCTTGGGAAGATTTAAGCACAGCTATGATATCCACATGGTATCAGATTGCCTTGAGACAAAAAGGGATGGACCTACTTTCTTGTACACTGTATGATGTGGAGCTGTGATGTCTTTAACAGGGCGTAAATGAGACAGGAAAAGAGATTAAGTTCTGTGCCATGGCTGACAAACCTGAAAAACACTGAATTCCCAGGAAGTCACACAATTGAAAGGTACAAAACTGCAAACAGAGAATGCCCTTTGAAGAATGCTTCTTTGAACCAAAAAGAAAAAATAGATGTAGGATGATGGCGCTTCAGCACAGTGCATTATCAGAGGACAGGTAAATGGAAGCAGAATCCAAAGTAAAGGAAAGATTGTTGTTCTATAGAGGCCTGAAGTTAGAAAAGGCTGACAAAAAGGGTCAAGCTGCAAGCATAGAATCATAGAATCAGAATATCCTGAGTTGGAAGGGACCGACAAAGATTGAGTCCAACTCCTGGCCCTGCACAGGACAATCCCAAGATCACATCATGTGCCTGAGAGTGTTTTCCAAACATATCTTGAACTCTGTCAGGCTTGGTGACCACTTCCCTGAGAAGCCTGTTCCAGTGCCTGGCCATCATCTGGGCAAAGAACCTTTTCCTAATATCCAGCCTAAACCTTCCCTGGTACATCTTCAAATTGCCCAGAGCAGAATCAAAACACTTGAATGATGACAGGGAAGGTATAAATGCATCTGACAAGCTAGAAGGAGAGGAAACTGGAAAAGAGAAATCCAGAAAATTAAAATAAAAAAAAAAAAAGAAGAAATTAGTCTGACAAAAAAACTATATGGCACTGCAAAGAAATACTGCTAACATGATGTGGGAAAACGTGCAGACCCAAATAACAACCAGTGTTGAAAAGCTCGTAAAGTTTGAACACTTACAGGAACTTGCAGCCAACAGTGGCTAGCACAAAGTGGAATATCCAATGAGTGGTACAGCACACCAATATAGGGAAAAAATGTCAGTAATGAGGAGGTGTGATGCACGGGATCCAGAGTATCAGTCTGCAAAATCTGACACATAGGAATGATTGTTAACTGGGAACTGAGAGGAACTGTGATGATGTTATGCTGAAAAATGATGCTCAGGTAAGTGGTGCATGAGAAAATACATGACTTAAAGAAAATCTATAATGAAACATATAAGTGTATAAGGAAAGTGTGTAAGTGACACAGGCTTATGGTGGGATAGTTCTATTACACGACTGAAAATTAAACTTGAAATGCAATAATTTAAATAGGTTATAAGTTACAGCAATAAAGAGACAAGAGGAGGTTTAATAAGTGTATTCTGGTTTGGGGTGTAACTACCCTAAAAATACCGAGAAAAGCTCCTTGGAACTGTCCCTCTAAGTGCAGAGGAAAATCAACCCCAGAAAAGAAAACTCTGCTTTTCAAATCCAATGGCAGTAATATATGCATCCACAAAGATTTTGTAATTATGAAAGTAAACTCAGGGGAAGATTAACTTCCCAGTAATGCTGGAACTTAGTTACCATGAATAATTAAACTAATTAAATATTGATTAATTAAATGTTTATGTTAATTAAAATTATCATAATCAAAGTACAGAAAGGGCCTATTAAACAGGTGCCCTCATTGCTAATAGTAGGATAAGAGAATGTCTCATTCAGATTGTTTCCTAATCTAAGAGCACTAAGTAGTTGTGTTGAACAGAAATGTTTTATCTCTCAGCAGTCAGAGGATGATTCCCAAAACATGCAGTGTAAGGGTATTTGGCCAGAGAGTGTCTGCTCCTTTAGGAGTATCTGGTCAAAGACCTTATTTCAATGCAACAAGGGAAAATAAGGAAAAACACATAAATTAGAACATCAAGGACACAAAGCTGACCAACAAATAAGGATGGTAGTGATGGGAACCAAACCCGGAAATTCACACAAATTGATGAATGCATGTGGAAGTGTGAGGAGGCTTATTCCAGCAAGATTATCTGATCCAGGACCTTGCCAATTGGGAAATTAAGGGAAAAGGAGGAAATCAGAAACTAAATATGCCAAGACACGGACATAACAAGAAACAAATCTTGTCACTCAAACCAATTGATGGACTATCAGGAAACCACAGGCTGCACTTCCAGGGAGACCAGTCTGGACTTTGCAAGTGGTAAGATTGTAAACCCTGAACTGGGACCAGTGCAGGAAATGGTAGAGCTGGGGAGATGCATGAGAGGCTGTGCAGGGGAAGGGACAGCAGAGAGTAACAGACAGGGGTAGACAGAACAGGGTGTAACAGGGGGCTGGTCATGCACAAAACAGGGCTGGTGGATGCATTTGTTTGGCTGAGCTCTGCATCTCATCACCATGGTTTGTCCTATGGTCTTATATCTTCCTATAAACTTTTCATAGAATCATAGAATGGTTGGGCTGGAAGGGACCTTAAAGATAATCTGGTTCCAACTCTCCTCCCATGGCCAGGGATACCTTCTACTAGACCAGGTTGCTCAAATCCGCACCCAACCCAGCCTTGAACAATTTCAGGGATGGGGCATCCACAGCTTCTCTGGGCACCCTGTGCCAGTGCCTCACTGTATTCGCAGTAAGGAATTTCTTCCTAATATCTAATTTAAATCTACCTATCAGTCAGGAGGGACCTGATCTGCAGTAGTTGGAGGAGACAGCCATGCATATAACATCATTTAACATGTAGAAATACTTTTTTATAATTCTCAGACTAGGAGTTTGGCCAGTTTCTCTGACAGAAGGTACTTAAGGCTACACTATTTTAATACTTGATAAAGGAATACTGCAGATTAAAATCTGATTTGGATTATATTTTTCCAAAAGCAAGTAATTTTTTTAAGTGACTGAGGGCATTAAAGCAGGCGCGATATGCAGTAGTTCTGTTACAGAACAAATTAGTTGTATCATCAGGAATAACAAAGACCTAAAAAAACCCCACTTTTTGGGCTTTAATAACCAGAGCTTTAGTTAATCAGAAAAAAGAAAAAAAGGCAATTAAAGATAAGAAAATTATCTATATGGGAGAAGACAATATCTCCCAGCTTTGTCCCAGAAGAAGAGAATTTGTAGGGCTTTATGGACATAATGAACTCCACAGGACACATAAATACCAAGCCTTTTGCAAAGAGGAACAGAACAAGGCCAAACCATCACAACTGTACTGCACACCTAGACAAGCATTTTCAAAACCTAAATTTTAATAAAACAAGACACTGTCCTGAAAACTCTTGATATTTGAAAAGGTGACCCTGAGCAGTGCTATTAGAAAAAAAAAAAAGCACATGCTTTTAGGGCACTAGAAAAAGCTAGGAGGTAGTAATGTAAAACAAAATTAATTTATTCACCTATGGGAGATAATTCTAGCAAAAACTATTGCAAAAGAAGTATTGACTCTTTCACATTCCCAAATACAATTGTAAATCTGATTTGCAGTGTTAGAGAGTACAACAGCTTATAGCAGACACTTCTACAAGCATCTGATGAGCTTGGAACTGGAAAAAACAATGAAAAGAATAATTTAATGTATGTAAATGTGATTTAAAAGATTTTTTTCTGCCTCAGAAAAAACATGGAACACATTTGCAAAGGCCACGGCAAAATACAAGACTCTGAGGCAAGTCATTAAGGCAATTGACACTGAATGGCTTGGGAGTTGCATGGCAAATTCATATTAGCAATTCAAATTGGAGCTTTCCTAAGTGATGCCATACTGTTTGAACACAGCAGAGTACAAAAATGGGCACGCTTCAGAGAATGCAGGAACACTTCACTGATATCCAAGAGAGCAAAAACAGAACAAAAAATGGTCTGTACTAGTTAAATGAAAATGGAGATCAAGAAACTGTGAATGCATGATCTTGCCAAAATAGGTTATCCCTGCTGTAACACCAGAAATGCTGGAATGTGCAGTGAGTGTAATAGAGAATGTGTTCTACAAGTACTATGAGGAATGGTTCTGTTTGACTTAATCTTCTGCAGGGGAAAAAAAAGTTGTAAAGACTGCAGTGCTGCCTCTCCAAGAGCTGACCAGTTAACACTGGTCTGAGAAGAGTCAGAGACACTGAAAAGCTGCCTCTGGCAGTTGCCTCACACAACTCAGTTATAATAAACCCCTCTATCATATCTCATGTTTAAAACCTCTTGATTAAAAATCTCAGCCATCTGAAGCAAGGTGAGGAGATCTAGGGACAGTCAGCAGGACACAATCAATCCCACATCCGTAGCTGCTCAGGGACACCGGATGATGGAGGCAAAGGACCATTTCTACTATCGTGGGCTGTGGAAGAATATCCTGACATTGTCATTCATCTGGTGACCAAGTATAGAATCAAAGAATCATAGAATGGTTTGGGTTGGAAGGGACCTTAAAAATCATCTCATTCCATCTCCCTGCCATGGGCAGGGACATCTTCCACTAGACCAGGTTGCTCAGAGCTCCAGGGCCTTGAACACTTCCAGGAATGGGGGCATCCACAACCCCTCTGGGCGACAAGTGGGAAGAAAACTTTTAGACCACCTGATGTATGTCAATAAAGCCACATTAGAGCTGAAAATTGCTTGTTGTGTAGTTAGTGGAAACTGGTACCCATTTCAGACATGAAACATCAGCATCATGAAACAGTGTTGAGAAGGAGAGTTACAGAAGGTCACTGCCCCATCCCCACAGTGTTCCCTCAACAGGCACAAATCCAAAGATCAAGCCTTTCAAAATCTTCAGAGCCTCCTTCAGAGGACTGGTTTCCACATCACAGAGAAAAAATGCTCCTCTTTCTGATTCAGCACTGCAAGAGAACCAAGCAGCGAGAGGGGACAGTTTTCCAGCTGGGACTCTGCCACATTCCTCTCTATTCCTCAGTTCCATGACTCACCCACTGAGACAGCAGGAGAGAGGACAATGCACCAAGAGGTTAAAATGTCATCAAACATGAACAATAGCAGCAGCGAAATGAACTCATAAAGAACTTTTTTCAACAGCTGTGGCCCTGTTTTCATAGAAATACTACAGGGTACTTATCTCAGAGACTTCTAAGAAGTTCCTAGACAGCTTAACTACCATCTTTTTCCAATGTGGAATAATTCCCCAGTGTATGCTGCCATTCTCCAGTGTCATTTTAAAATAGTTCAGTGGTGAAGTCCACCACTTTCCTTGAGGCAATCCTTATCCCAACTATTTTCCCATCTGACATCCTAACTTGTAAGAGCTCCACTTCTGTCAATCATCTCCTTTAGACCATCCTAGTAACACTCAGTGACTGCAGTTGACTGTAAGCATAAATTTTCAGGAATATTAGATTCAAGCATTGACAAATTTATTGAGCACTTACACTTTTATTTTACTTACATCCTGCCCAGGAGGCCCCTGTGGTCCAGGGATACCAGGAACACCACGGGGACCCTGGAAGGGAGAGAACAGACAAACCCAATAACATGAGCAGTATTTGTGAAGCACCTCTTAGCTGAAGAAAAGAAATCCTCAACCTAATAGTTATTGAGGTAAAATTAACTAGCAGTTAAACAACTATGAAAGAGTTTAAGAAAAAATATAATTAAATCTCACAGTGCACTATTCCAGTATCCATCATTTCTGTGCCTCAAGGGACTTCATGAGCATCACTAGAGTCAAACTTCACATACATTAACTGGAAAGATAATAATGACTCTTTATAGGAGGCAAGTTTTTGGACAGGGAGAAAATATGACTGAGCACAGGAAGTTAGAGGAGAAAAGAAGGTCCAGCTCCTCAGTGCCAAGCTATCACACTGGCTAGGACTGGCTGTTGTGCTGGAAGTTCATGCCAGTGTCTGTGAGAACATGGTACAATTATCTGTTTCACAACAATGGATTGTGTCCTTGTAAAACTGAATGTTGAGGAACTAATTGTGTTTGGAGAATACCAAAATCTGTAAGATTTCAGTAAGAAAAATGCTTAGAAACAGTTTATTTAAAACCTTTGAGGCTGTGGCTATAAGGCATAGCAGTGTGTCCTGAATTATGTGCCTTAATATAATTTTTTGAATGAAGGGTGAAAAAGTAACTGAGTCTTTCTCTTGTAGGATTATTGACACATAAGGAAAAGTTGTCCCCAGGCCAAGACTCTCAATCAACTCTTTCTCACAACTCAATATAGAAGACAAGGACCTGGTAATGCACAAGTCCCCTTTGGAGGATCAGCCACTCTGTGACCAACTCCCAGGCAAAACCAAATTAATTACATGTGCCTTCATGAAATCACTGACAGAAACATAATTACTGTGGTAACCCCCCTCCCCATAAAATTTGGGTATAGCTAGAAAGACATACTGTACCAGTGACCCTTTGTCTCCTGGGGGTCCTGCAGGGCCCTGCAAACAGAAAAGACACAGCAATAAAACCACTGAAAATTAACATCTCCCTTTGGCTGATCAGGGAGGGTCCTGAAGCATTAAGGGATTATTTTCTGCATTGGTCTGCGTGGCTGCACACGGGAGTGTGTGTGTGCACTGAAAATGCCCTTTGACAATCCATGCTCAGCCTCACTCCTGGCCGGCTCTGGGGACCCAGAACCACACAGAAACACAGCATCTGTTGGGTTGGGGCATCCCACAGGACCTCTGAGCTCTTTAATTTAGGTCAAAGCAAGAAGTCTAGTGGTCTTGTGTATCCTATCTGTTTGGGGATGCAACTTAAAAAGGAGCAGCTGAGTAGAGTGAGGTACTAGAAAGTACTCACTTCTGAAGGAACACCACAGAAGTGGTGCAGTACCTGTATCCAGCATGGATGAATCAATCTGGTATCCCAAACACACACAAAACAAGGCTTATCCTCACATCCTTGGGGCTGTGTTTGAATAAATTGGCTCACACTATAACTCCTCTCCTTTTTCTTCCTGTTTCAGGCACAGTGACTCACTAATCCTCATACAGTCCTCCGTGCACGACACCTTAATGCTGCACTCAAGCAACGGATAAATGCATAATTCTGAACCCATGGTAATACCAACAGGGCAAAGCAGGGCAAGATGGAAACCTTTCTACTTATTCAGCACATGCACCCATTGGGCAACTTCAACATAAACATGTGAATTCACCCCAGTTCTCCAAGCAGTCCCCTCTTCTGTTGGGAAGAACACGCTCTGCTAATGCTCAAGTTTATGGCTCAGTGTTATGTCAATTGTAACTCAATACTTTAACAGATAAGGTAAAAAAAATCCTCATCTATATATACTTTTTGTGCAGGGAACAAAGCCTGAGAGAGGTTAAGTGCACAGGAGGAAATAGGGTGAGTATTTCAATTAAAAAGAGTTGCTGGCTTGCAGCTCTGAAGCTGAAGTATTATAAACACAATTTTGTTACATTGCTAAAAGATGTAGAGACTGACACTTTTAATTCAATGTGTAATACGCACTGAAGCAGCTCCACTGATTTTATTCTGATTTTATTCTGATTTTTTGTTTGATTTTTTTTTCTGTGGGATTCAGCCTGATACATTTGGGGTTATACAGTGGTTTTTATAAATTCCAGAGTCTGTGCACTGGACCTGAGGTTATGATGGAAAAAACAGTGGAAAAAAACTATTATAGTCGTCATTTGTTTTTGTGGGGTTTTTTTAAATATTTAATGAAACGGATTAAATAAATAAAACTTATATGAGAATAATGTGGTGTGTAGGTGGCTACACATCCTGACAGTGGGCAAATAACAATGACACACAAAAAAAGCAATCTTCTGGTATGAGACAAGTGATGTCTGCATTTGTAGTCAAGTTCTTAGTCATTTGTTTTCAAGGATACGAGGATGCTAAAGCCCCAATGAAGAATAACTTTGTCATCTTGTGTACATCAGGATGCAGAAGTGAACTCATTTAACCCTGTACTGAATCTAAAAATCTGTAATTAAGAACCACTCACAAGCTAGTGACTTTCAAACAAGCCAAATACTCATTTGTTAATTTAATTTTAGCTTTAATATTAATGACTGAACACTAAGAAATGCAGGAACACCACTGCTGCTTAGATAAATCTTAACAAATTACACTTAGCTAATCTTCAGTCATTGGTAACCCTGTGACAACCATGAAGGTCATGACACAGTCACAGTGTGAAACATGACTGACCCAATCTGCTTTAACTTAGATAGAATTCAGTGTGGTGAAAGCAAATATTAAGTGTCAGTATTACCCAGCAATACGACTTGTCATTTCAAGGCAATTTCCTGTACTGATTGGGAAAAATATATCTAGATAAACAGAGCATTGATAGCCAAACATTTACTGATTGGTACAGGATCATGGCATGTACAAGGTATTGTAAAAGAATAAAAGAATGCAAGGTTTCAGATGTCATCTAGTAATTACAGCTAGAAAAAGAGTTTGCTTTCTCCTAAACATATTTCAGTAGCAAATTCAGTGGAAATCTGGAGGTCCCTGGGCAGGGCTACAGCCACAACACTCCCAAATCTCCCTCATCTCAAGAGTTCTACATGAGAAGTACTGGAGTGATCAAATCCCAGAAATAGGAAAATCTGAATTTTCCAGAGCAGACTCTCAGATACACCTTGTGACCTACAAATATGCAGGAGGTGAGGGTGGAGTCAAATGAGATACAATTAACTAAATGTTTGTGGAAAATTATGGGGATGATGGCCCTTTTGGAACACAGCAATTTAAGCAATCTGATTTTGCATTTTGCTATCAGAGTGTCACTATGTCACTGATGTGGGCATGTGTGTCACAGTCATCCCTCCAAACAGGGTAACAGCAAGGTTACATCTGTCCAGTACACCAGAGCTGCTGGCTCAGCACAGATCTTCACTCACATCCACAGCCAGTGCATCAGGATGATGCAGAAAATTCAGGAGTGACAGCCAGTGATACCAACAATTCCAAGAGCACTTTTTCTACCTCTCTGTTTCAACTAAAACTGAATGCATTAGGAGCCCTCAACAACAAATGTATGATATCTGAGCCACGAATGGCAGCCTCTGGACTAGTCTGAAATTTGCACTTTTAGAAGGTAAAATGTCCCACAGGCACAGTTGAGCACAGGCAACACATTCCCTAGGTGGCAATGGGTAATTTTTCACCTTGTTACAGGTTGCAGCAGAATCTGCTACTTACAGGAGGTCCAGCCAGGCCGATTCCTGGCACACCTCTGTCTCCTGGCTGTCCAGGGAGGCCAGGAGCTCCCCTTTCACCCTGAAAAAAAGGAAGAAGTTAAAGGTTTTGTGCACTGATGAGAAAATGTGCTGAAATGTATTCAGGTGGTACAACAGAATGTCGCACTGATACATCCTGACCCGATTCTGCCCACAGAGGAACAATATCAGGCTGTGGCAGCATGGGGACCTGGCACAGTTAATGTCTCATCATGCCAAGAAAACTGTCCTCTTCCATCACAGGAGCCCCAGCCCATCTGTGAGAGCACTCACACAATATCAGAGTGTGCCATGTCATATGTGAGCAGGAACACAACTTCTGTAACTATTTTTTGTTTATTTTAGTGCACAGCATCCAACTCCCAGCATTTCACAGAATCATCAAGGTAGGAAGAGACCTTCAAGACCGTCTGGTCCAACCATGAACCCAAAACCACCTTAATCACCCCTAAACTATATTCCCAAGAGCCACATCCAGATGCCTCCTGAATACTTCCAGTGACAGTGGCTTCATTGGGGTATCAGGAACTCTCCTTGGCTTGGGGAAGCACTAAGCACTATAATACACTTTTGACTCTCTCTATTTCTATGGTAGATGGCTAAGCCACAAAAATTGCCAAATACAGATTACTTATCTGGGGAAGACAGAATTAAGGGTGTTTTATTACATCTTAATGTACTCCTTTCCTTTACCAGCATAGACCTACTCACAGTAGCATATGAAATTCTTCTGGTGAAAAATAAGTCAACACTTCTACCACTCTCTCTTGAGTACTGTACTACAAAAGGAGAGCCCTCCCTTCTAGAAAACAGGATTTTCGAAGCAAAACCTGATTAGCACAGAAAACAACTTGACTCTGTTCAATGGACACTGCAGACAGAGGGCTAAGAAAGAATTCAGTTACAATACTTTAACATCTGTTTTCTAGTTATAAAGAGAAATCAATAAGACTTTTATGGATTGCATTGCAGGTGTAAGATGTGATCTCACATTTGTAGTAAATTTATAAAAATGAATCTTATTTATGCCATTTATTATGACATTATTTCTAGCTGTATAGAATCATGATACAAAAATCGTTATCTGTGGATTCTACCCACACAAATTTCCATCTACAATAGCTCCTATTTTTTCCCTTTCTTTCTTCTTAAACTAGTCTTATTCCATCAAGAAACAATACTGCTAGGACAGTGAGAAAAATTATATTCTGGTTAGTTCAAACACTCCAGCAGATCTCTTCTCTGTTATTTTATTCAAGAAGATAACTTCAATACAAAAAGTTCAATAGTATTTTCTGTGCACAATTAAGATTCTTACCTTCTTCTGTGGATATTAAATGGAATATTTCATGAGATTGCTTTTAATGTTTTTTTCTGACTTTTATGTCAATTCTCTGTCTATTTGTGTGTGTCTTTGTGGGTGTAGTGTGTGGTCTGAACTGTCAAAGATATATACAACAGGCTACAATGCATTTATACAAAATGCAGCAAAATAGAAAGAAATATTCATAGCAGTTTGGTTATTTCAAAAGTGTGGGACCTAGTTGGATTGAGTCTCATAATGCTATAATCTTCCTTATAACATTTACAGAATCTCTTTGAACATCCTATTCTTCATCCAATCCAGATCAGGACATGGTCAATTCAAAGCAGAAGAAATTACTGTCATTAACCTCATCAACTAGTTAGTTTTTGCCTTAACTATGATATATGAGAGCAAACCAAGACTGTCTGGTCCCTCTGAAAAATAATTCACACCTCCCTGGAGAGGTGAAGGGAAGGAGTGCTATGGAAGAGTGCTCTTTGAGGGGCTGAAAAATGGCCTCAGGAGCAGATCATCCTTGAGCCGTGCAATGTCTCTCTAGCTTTATGGATTAAAGGGTCCAATCACAGTTTCCCTGAAAAAATGTTCATTTAGCCCTTAGTCAGTGTCGAATTCACATTATGCTGAAAGAAATTTTAAATGTGCAAAGTGTACAAAGCCAATTCATATCTTAGTATCTACATCAACAGACATACTGGAATAATAGAGAAAAAGGGAGGTCCTAAAAGTCTAGGACTATGTTTTTGAACGAAAACTTCACAAACTTTATTTTCCAGGGGAAAAATACCGTGTTTTCACCATAATTTTTTTCCAGTTCAAATGATTGAGAGTAGCACTGCACAAAGAAATCCATGATCACCTTATGTCCAAAGGGTCCTGGCAAGCCTGGTGGTCCTCTTTCCCCCTAAAGTGGCAGAGGCAAAACAAGAAAACATTCACCATCCAGCCAAACAGGAGCCTGGACTTTGATATAGTCCCTGCAACAAGTACCACCACCAGCCCCTGCCCCGACCTAAACACCATCCTGGCAGTATCTTACTGACAACATGTAAGCAAATTAAATCATCTGCCAACTTGGATAGAATTAAATGCTTTTAGGGACCTTCCACCAAGCTAATAATTTTTTTACTGGTCACAAGGTCAATGGCTACTCCTTGTGGAGGTCTCCATTTTCAGGGGCCACCACAGCACACCAAAAGGGGCTCAACGTTCAGAAATACAGCTTCAGTTCTCTCTGCCATTTGAGATGCAGTGCTGTGATCTGGGGCATTTTGCACAGCCAGGCCTTTCATGGATTCTGGTAAATCCACTGTTCTCCTGCAGAAGTCTTGCCTGTCTGTCTCATGTTGAACTACTCAAAGCACAAAGCTTGCCAGCTGGACTTACCGGTGCTCCATCTTTACCCTTCCCAGGCAAACCTGGCTCTCCAGCAGGCCCTGGCACACCAGGTGGCCCAGGAAAGCCCACTTTTCCTTCTTTTCCAGGATCACCCTGCAGAAGACAATCCATCAGAACTCTTAGTAGACTAATAAAGACCATTCCTGCCTCAGGTCTTTAACTGGGGCTGAAAGATACGTCTTTTTCCTAGTTTTCTCTTATGGTTTCCTTTTGGTATCATAGGAAATACTCTTTTATAGAAAGTCTTTTCCTTCAGTAATCTCAAAGCACTTGTAATTTCCCTTAAGGAAAGAAAAAGGAGACTTCAAACTTCAAACAGACCTCAAATCGCCATGTTAGCACATCAGACACTCAGTAAGTGAATTGGGAATAATCATGTGGAAACTTTGAAACCTTAGATAAATGATATAAAAAATTGGCTGCACGCATATAATCCTTTACACAAAAAGTTGACCAAGTTTATGACTAAGTCTGGATCCAGCCACACCTAAATTCCCTTCTGAGGAGTTTAGAACACAAGGAGATCCTTCCTGAACCTCATGACTCAATGGAAGGGTTTCCCTCACAGGTCTGTGTGACTCTGTCCTTTATGCAGTAAATAATCAAGAGTACTTGCATTGAATCTTGTTAAACCAATGTGGCATTTACCATTGAACTTTGTTAACTCAGTGTCTTATATCAATAAAATATATTGTTGCTTCTTTCTCACTCTATCCACGACGCCATACGAGAGCACCCTTGGACCCCCATGACCCTGAGGTGGAGCTCAGTAATTTGGAAGAAGATTTGATAGAAGGGGCTGGGATTCATTCCCTTTTAAGACCCAAATATATGCATATGTGAGGCCATGTTTCTGATTAATCATTCCTACTCCAGCAAACAAAGATCAGGACTCCAGCATTCTGGGCAGGGTGCAGTGTATGACCAGATCACCAACCCCTGACTTCAGAAAGCCCATGAGATGGGACATAAGACTGAGGCAAAGCAGGCAAAGTGTAAGCGAGACTGCACTGGAAAGCTGAACTAATGGTACAGTTATAACAGCTTATCAAGAAAGCAGAAATCTGTTTTCTAATAATGAAAGACACTTTTCCTTCCAGCTTTGGATTCACAGTGATGAATAGGAGTTTCTTAAAATACCAAATGCCAGCTCTTGTCAGGCAATGAGGACGGCAGAAGGTCATCATTTCAAAATGTGTATCAGTTGCTTTACTCTATCCAGTCGTATCTCAGTGGTTTATTAGGTAAATTATAAAGCTGCAACAGGGTGAAAACCTTATAGCACACGTAATAGAGGAGTTCAGACAAGATGATCTAATAAGCCCACGTGTCTTAACTGTACATGAACCTATGAAATAATTTCCCGGTTCAGACTGCTTCTGTCCCAGTTACTTAAAATGCCCAAGAAAAAGAGAATCAAATCCATCAAAGAACAAACTCACCCTTTCCCCCTTTTCTCCTGCCTTCCCTGGCAGTCCAGGGCCTCCAGGCACACCCTGGAGAGAAAAGAACTTTAAAGCTTAAAAGTTTCTTTGTAAGCAGTATTTGATCCTAAAGCAAAGGGGTAGACCTGTGTGTTCAGTGCAATCTATCTCAAGGATTAGTATCAGCTCTACATTTCCCAGTACAGACAACCTGTAATCCAGAGAACACCACAGAAGAGCTGTGCACCAGGTCCTTAAAGGAGGATTTTTTTCAATACAAAGGGGAGTTGAACAGCAAAAGCAGAAATAGACCTAATCCTAGATTTGTGCATTCTGCTTCTACTACTTTCTATTTCATTTTGTGAAACCCTCAGCAGTTCCTGATCCATTACGAACAACCCCCCAGTCATCAGAGAAGCCAAAATCCTTCCAGTATTAATTTTTTTATGGCTACTGCTCTCCAAAGCAAAACATTGGGAAACATAGCTATGTTCATTTTATCCTCTATTTCAGTTTTCAATCCTTTTCACATCTTGGCAGTTCTCAAAGGATTCCACGTCAAAATATAGATGATTTAGAGCTCTAAATTAGATACTGTAACTTCCTAACTCACCAAAACACGTTTTGGAGTGGTACTGCATTTTAAGATGTGAAATCATGTCTTGGCACCATTAAGATTGGATTGACCTCAGAATGGATCTGATAATTATTTTTCTTTCTGCACCACTAAAAATTGTTTCCTACTATATTAGCTTTTATAGGATATATATTGGTATTATTGGTATAGAAGTTTGCTTAACGGAATATGAAATTGAAAAAGGTCTTAATTTTCAACATCGCTTTTCAGTTTGAAATTAAATCATTAAATTGATACAATTAAATCACATGTATCTTAACAATTAGTAGGAAGGCAATTTAGGTTGTCTTGGATTGCTCAGGTAATAAACTCTGGCTCAAAGAGTCCTCTGTGCTAAACCACTGTGCTCTAATACTTTATATCGAGCACATATATTACATATATAATATAAATATATATTATAAGCTCTAAATGGTGTTTTTCATCTACTCCAGGCTAAATCCAGAGAACTTCAGGAACTAGAAAGAAAATTACACTAGTCAAGCTGGGATTAGAGTTAGTCAATGATTTTGCCAACATGAAAAGTTTTATCATGCACAACTTTATAATGGCGATGAACATCTACTGAGGTAAGGGGGACACTACATTGATGTCAAGGCTCTGATTGTAGGATCAAATGCCTTCATGCTTTCATAACAAAAAAGGGGAGTTTACAATGTTATTTTTGTATCAAGAAGTCATGTTTACAACAGGAAAGGACAAATGAAAACAAGGCAAGGAGAACAAAACCAGAGAGACAATAACCATTGAAATTTTTCTCTTGAAGATCTGGCAGCAAAAATCGCTTTTGACATTTTGGTGAGGAATGAAGCAGCTCCATGCCTCCCTCTTGCTAAAAATGAATATGAGATGTTTCATGGATACACCATTCCCAGGTGCCTCCAGATCTTTCAATTCAACAATAAGAAACTAGTGTAATGAAACACAGCCTTTTAACCTGATAGTAATCCCCATGGAAGGGAAAACTAAACACATTAAATAAAGAAATCAGGACACAGATGGGAAAACAAATACACTGGTGCATACATACCACATTTCCTGGCAAGCCTCTTGGGCCTGGGGGCCCTGCTGGTCCACTCACACCCTGTTTTGAGAAAATGAAGTATGTGTGTACATATGTAAATCACAACTTGTATCACCATAGGAACAAGATGTTCCAAGAGTGACTGGATTTCATGTTAGACAAGGTGTTGTACAAGCAGAAAGGAAAAAATAGCATCTTTGTGAGAAACTTTTTAGTGTAAAGAAGAATGAACCAACACAAAATGGGTGAAGGCTGTCTTTGGGAGCTTAAAGCTGCCTTCCACCAAAATAAATCCTAAATCTAGATGAGATGCAGGAAGAAAAGTCTGGGCCAGAAACATCAAAAGAACAGAGGAAACTATGTTGATTTATCATTAAAAAAATCTAGGTCAACAAAATATTCTTCGTTGACAATTCCACCTTGCTCTGGGCAACAAAACCTGAAAACACTCATTTGCACTAAACAGATGAACATCCCAAATCATCAAGAGTGTATAGTTCTGAATTACGGGTCTTTTCCATTTGCAGGTGAAAGTTTTGTAGGGTGAGAAAGCCCATATGTGTCCCTAAAAATTCATGGGGAACATTAGAGAACATATATTTGGTAATTTATATCTCCATAGAGATTATGTTTGTGATTACCGGGCTATATTTAGATATTTCATAAAATCATAGATTTGGGTTAAAAGGGACTTTAAACATTATCTTATTCCAACCTCCTGCCAGGGACAGGACACATTCCACTAGACCAGGTTGATCAAAGTCTCACACAACCTGGTCTTCAGCACTTCCAGGAATGGGGCATCCACAACTTCTCTGAGCAACCTGTGCCAGGGCCTCACTACTCTCATAGTCAAGAATTTCTTCCTAGTATCTAATCTAAACCTACTCTCATCTTAAAGTCATTCCCCCTTGTCCTATCACTCCATGCCCTTGTCAAAAGTCCCTCTCCAGACTCTTGCAGTTCCTCTTTAGGTGATGGAAGGGGTTCTAATGTCTTCCCAGAGCCTTCTCCTCCCCAGACTGAACAATCCCAATTCTCTCAGCCTTTCCTCATAGCAGAGGTTTAAAGGTTTCCTCATTTCTGTGTTATTTACAGGTGCTGGTCTGTGAGTCAGTAGAAAGACTTGGAGCAGGGGCAGTCTGTGAAAGGATGGCAAAAAAAGAAGGTGCCTGTATATACCTGCATTTCCATATCATTAACATCCTCCTTGTCAGGAGGATATATAAAGAAGTAAAACCAATGGGTAAGTTTGGTGGAAGGGGGATGTTTTTTGTCCTTTTTTGTTTTATATTCCTCCCCAAAAGTACTAAGTGGTTCTTCCACCAAGAGTGAAAGAGAGCTGGGAATAGGCAGTTCAGGCTTTGGGGTCAAAGCACTGCTCAGGGACAATATCACAGAATATTCTGTGTTGGAAGAGACCCACAAGAATCATCAAGCCCAACTCTTAAGTGAATGGCCCATACAAGGATCAAACATATGACCTTGGTGTTATTCACACCATGCTCTAATGTCTAAGCAACAGCCCAGAAAGGAAAATCATGAACATAAAAGTAGAGGAAGAAATTTCAGTGCTCTAAGATGCATAATTTGGATGTCCTACTCCCTCCTCTTAATCACAAGCATCCTCTATCTCAATCATTATTTCAAAAAGTTCTTCAGTCTTTCTTCCTTCTCTGCTTGCAAAGAAAGTCTGTGGCCTCTTATTCAGCCACAAAGGTCTTATGTGCTCTCACAATAATAAAAAGGGACTGGAATCCTTTACTGTTCCTTAGCACACAGCCAGGCAACAGCAGCACTCCCTACAACACATGCCTCAAAAAGGGCTGTGGGATGAGTCCTCTGGATGAGCTGGTATTAAAAAAATCAGAATTGACAAGGAAGCCTGAAAGCAACTGTGATCAAAAAGCAATTCAGGCTGCTGATGAGCTCCCTGCTCCAGCTGCCTGCCTGGGCTGGGCTGATATCTCAGTGCAGTCAATAGCTCCACCAGCACCTTACCCAGAAAAGGGAGTTTTGTTAGACAGGGGGAGATTTCACAAGTAAGAGATGCACAATTTTGAGCTGGGCTGACTGAGGCATTGATTGGTTTGGTGCAGATGGGCCTGTTTGCCCACAAGCAGTGACTCTTCCAGCTGTGGATTAGGATGTGCCTTGTGTCCAAGCAGCCTGGGACTCCAAAGCTGGAAGGCATTGACTTCAGTTTCCCTTCAGGAGTGTTACTGCCAGGAAAAAATGCTGCAAGGGCAGCAATTACTCACAGTCTCTCCAGGGGCTCCAGCTTCTCCTCGGGCTCCTTTTTCCCCCTTTGCACCCTATGCAAAAAGAAGAGAGAGATACCAGCTGATTAGACATGGGAGGGGACTGCCTGCCAGACAAAAAGACTTAAAGATGCCGGAATGTGCACTAGGCGATGGTTTTTGTTATCCAACTCACAGAGAATTTAACTGCTGAGGAAATAGCTCCCGGTTCTCTATGCAGCAAGAAAAGAAAATATAAAAATAAAACCCTGAGACTTAAGAAGAATTACTAATGGCTGATCAACTCAGAGGCTGATTGTCAGCAGAGGATGCTGAAACTTGCAGGCATTTATCTGGGTGAAATTCCTTCCTATCCACAGGCCTACCAGCTATTTCATTTCCAGTTGAACTCTGATCATCTCCCTTCACAGAGGAAGATTTGCCTGCAGTTCTCAAAAATAAACATCAGTGATTTGGAAATGGTCAAAATAGATCCCTGTGCAGAGGTTTGTCCTAGTCCTACCTATCACGGGGCCCTTTCTGAAGAATTTTGGCAGGACAAATTCTGCTCACTGAAACGTCTCCTATTTAGCAGCTGTTAGTTAAAAGTTACCTGGTATTATAGTTTTGTTTGTTTAGGTTTTTCTTCAGAATGCTAAGACTGCTGTTAACCTGTTTAAGCTGTTGGTGCCCAAATATTGCTGATGATACGGCTGGGGCACAGCACCTATGAAGGCAGAGTGAACACCTCCCCATGTTAACATGAAAACACCTCAGGGATGACTGGAAATAACATGTGTGAGCCAAGAAAGATTCAGAAGATGATTGAGACTATACAACCATTTCGCATGAGCCATAGTTTACTCAAGGTCAAATGGACTGGGCTTGAATCTGACTGCTCTGCAATGTTTTGATGATGTACTGCAGCGACTTTGTGAGACCTGTGGCATCAGTACAAGGTGCCCTCTTGAAGGATCATGAAGTTGGAAGGAGTCTCTCAGACAATACTGATCATGCTACAGAAGTAACATATTCCCAAGTTGATTTTCCTCCTGATGCCTGGCCCGAGTAAATACCTCTAAAAAATTCCCTGAACTTTTAACAATGACAAAGAAGAAATGGGCTGCAAGTGCATAGGGGAAAAATTGTTTACAGTGATATAGACCTTGAGGGCCCTCCTCTCTGGTCATATCAAAGACCTTCTTCAAGGCTGGGCCCTCTTACCTGGACTCCTGCAGGTCCTGGGGCACCTTGTTTTCCTGGGACCCCGGGTAATCCCTGCAAAAACAGAGGGAGAGGTGAAGGAGCTGTAGGAAACTGCTTGTTTCTTCTCATGAGCAGAAGGAGATGATTCTCCCTCCTCCCACTGAGAGAGGAAAGAGTGCTTTTTACAGAAGTGACTGTGCAGGACTCTGTCTCTCCTGGGGACTCCAGAACAAGAGCAGTCCAGAATAAAAATGCAGTAGCCAAATGCACAATTTAGCTGGGCAACACCACAGTACAAAGACAAGAACCACTGGGACTATTTCTGATGAGAGAGGCATCCCAATATGGAATAAGCATGTCCCACCCTCTCCCTCCAAAAGAGGCATCTCTCATGTCCCCTCATTGCTAAAGTTCAAAACCAGCTCAAGAAACTCTTGGCTGTACTTACAGGTTCTCCACTGGTTCCTCGATCTCCTTTCTCCCCCTTTGGTCCAGGTTCACCCTGATATAAAACAACAAGACAAAGAGAGAAAGTAAGGCTGTTTTCATGCCTAGAGATCACACTAGTCCTGTTTGGTAAGAGGCCTCTTTCAGTCAGTTATCCATTTATCATAGTATGGGATATCAGTTTTGATTTATTGGACCAAAAAGTCCTTTGCAGAAGCTACTCTAAGACTTGGAGATCCCTGTCTAGACTTCTTGTTCTGTTATGATAATAATTGAAAAAATATTTAGTTTAAAAGCAGAAAATTTTTCCCTCATAGAAAAAATATCCTACAGCTGGGGGAATGATCTCACATATGGACAGTTCCCTATCCCAGTTATAAGAGAGGTGTTCAGAGTCTCATCTTGAGCACTTCCAGAGGTGTGCGCTACACAGCCATTCCTGATCTCTGGTTCTATTAACATCTCCATACATTCATGCAGCTTCCACTCCCTCCTGCAACGTCAGTACATTATTTCATGCACCACCATCACTGGCTAATAGGATTAATTTATTCCTGTTCTTCCTTCTTACAGCAAACTGAAGATGCTTTCAGAGAGAGGTTCCTCAGCTTTGTCCTGAGCTCTAGTACAATAATCAATAAATCCATATTTCTGCTTTTTGTAAATTGAAACAGAAAGCACACAATTCTGGAACTAGCTGGAATAAACCAGGCACTACATGAATACTCATATTTATATATTGATATGAACATATGTATTCAGGCAACAGCAATCATCACTTATTCATTATTTATCATAAAAAGTGTTTCAATTATGCAATCAAGGAAGACTAGGAACATCAGTGATTTTAGCTACATACACATGCAAGGAATAGTGATCAGTCAAATACAGAGCCAGACAAATCAGCTTGAATTTTATTCACATCAGCTATTTGCCAATCATTTCTACAACACCTGGGAGTTCAAAGTCCATTTTCAAATGATTCTCTAACAGACAAAATAAATGTATCTGCATAAATATTACTTATGCTTGTATTTATTATGCCTTATGAATAAATATTATCATCTGTGATAAATAATGGGAGGAATTTTACTCTACAAGTAGCATCCTGTTAGAACAACTTTTAACCAGGCAGTCCCTGATGCCATCTAGTGTCCTTCAGAAAGATAACAGGGCCACCTAAAGAGGCTCAAGCAAAGGGTCCAAAGCTGAAAATCTGCATAGTTGTGCCTGGAAGCTGCTTTGTATAATGACCTTTCAAGTCCCAAAACTCTTTTGAGAGAGCAGAACAACAAAGCACAGTCAGGACAGCTGTAGGCAGGGATGGTGTTACTGAGTTGGAATAAGGCACATTATTACCAGGGAAAACAAGACTGCAAAGGGAAGAAGTAATTCAACAGGTAAAGTGAGGAAGTTTTTTTAATATTCTTCTTTCTTCCACTTTGTCCTTGATATGTGACCTGCACAGTAGTGCAAAATCTAACAGCCACAGACATGGGTAGAGGTATCATCTCTTTGTAGAATCATAGAATGGTTTGGATAGGAAGGGACTTTAAAGATCATGTGCTGCAAGTGGGAAATGAAACTTCATTTTAAGCTTCGTTTAAGAGTCTGTGCATACAGCTGTGTTCCAGGCACTGCTGGTTTAAATGCTGCTCTTACCAGAACAGCTTTGAACTTCTCATCATGGCTGTTTACAATGGTGAAGATGCCCAGAACAAGACAAAAGCTGAGTTCTTTATTGAAAACATTTAAATAACTCAGAAAACACTAAGGTGCTGTGTGTCTATCAAACACAAGAGGTGATAATCAAAGGCCATGTTTATTAGAGATGTTACTTACAGGAATCCTGGGGTGTGGGGTGAAGAAGGCTGTCTGGAACAGAAACCAAAGTGTTAAGGATTGCCTATTTTTCTTAAAATGCAATAGCTTGTATTCTTCCTGTCATCACAGATTACACATTCCATACATCCACCAGTAGGCTTATAAATGAGCAGCTCATTGTAACATCTGGCTGTTTGGAAACAAGCCCACAAATATCAGACATTTTCTAGAGTATTTGAAATATGAGCATAAACTCAGAAACATCCTGTAGGTCCCACTGCTATGAAACAAACAAAAAAATTCGACCTTTTTGTCAAGTTTACTATTAGTAATCTCCAGCTCACTTTTCCACTTGGACCCATCTTCTGTATTACTAAATGTCCTGACACCAAGGTTGAGTTCGGTGTGTTCTCTCTCTGCTTTGTACCATGTACATAACATCTCAACATCATTTTCTTAGGGAATACATAGTCATTCTGAAGGACTAGCAACAAAATAATGATAAAGTTTTGTACAAAGAGTATCTTTTTTAAAGTTGATAAGATTAGGAAGAAAAAATAGTCTTTGAAGAACTGAGGATATGTCAAAATCATCACCTACTTTTAACAGCTGAAATAAAAATTATTTCTCTGTACAAACACAGGAACTTGAGCAACCAAGCATGTCTTCTCTTATGTCTAGCCATGCTGTACCATGTTTGTGAGTTGCCTTCTCCACCTTTACTAAGACAGAGTTATCCTTGATGTTGTGATTGAGTCATTCTTGTGTGATACACATGGAGTTTTCCTACATGAAGCACACTTTGGCACAGACAGAAGAGGCCAAACCAATGTCAGGGAATAAATTCTAACACCTCTTTCACTGCTGCTCAAAGGTCTCAAGGTACTTGATTTTCACCAACAGAACTTGATTCAAATTTTCTCCATCTCCAATCTGTGGCAGCTGTATCCAGCTGTGGTGGCAGAGATGATGAGCAGATATCTGCCATTTTTTGGTGGATCTGTGACTGGGATCAGTCCTCTGGTTGCAATGATAGTGCTTATTGCAAGCTGCTTACTCGGATTTTGCTGGAGGGAACTGTGAGGTTTGTGTATTTCCATTCAGTGGTTGCTGGTTCACTCACCAGTGAACATCATTGTAATTATACTCAGGCTCCCAAAAGTAATTCTTCAGGCTCATATTTAAAAAAATAAATTTGTGTCTTCATGGCCCTATTTTTGATTGGGTTGTTTTTTGTTTTGGTTTGTTTTTTTATTAGCAGAAAATGTATGGGCAGTCAGGTCAGACTGGTTTGTGTGTTGGATCCAGTGTTGAACCCAGAATAATCTGGGCTGAGAGAATCTTTCTGGAATTACAGCACAGCATGGCATCATATGCTGGGGAAGTTCCGGGTGGCTGCAGCATCTCTGGAGCTCAATGCTCCACCCCAAAAGTTCATGTCAGTGAGAAGTGGAACTCTTTGCTCTTCCTGGAAAAAGATGAATTGTTCCCCAGGAAGACAAGCTGTTGTTCACTGGTTCATTGAGTGAACCAGTCTTATCCTGAGATCCAAGTGGGAAAAAATCTAGCTCACCCTGGAAAATCTGCAGGAATGTACTCCCTGTTTTCAGCTGTGATCTTCTTTGGACAGCTCCCACAGCTCCTAAACAAATCAATTTAAGTGCTATGACAAGGCAAGGATATAAAAAATTTGCTGTTTGCAAAGAGGTAAAGAAAGGCACAACCTTCCCCAAAAAGACCAAATGCATCCTGATATTGCAAAGGGAGACAATCTCAAAGAAAACAGGTCCTAAAGTTCCTGCAGAGAAGTAAGGAACTTCAAAATATTTGTTTCTGAGAAATTTGTGCAGAGGAAATGTGAGGATGCCTTGAATATTGTTACCAAAATATTTGTTTCTAAGGAATTTGTGCAGAGGAAATGTGATGATGTCTTGAATGTTGTTACAGCACTGAACACAATCTCACTTACTGTTCCAGGTAAGCCTGGTGGTCCAGGGGAGCCCGTGTCACCCTGGAGAGAGGAGAAAAATGTAACTAATGATATAAAAAGGTGCCCAAATAAAACTCAACATTACCTGTTAGAAGATGCAGCATTACCAGATGAGATGTGATCCAACCCACCAGCTCAGTGACACTGAAAATCCCAGTGCAATTCTCTGATGGGTGGAATGTACCCAAGTGTTCTGGTCAGAAGTTCTGCTGTCCTTGTTTTGCAGGATTCTCACTTTGTTGACTTTATCACTTTATGATTTTATCACTGACCTGACTTCACAGTTCATTTCTAAACTTAACCCATCCAGTGTAGGATATGGAGCTTAATTTGCTTTTTAAATTAAATTTGATCAAAAATCTTGATTGAAAACCACCTTTTAGCTGAACTTCTTTCATTGATGGAAAACAAAAATCCTATTTTTCATCAAATATTTAAGTTTCTAAACCCAGTCGTTCCCCTAATTTTTGAGTCAAAACTATACTGTTGCCAGAGTATCTCACAAGCATTATAGTCTGGGTGTGGCAGCTGGCATTGACCTTCCTGTGGGCTGTGCTCCACAAACATCAGTCCCCTGACACTTCAAAGCCAAGAACTACCAACAATACTAGTCAGCCTCCCAGATATAGGAGATTCAGGGGCTTCACTGTTGTCAACTGACCACCCATGAAAGAATTGCCACTGCCACAGATGGTGAAAGTCACTGACAAACTGAGGGCTGATGTATCCTAGGAAGAAGAAGGAAGTGGTACCCACATTTTAAATGCTATTGCCACTGTAATGAGGGCAATTTTTTTGCCATACATCCACAAGCATCTGCAAGGTCAGTGCTTCCTCTTCACCTTCATGTTCACAGGGTTTGAATGTAAATTTTGGTGGACATTACTTTTGTCTAGTTCTCTCATTTTCACTAAAATTAGTGTTCTTTTGATGGCAGAAGCCCAGACTGTTTCTTAAATTATTGTTCTATCACACTTCAGGCAGCCACAGAAAACTTCTTTAGACTTTATTTCCAGTCTTATGTATATCAGCCAATTATAAAATAAAGTTTGCTTGAATTAAAGAATTTGTTCTTAATTTCATCAGCTTGCATTGCTTAATAAATGATTGTCTCCATCCCACACAGAGCTATTTTTTCTGCTTCTCTGTAAAGCTCAGTTAAAAATCTTCTGATCTTTCTGAGATACTCTCCTCTATCGCTTGTCTCTGCCCCCTCGTCTCTTTTCCTTCTTGTCTAAGGAATATCACGGTCATTTAATGACTTACCTTTTCTCCCCTTTCACCTTTCATTCCTGGGAAACCATCTCCTCCTTTTTCTCCCTAAAAGCAGGGAAATGAAAGCAGGAAATATGCATATTTTTATTTGATTGCATCAGCCTCACCAAGATATTTTACACTTTCAGTTATCTTATCTGCCTTGCAAGAGGTAGAGCAAGCAATTAAAAATGTGAAATTTTGAAGATGGCTTCATAAAACCACATTATTTTCAAAATCAATTCATATCAACTGAGTTCATGGAAAGGAAAGCACCAAACCTCTAATAACTTGCTTGTAGAAGATCCTACTGCCTAATGCAGTTTAAAAAAGAACAACAGATTTTTTTCCAGTTGGATAAGAAAGGAAGCAGAATAGGAGTTAAGACCCAAAGTGGATATTCATATTACTATTTTATTTATTCACATTACTATTTTGCCTATGTAACCTGGCCTTCTGAACTAGAGCTGCTTAACAAGGATGATGTGATACTCCTCAAAGTGCATACACAAAGAGCATTTATCCTGCATTCAAATTGGAGCTACCTGACCTACATTTTTATAGTATTGTATATAGAATGAATCATAGAATGGTTTGGGTTGGAAGGGATCTCAAAGATCCTGTAGTTTCAACCCCTGCCACGGGCCAGGACACCTTCCACCAGATCAGGTTGCTCTGAACGCCATCCAATCTGGCCTCGAACACTTCCAAAGGAATATATTCTATGTCCAATGCATATAATGGAGCAAACTAAATGAAAAGACCCCAGCTGATTTTTCATAGAATCATAGAATCAGCCAGGTTAGAAGGGACCTTTGAGATCATCAAGTCCAACCTCTGATCCACTACTGCCATGGTTACTAGACCATGGCACTAAGTGATCCTTCTTGATCACATTCAAGTGTGTGGTCAGCTCTCAGGAGTGCAGACCTCATTTACATGGCTAAATTTACTGTCAGGCCCCTGATACAAATATTTCCTGGTATATAGATGACTCCAGAGGTTTGGAGCTAGCCAGGGGAATCAGTAGGCACCAGGATGCGGGTGGAAGTTAGACCATCAGAAAATAATCAAGCCATCTGCAGCTTTCTCCAAGGCTCAGTGACAAAGGGAATTGTGATTTTTTGTTGTTATCAAAAATCGTTACTGTTCTTAAATAGGGCAGATATTTCTGGAAGGGAGTCCTAAAGAACAGTGTACCTCTTCTACTGCCTAACAGTCAGCATGGCATCAGTCACAACCTTCTACATTTAGGATAAACACTGTTCATTAGCACCTCTGCTGCAAGTAGGAACAGTCACTAGGCAGGAAATACCTTTTTGGAAGGGGTGCTTGTTGACCTTGCTGGATGCCAATCAGCTGCTCACCACAGCAATCTCACTAAGAGAGAACATCGTCCAGGGACACTCAAGATAAGTCATCCTGATGCCAAACAGCCCAAAAAAAGATGAAACTGTTCCTCAAAGTCACTCACCTGGTCTCCTTTTTCTCCCCTCAGTCCAGGTAAACCCTGACGACCTGGAAGTCCTGCTTCACCCTGGGAATAAGACAAAGAAGTTTATGAAATCTAGAATACTGTGGTACAGACCTTGCCCCTGTTTTCTCAAGGGATTGATTATAGATATAGTTTTCTGAGAGATGATGGGATTAGTCTGATTATAAAATAATTTCCTTTTTTTTTGAAAACCATTACATAAAACAGCAGTTAAGCCTTCTCCATTTTGCCTGTTAACTGATGCCATGGAATTTGGGACATAATTTCTTCATGCTGCTCTGTAGCAGGACCAAGGAAGCAAATAAAAGCAGCTAAAGAAATTAAATCTAACTTTTATTTTCATCTTTAATGATCTGGTGTAGTCTGGAAATGCAAAAACTGTACTGTATTAATCTGAAGAGTACAGATGTCACCTGAAGAACAGATCTAGAATTTTCTGGATGCACTTTTGTACATTTGGATATATTTCTGTTTGAACCTTGCCTTTGATTTTATGCTTTGTAATACTTGCTATTGGAGTAATTACGATCTCTGTGTCATGTGGTTTCTCCTAAATATATCCAGTATTCTCAAATTTAGCTCCCAGTTGACACAGTTTGTCATCTGAAAACAACCATGTGGTTTCCTATTTATAATTATTCTGCTCTCCCCGCATTTGTAGTGTGATATCACAAAGGATCTCAGTCATGGCCAAGACCCAAATTCACTAAATCTTGTACAAAAACTGAACTAAGAAAAGATGATCCCTGCTTTAAAACAATGATCTCAGGTAAAGGAAGGCCCAAAAGATTATCATGATATAGGTGAAATAAGTCTGCAGACAAAATCAGGTGAAAAACAAGGTGCTGTGGTGACTGAGGATGACCAGGAACATCAGGGTGATGTTGGGACAATTTTAAAGAAAGTGACATTTGGTGACAGAGGAAGTGGTGCTTTCTCAGAGCCAAGCAGAATCCTGGCTGATCATGGAATCACAGAATAGTTTTGGCTGGAAGGGACCATCAAGACCATCTAGTTCCAACCCCTCTGCCTTGGGCTGGGATACCTCCCACTAGACCAGGTTGCTCAGAACCCCATCCAACCTGGCCTTGAGCTCTTCCAAGGATGTGAATGATGTTAAGATGCCAGAGATCAAGACAACAATTAGAGGGCCTGACATTAAAGAAGGACAAAAAAGAAAAATTTGGAGGGAAAATAAAAACATGTGGTGTAAATTTGGCCTCTGGAAAGGTCCTGAAGCAAAACATCAGTGAGTCTGTATGAGTTCAAGGACAGATAATACAAAACAGCCAACATGGATTTTTTAGAAACTAACCATATCAAACCCATCCAGTTCCCTCCCTTGACAAGATAACCAAGTAGATAAGAAAGAAGAATTTGTATTATGTATCTTGACTTTAGTAAGACATCTGACACAGGCCAACATGATATTTTCATTAGTAAATCACAGAAATGTAGCGTAGAAGGGTCTTTGGAGGATGGTGTACAACTGATTGAAGAAACAACATTAACACACCTGCTGTGAGCTGTTTCCTGTCAAAATTCAGAGGATATACAAAGTGAAGTCCTCTAAGGGTCTGCACTATTCAGTATCTAATTCATGACTGAGGTGACAGAAAAGAGAACATGTATGAAATGTGTGGAGAACACCACACTGTGGAGAGAGGAGCAAGTGTTTTGGAAGGTGGTGTTAGAATTCAAAACAGCCTTGTGTGGAGAAATGATTCTGACCAAGGGGCAGTGCTTTGGTTGGGCTCTGACCCTTTGCTGCACTGGAACCAAGCCTGCCTGGAAACTGCAAGCCTGGCAGGTTGTTTGCCCAGCTACAGCGAAATGACATCAAGGAAGGGTATAGAAATCACTCTTCCCTGGGAGCCTAATGTGCTCCTGAGGAATGATTTGCCCATGCCCTGTTAATCTCCCCTTACTTGGGATGGCAGGTGAGGATACTTTTCTTCGAAATGAGTGTTTCCTATTAGGTAGATTATAAGGAATTTTGGAATAGAAGCAGAGCAGTCCCCACTCACAGGGTGGTGTAGTTTTTACCCATTTAATAAGTGCCTTATCCCAATAAACCTCAATTTCTACCTCAGAATTGGAGCCTTATTCCTTCAATCACTGAATCATAGAATCATTAAGGTTGGAAAAGACCTCTAAGATCAAGTCCAATCATCAACTCAGCACCACCACTATGTTCACCACTAAACCATGTCCTAGGGTGCCATATCCATACATTTTTTGAATACTTCCAGGGACAATAACTCCACCAATTCCCTAGGCAGTCTGTTCTAGTGCTTGACAACGCTTCCTGTGAAGAAGTTTTTCCTAATATCCAACTGAAATCTCCACTGAAGCAACTTGAGGCCATTTCCTCTTGCTCTGTCACTTGTTGCCTGGTAGAAGAGACTGATCCCCAAAACTGCTTCTTCCCTTATTCCCTCCAAGTCCAGTTGGTAGTGCATGTTCTGCTTTATTGCATAAGCCAATATGGGAGCAGAGGCCATGACCATCCTCCTATTCGGTCTTTACAGCAGAAGACTGGACTGAAACCGGTAGGAGTAAGAAGACTTTGGGTCTAAGACTTTTTCATTGCTGGTATATACTCTGCACCCCAAAAATTTTAATATACAAGACTCTGTATTATACAGACTTCTCTTTCTACAGAACTTCATAATACAGTTGAAAAGTTGACATGCAGATGACAATGTCAACATCTATGGTTAGTTAACTAAGATAACTATGTAACAGTCAGCAAGCATTTACAACTTAAAGTGACAGCATCACCTCTTACATCAAACATCATCTTCCAGAACCAGCACTCTGTGTTAACATGAGATGTGAAGGAAACTAAGCATTGAAGGCACTCTGCCTTCCTATTCTTCCCTATCCATCAGGAATAAGATGATTCATTTTTCCAGGATATAATGAAAAGTTGGATATTACACATTTTTGTTCTCAAATTTTTACTTTATTCATTTCAACCATGAAACTCATTTCAACTCATTTCATCCCCCCCTCTGTTGCATCTTCAATTGCAGATGCAAATGACATGCACAGATCTTGTCACTGGCAAATGGTTTTGTTATTGCATGTGGTCACTTTACATTGCTCTGACAGGTAGGCTTTTCTCTGAGGACTATTTTTCCTGCTCACCTGCTCGCCAGGCTGGCCACGGCTCCCTGGTTCACCCTGGAAAAACAAAAGGAAAACTTTACCACCGTAAGGACCTGACCCTTTGGTAAGAACACTTTCTCATTAGTAAAATATATCCCCTACTATCCTGGCCCATGTTGTTCTACCAACATCTCATAAGGCACTGAAATTGCCTTTTTGATGGCTTGGGAATGCAGAACACAGAGATCCAACACAAGGTCCAGGTCAGATCTCCCTACACACTTAGGTCTGAGGGAGTGGCATAAAATAGGGTTTGGTATTTCAGAACACCACGAGCTCTGAAAGGCAATGAGCCTCATCTGCTTATTCACTGATGTCTCCAACTAAAGGAGAGTAAGATTCCTCTGTCTTCAGCATAAGACCTTCCAAAATCACACCTTGATTGACTCTGTGGCTACAGCAGACTGTGAAATAAAATCCCTTACCTTAGGGCCAGCTTTTCCAGGAAAGCCTTCCTCACCCTTTTCCCCTTGTTCTCCCTGCAGGGAACACAAGAAGTCAATACTCAAACTCCTCTGGTAGTGCAGCGTGTTTGCAGACAATGGTAAGGAATATTTTAACTCAGCTCCTCAGTATCAGCCTGAAGGTGTAAATTGAGCTATGTGAGAATATGGTTCCTGGAATGTATTTCCTTTCCAGTACAATCACATCTCCAGCACCTGTCACCCTACTGGAAAACTTGTGGAATGACACAAAGTGAATCACTGTTATTTAAAGATGCCTATATTGAATTATCTGAAAAACAACACCTCCATTCAGTTTCTTCAAACTATATGTGGTTAGAAAGCTAGAAAGTGTTTTGAAAAAAAACAACATAGAATTTTGGGACTGGGACCTTGGTCACTGAATCCACTATGTAAACACTTTGAAACTTATCTTCCAATGCCAGTGGTATCAGCACAGACAGCAGAGGCTGCAGTGATTGACATGTGCTGAATAGGTGGGAAGTGCACTAAGTATTACAAATGGCTGTGGATAAAATCCAAAGTTTATTTAACATCAGAAATATGTTGTGAGCTCCAAATTCCTCACCTTTACTCATCAATAAATGGCAGTTGGGGACTCTGCTAGACCTGGGCTCAAGTATCAGAAGGAAGAACGCTGTTGCCAATGCAATCCAAGGCAACTGATGGTTAAGAGCTGTTGCCCTTAATCCAATATTGCATCATCATCCCCAAAGCCTAGTTTGGCCTTTTTAGTCATAATATGGCACATTTCTTTGTCACTTATTTTCATAGGGAGGGCAGGTCAACTAGAGTGTATCCTATCTCTAAATCTCCTATCTCCAAATCTCCTATCTCCCTTCTCCCACTGCAGAGACAACAGAGAAGGCAACTCATCACAATCTGTCATTTAGAGAAGCTTTCAAATGGGGTATAAGAAGTAGAACATAATAAAGAACCATCTTTCTGCTACAAAGACCTAGAGATGGCTTAGGGGGATGGTATCTCTTCTTTCCAGCTGTTCAGGGAGGAAAGAAATGAACATTTTTGGAGCCTGCTACATTTCTTTGTTCTTCTTTGTGCTTTGTGCTTTGGATATATGTCTTGACTTGCCAGAGTCATTGAATTTCCTGAATGACAGTAGAAGCTTCTCTGCTTCCAGTGCTGAGCTGTGTTTGCCAAATAGGATATAGTAGTTGAAGACTGGAAGAGGATCTCTCTTCCCTGCTGTATTTACAACCAGCTCCATCTGCATCACGACTCAGGGCAGTGCAATCACACCAGCTGACTTGGCCCTGGAGCTTCACCGGTGGCTCAGCAGTGTGGGATGGGTGAGGGGGTGTTTGACTCCGGAGATGTGCCCACCTTCCTGCCTACCCTTGGTAGCTCACCCCAGTGATCTGCCCAGGTGAGCGGCTTAATCCCAGGTGCGTGGTGTCACTTGCCTTTTGGCCTGGAAGCCCAGGAAGCCCATTGAGTCCATCTTTGCCAGGCAACCCCTAAATAGGAGGAAATCATAATCTGTAAGTGCTGGTTCTTCAAATTGTTATCATCAAACTCAGGATAATATTTCTCAGTTCATCCCTCCTGTCACTCACCTAAATTTAAGAAAAGAAGAACCACCTCATGCATTTTGTTTTACCTTTTTTTCCTACTGTGACTGAAAACACACAAAAATTCTCACATTGCACATATTTGCCTGGCCCTTTTTCCAGTATCCCAGTTTTAGTGAATGACCATTGGATGTCAGTGTTGTTACAGAGAAACACCAGTAAAGCATTTTATGCACTGTGGATTGTTAAATAAATTTTCACTTATCTTACTTACATTTAAACTTATTCTCTATAAGTCTCTATCATTCATAACCATGAAGACTTTTTTACATCTATTTCTCCTTTTAAATATTGGTAATTTCTTATACAGTATATAGACTCCTAAAATTAAATTACACAACACGCAGTGACTGAATGGTTCAACAGGATAAGAAATAAAATTACTTCCTGTAATGTATTTAAAATAGTGAGAAAAAGCTTTTTTCCCTTTCTGAGTGTCATCTATCCCCAAACATTGCAGGCTGTAGGTGGCAGTTCTGCACTAAGTATTGAATAATTTACCTTTCTTGACTTAAGATCCAACAGAAATTTCTATGTTCTGCTAAATCTGAGATTTTAATTGCAAGTTATTTGGCCTGAATCAGGAAATTCCAGGTTTGGAAAAACAATATTGTGTCAAACGCACAAACACTATTGAAAGGTATCATATAAAGAAAATATCAAGGTCCCATTGCATAGGAATAGTGGGGCTGTACCTGGTAAAATTCTTATTCACAAAAGGCACCAGAGACTAACGTCTGCAGTAAAGGTGAAGTTGTTGGAGCCCATGTTAAAACTTTGTGTGCAGACAAGTTACAGGAAATGAAGCAGACATGAGCTTTAAATGATTTGAAGTAATGGAGAGCTTGGAGGTGAGCTAAACAGTTCCTCAACACTTACAGGTGGTCCCGGTGGCCCCGTTTTACCAGAAACTCCAATTTCTCCTGGCAGTCCCTGAAAAATGAAATCAGAAAAAAAAATAATCAGTAAATCTGTCCTTTGCAGGAGCCTCACTGGAGATGGCTGCTTTCAATCAAAGCGCAGTTTCCCCTTCCACGGCAGTCAGGTTTCTGCTCTAGGGAGTCCTGTAGACATAACCCTTATCCCCAGAGAGCACCGACGTGTCTCCAAGGCTCAGCACAGAGAAACTGTCTTCTAGGACAAGCTGTGGCTTTGCAGTGAGAAAATATAAGAGAAAACACACATTGCCAGAGGCCCTAACTCTGTTCCCTCTGAAAACCATGACCTAAAATTATCCCCAGCTGTTTTTTCTTCTTCTTGATGCAAAATAAAAAAACCCCCAAGCTTTCTTACCGGTGTTCCAGGTGGTCCAGGGGGTCCAGCACTGCCTGGGGGCCCTGGAGGTCCCTGCAAGAGAGGAAGCAAAGCCAATTTATCAAGCCCTCTAATAGTGGCTGAAAGCCTCAGGTCCTTCCCTGTGTAGTAGGGGCCCTGTAGAAAATGGGCAAAAGCACTGAGCTTTATTTCATTAACTTCTACCCAAAAAATGCAAGATACAAAAATGAGCTCCAAGGGATCCATGATCACAAACAGAATAAGACCTTCTGCTTAAGCCACTGTGCTACAAGGTGAGCTCCATCCCCCACTCCAGTACAAAAGACGGAAGAACTGAAGGCCATGAATGGTACCTACAACACAAAGCCTGACCAGCGGGATCCCTTGAAGCATCCAATCTAATTTAACCTTGATTCATGTTACTTCAAAGTGAATGATTTACCTCTGCAAAAACCTTGCTGAAAGTAACTAATGAATGGAACAGGCCTGTGGTTTGAGCTTGTTTTTTTGGGGGGGGTGAGGGTAAAAATATGAATCCAAGTGTCCAGAGAAACACTGCAGTGATTCAAGTGTTTTAAAACAAATGCACCACCATTTTGCTGCTCTACATCAACCTGGTTGGTAGTAAAAGGTCCTCAAGAACTCATACTTCAGTGGACACATTCAGTTGGAAATATCTTAACACTCTTACTCATCTTCCTGCAACAGCTGTTTCTCTAAGGAAAAATACTCTTTCAATAACCATCTGATGTACAGAAGGATTTATTTTTGTATAGAGTAAATTGTTAAATTTGGTTTCCTAGCTGAGAAATTTGTTTCCAGACTTGACAGACCTTAATATGCTGCCTGAGATGCAGAGGTGTTTGTTACCGTCAGCTTCCCCTGTAGACAAGACAGGATTTCTCCTGTGCTCAGAACAAAGCATGTGTTCATGTATTTTTTGGATCAGGACCTGAGCAAACAGCATGAGGATGGATGTGAGAAATGGATATATGACTGAGTTGAGATTTTACCCTGGCTAACTCACTCCATCTTTCTAACATGACTATTTCATTACTTTTCAGTCTTCAACATAGGGAAGTTCTGGTGTGATTGTACTTAAAACCCAACAAACAACTCCCCTATCCTACCCAAACCCTCTGTAAAGATTTGAAACTGAGCAATTGATACAAGACAGAAAACAACCAGACAGACAGTATTTTCCCTGTCACCATTCAATATTAAGGTATTACAATCAATATTAGCATTTACATTTCAGGAGAAATGTAGCTGCAAAGAAAAAGAAAACAGTGTAAAAAAGGAGCTATTTGTGGCATGGTTTGGCAGAGATTATGGCAATAAGTGATCTTTATAGAATACACTGGTAAAATTCAGCCAGAAGCTAAGACAGCATCTCACCAATAGATGGGGCAAAGTGACCAAAAAAGAGTCCTGTAGATGCACTTGCCTCCCATGATCTGCATTCATTGCAACTCAGAACAGACACGGAGTTATCCTGTTAAAATTATTTGTAGAGTGCCTCAGATGTGAACACAGCTAAAACATCCCCAGAAAGAAGTGCCTTTGGATGCACTGATGCTGATGATATAATTCCTGGTGAATCCTGCTGGTGGGTCCTGATCTTAAAGATTTTGCACACATCAGGAGACACTTGGTCAAGACCATCCATCACTTAAAACAAGGCCTTACCATTCAAAATAAAACTCAACAGTCCAAATTAGCCCAGCAGAAAAGAGAAGACCACACTCAGACACAACTGTTTATAGGCACAACTGGATGGATTGACCTCAGACACCAGGGACATGGAAATTCTGCTTGGCCCTACTCCACCTCTACAAGGTCTTGCTGAGAGAGGCCCTACAGAAGGTATGGGCTCCAGGAAGGGGTTTCCATGAAGAGTAGGTGGAATAGAAGCCAGCAAAGATTTAGAAAAACAACAAACTGATTCAGCTTGGACTTTGCGTAAGTGCAGGAAAGAAATTGTGAAATTTACCTTTGCAGGCTTTCCTTGACAATTCCAGTGATTCCTTCCTAACAATTTAATTTTGTTCTTGCTCTCTCTGCCAATAAATGAACCATCTCCCACCATGAAACACATGTCCTCCATGGTCCTACAACAGGGAACTTCTACCAAGAGGTGAAAAACCCCAGGCAGGACCCAGCCTCTACCAAGGAACTTCAATTATGATGTGAGTTACCCCACACAGTGACAGACTGAGAGGTGTCAATCTGACCTAAAAGCAAAGTCTTACTCAAGCATCTGACAGCAACCAGTGTAATCCCTAAAACGTTAGGCTCTACATTCTCCTCATCCCAACTATTTCTCAGTAATCCTCAGTATTCTCAGTATCCAAGACAATTTCTAATTATTCTCTTAGACTCTCCATATTCTAGACCACAATAATCTTATGCAAACATAAGTCCTGAAATGGAAGCCCACTGATCTTTTTCCTAAATTGGCACTAATAATTCCTTTCCATTGGTCTCCAAGAGATAATTACCCAGGATATCAGTCCAAACTGGTTTGCAGCTCCACCACATGTTGCACCAACAACTGGTACGTTCACTAATGAGAAGCTCTTCTGATAGAATCTTCTCTGAGATTGGCATAGAAAGAATGGTTTTGTGCAATGACCAGCAGTATCCCTTGGAGATGCCCAGGGTGCTGACAGCCTGCTCCAGCTGACTGATGTGCAGTCCTACTGGATGTCTTGTTTTCTGCAACCTGGGCTATAGCAAGTGATGGTACAAAGACACACAAAATGGTACAAAGAGACATAAAATGGCAGAAATACATCATAAATATCCTTTATAGAGCCCTCTCTTTTGCTACCATGCAGAGCAATTCTGTTTCACTTCTATATAAATATCTGTTATTGTAGCCCTTCTCCTGACTTCTGGGTATAATTCAGAGCAAGGAATATTCTTTTTAAGTATTAGAATGGACGAAACTGACAGCATTTATTTGTATTTAAAAAACTTCAACATCATAAAACTACAGCAGCAGGATGGCGTGCAATATGCACCTCATAAATCTCACACCATCAGTATTCTTTGCTTCCATTTTTAAGTTAATCCAGATTAAAGTACCTGATTTATACAATCACCTTTTACATTTGATGAATTATACAGATGAGACCCTCTGTTCCAAATCCAGACTCCAATGTTGCCCCCTTAAAACTCTGATCTAGAAGGAAATAATCACAGAGTGCATTTTTTCTGGCTAGTAACTCTGATGTGTGCTTTGTACATGTTGAAATAAAAACTGATACATGAAAACTTGATTCTAAAACAGGACTACACAAATTCAGTTTGGAAAACAAATGCAAAACGTGGATCTTTTATCAAAATGTTTAAATCAAAGTATTTTAAAACTGTTACTTTGAAACAAAAAATATTTTCAAGGTTCATTACAATCTAAAATCCAAATAGTGTGTAGAAGTGTGTGTGTCATGGGTTGGGACATCTTCAAAAACAATGTAGGGGGTGGATTTCTTCAGGCTTGTGTTTCATCCAGCTCCATTCCTTAGATGATATAATGCAAGGACAGTGCTCAGGAAAGAAATCTGACACTATTCATATTGGAGGAACAGCTGTGCCTGTGCTCCAGGATCTACTGCTCTTTCAGTGCATACCTTGCTGAAAGACAGGCTGGGAAAGGCAGAGCTATTAAGATTTAGGTTCTGCACTCCCTAAGGAATCTCTGAGAAGGAACAGAAACTTTGGTCTGTGACTCCATCAGTAGGCTTAAATCTCTTTTCCGTGAAAGAAGGGATGACTAAGTCTTAGAGAGAGGTGAACAAATGCCATTCCACGAGGAAAAGTGAAGTCTGATGGCTTTCCCAGATACGTGTCTCTGGAGGCAAAGCCTGCACAGACATATTTTCTCTATATTGTTCCATGCTGATGACTGGATTCTTCTACACCATGAGAAAGGCTTAGATAAGCCCTTAGCTGATACTAAAACAGACTGTGGTCTGAGCTTTTCAAGCAGTGTACCAGTGTTAGAAGAAGGGACATGCAGAAGCATCGTGTCTGCTGCCACAATTAGAGCAAAATGAGTAACTAAGGAGCTGACAGCCTTTTCCCCTTCACTGTCTGTGCTCGTCCCCACTTCAAAATCAATTGCTCCCTGTAATTTCACCTCTTAGAAAGACCATACAGACCCTTCACGTTGTTTTCGTGCTGTCTTCCCTATATTTCCCCTCCTTTTCCATGAGAAATGAGGCTGTTGTGTGGGGCAGCCCAAGTGTCTCACTATTTCTCTTGCTACTCCAGCTCTCCATTTCTCCTCTGCTGCGTCTGAGGCGATTCTGGGATCAGCTCCTCAAATATGCTTTTCATTTCTCATCCCAAGCACTACAGTATCCACCAGCACAACTACTGTGAATCAGAATTATAGAATCAGAGAAATGCTTAGGTTGGAAAAGACCAGAGTCCAACCAGTAACCCAGCACTGCCAGGGCCAGCATTAAACCATGTCTCTAAGCACCACATCTACACGTCTTTAAAAAAGCCCCAGGGACAGATATTCTACCACTTCCCTGGGCAGCCTGTTCCAATTCTTGACCACCCTTTCAGTGAAGAAATTTTTCCTAATATTCAATCTGAAATTGAAGTTATCACTGAATTATTTTCAGTAATGCTGCATTAGAGGACCAAGTTGCTCTCTGTTAAATCTTGCCTTACAAATCAATACAAATGTAAGAAGATACAGAAAAAAGCTATTGCTGATGACACTGAAAACCAAAAGCCTAAAGAGACGAAGATCTGAGTATTTACTCACAATACATGTCCTATAGTCAGTGTCAGTGCCTTGATTCATAAGGGGGTGTGTTCTCTGGTCCTTGCAACAGATGGAGTACCAACAGGAATTGGAGTACCAACATTAAATTTAAAATAAAAGTTTTTTCAAAAAAAAATTCTCCAAACTGTTTTTGCAGCTCTATATAAAGTTGACTTTGTACATAGCAATCTGTCCAGGAGAGCTTTCTGCTTCCAGTGAAAGGCAGTATTTGTTTAATTTCATCACTTAGTGTAAGGTGTGGACATGATCTCTTTTGTCTACAGAGGAAGATTTATTTCACTATGTGTTTGCTTGGAGTTGGTTTAGTGAGTCAGAGCAGCAAATAAGAAAAACAACAAAAAACTCCTCCTTTAATGTCTTTTGTTTCAGCATTGTTACTAATTTGCACAGGTGAACAATTTTTATTTTTTTTAAAGGTATAACTCTTATTAAGGATAGCTCTGAGCAATATCTTCCAATTTCAAGCAGCACTGGCAAAGTTTGAATTCAATCTGAGTTTACAGCTGGGGCCCGTATCCTTTTCTTACATTTTGTAGTATTAACTGGCATTATAAAAAGGACATTAAGGACACCATGCATTTCAGAGGAGATCATTTATTTCCTGAATTACTTAAGAAAAGCTGGGGTTGAGCTCACACCCTACAGACAAGTCTATACTAATTAAATCACTGCCAGCCATGACCATAATAGGTACAGCTTGTACTGGTCTTCCTCTCAAGTCTTATTTTTACCACCAGGTTATCGAGCATAAGACAAAACTCAATAACAGCCCAGAGATATTGCGAGGGTGAGGAATGACATTTTTGTTTAAATCTCAAATAGTTTTGGCTTATTTTGCTGTCTCACAGGGGGCCAGAATGTACCTGCTCAGCTCAGGAAATTGAGAGTGGCTCAGTGGACCACTTGTAGGTGCCTGTTTTAGGAGAGTTTCAGGCTCCACTGATGGTATTAGTTGGATCTTCATCAACAGGAGCAGACACCTGCATTGCCATCCTTAACCCAACAACGGCTTGCACTCCAGCCCTGGGAATTCCGTGATACAGCTCGGAGTGCCTGAGCCCTTGGTTTGCACTGGAGAGTCATCTGCCGTCCCTACTGAGCCTGCACGCACAGCCCTCATGGCTCACTCAGTGTGCACTGCCTGCCTGCAGGTCTCCCTCCTCCTCAGGATACCCCTCATGTCTAGAAAAGCATTTGCAAAAGTACCTCATCAACCACCTCCAGCCCTTCCCTGAGCTCTTCCCATCACCAGATGATGGGATAGGCAAGGTGTGTTGAGATCCCAGGTGGCCATGCAGAAATGAAAAGCCTGTTTTCGCCTGCCTGGTACCCATCCATCTATTTCAGCTGAGAGCCCTTTACAGAGATGCTCATTTTTCAGTCTGCACTTGAACAGCCTACTGCAATAGAAGTTTGGCCCATGATTAAGATTCCTGGACACTAAAACAGTACAAATAAATAATAAAAACAAAAACACAATATGAGTTCAGATGTCTGTGTCATTGCTGCCAGGAAATCATTCACATCCAGAGGGGAAAAAATACTCAAGGTGTCTATTCCATGGCTTAATGATGTTGCAAGATGCACCATTTCTAAAGGTCTCCAGAAAATAAACGCATATTTTTGGGGGTGCTGACTAGACAATATGGAGCAAATTGGCAAAGGGACAAGTTCACCACCACAGCTGATTTGGAATGAAAATTAAATATATTAAAATATTTTTTGACTAAAAAATTTAGTTTGATTTGGTGTGTGCAAGGAGAGAGAGAAAGCTAGGGCTGCTCTATTGTCGCAAAACAACCCCCCAACATCAGGCTACTTGAGAAGTTGCCTCCTAGGTGCTGCCTCAGGGTTTGACACTTAAATTAGCTCTCAAAGGGTCCTTGAGAGTTGGACTGACTCATCTCAACTCCAGTTCATCACTGGATCACAGAATCATAGAACAACATGAGCTGGAAGGGACTCACAGGAGTAGCCCTCCGGTCAGTTCTCTTGCACAGCTCCCTGATCTTCTGGGGCTTCTCAGTTGGACTGAACACGACTGCAGCTATTTTTATTGATAACTTCTTGATAATAACTTCAGATCATCTTTTCTATGTCCTTCAGCTACAAGGTGCCTTCTAAAACTCCTACATCCACTCCTTCCTTTTGCCCAGACAGATATCAAGGAGGGTAATCAGGTCAGAAAACAAAAGTATATTTACATTTAAAACAGCAGAGGAAAGGGGGACTATTTTCATGTCCTAAACTAATTTATGTACAGCCAACTCCAATCATTTGTCCCTCAATGCCGTGGAGACAGCACAGGAACAGTTGACAGAGGCTTCCATACGTAACTGGAATAAATAGCCATGTAACCACAGTGTAAGGAAATCCGCTTTTCTTCCTGGGTATTTTTGGGGCATAGTCTAATTAAGAAAAATAAAGAAAAATGCTGATAGAATGCTGTAAAAATCTAATGCCACAAAAAGTGCCATTAAGCTGAAAAGTAGTTTTGTAACAAACTGAATGTAAGCATTTTCTCTACAGAGAAATATGGAAATCTGCAGTAATATGTCCACAACAGAGTGCCACTGCAGGAATATGAACGTTTTTCCTTTCTTGCAGTTAGCTTGGAGGAAGAGTCAATTTAAGTATCCCTCAATGGGGTTAGCATTCTATGCAGTTTTAATTAACCTAAAATTTGCTAACTTTATTTAGGTTGTGCAGAAAAGAAAATTACCTAATGCTGTGTCAGCAATTTTCTCAGATACATTTATAAAATTGCTAACACATGCATATATATATTTAATTGCAGGGAACCTGAGCTGAGAAAGTGTGACATTACTTGGATGAATACTGTCAGGTATCTTAGAAACAATGCATGGAGAAAAATCTTCCTCCAAAATGAAGGAAAATGCCTTTTCAATATGTCAGAAGGCTTGGGGGGACCTTTCAATGTTATCCAATGGAAAAAAAAAAAGAGCAAAAAAACAACCAACCAACCAAAGAAAACAAAACCAAACAAAAGTAGGGAATTGGACTCAATAATCCAAGGGTTCAAGACACCTGACAGAGTTTATGCAGAATTTGGACAATGCTCTCAGGCACATGGTGTGATTCTCAGGGATGACCTGCGCAGGGCTGAGTTGGACTCAATGATCCTTATGGGTTCCTCCCAACTCAGAATATTCTGTGATTCTAAAATCTTTTAAATCCATTAGAAATACCATCTTCATTCCTTTTGAAGGCTGCTGCTGAAATACTTGCAAACTAGATACTGTACCAAAGGAAAAAAATCTTAAAGTATGCAAACCAGTATCAAGTGGTGTATTGCAGGGCAAAGTTCCCAGCTGGACACAAGAGACTTCACTTGCACAAGGACACAAGCCCTTGGATTGCCTCTCTGACATCCTCCACAGACATTTGAAAACAGCTCATTACAAAACGTCTGCCACACAAACTATTTCAAGATTGTTTCTCCTGGTTACAAGGGTACAGCTTGCCAGAGGAAATAAATGAACAATCAGTATCTGCTGTCCAGCACTGTGCTGCTTGTTGCAATACATCACCAACAGTTGTAGCAGTGGAGGCTTGTCATTCTTGCCCAAAATTTTACCAATTATTGAAACAGAGTGCTAAAGCCAAAGCCCAGTTTGTTAATTTGTCATTGAGAAGGGAATGAATGAAATGCTAAGTCTTATCCTCAGTGCTCAGCAAAATGTGAGGTTCTGTCTTTCTGCTTGAGGACATTCCCACAGATATTTTTCTTGTTGCAGGGGTGACCCTGCAAAGTGACTTTGGTCAGCTGAATTTGTCTACAAAGTTAGCAAGAAACCAAGCCAGAGGCAAGTGTCAGTGTTATTGTAACACAAGGCAGATCTAAGGTGGAGCCAAATCCTCTCTGATGGTTCTCAACACACACAGTACTATTTTCCCCTTATGATGTTATGATGTTGCACAGATGGCGTAATTTAAAGCACTAACTTGTCAAAAACTTTAAAACAAAGGAGCTAAGGCGTCATTAACTGAAGACATCCCCTTCCTCACACGGAGAATAAACATTTACTTTTAGGCCCCTGTCTTTAGCTTCCTCAACAAGCCAACACTTATTCCTCTATAACAAGTAGAAAGGTGAGTGTCAAAAGACACAAAACCAGTCTTGTGCTCAAAGTGTGCTTTCTGAATAGTAAATAAAATTAAACTGTTTCTTCCCTCAAGACTGCAACACAGGAGCTCTGTCTGCAGTTGCCAATTCACACAGCCAATAATTAGCTGAGACACTGTCCTAAATATTACAAAACACAAATCAGTGCTTTCCTTCTGGAATGATGCTGCTCTAGGCAAAAGCAATGGGGAAATCAGATACAAAACACCTCCTTAGGTCCCTGTTCAAAGATGATGAAAAATTGTGGAAGGTAAAAGTAACTGCTGCAAGAGAGACATTCCCTCAATCACAACAGGATAAATTATTTGGGTCTTAAAGGAGAAATACCAGATTCAAATATGGTACAGAGGAGAAGATCATACATCCTGCATTGTGGTTCCAAGTCACCTGTTTCCACAAAATCTGTTTTTCCACATATTATAAGACAGTGAAGAAATCATTGCTTACCTGAGGGCCGATCAGACCATTGATTCCTGGGAATCCTGGTTCTCCCTTTTTACCCTGCATGTTCAAGAGAGGACCAAATATTAAACAACAGACCAAAGACTGCTATTGAATTTCCAAAGTCTTTCACCCCTAGACTGGCAAATCACCGTAATGTGGGTACACAAATCACAAAAGCTAGAAATGAAGGCAACAGACACCACTTGGAAGTGAAACTCCAGTTGTATTTGACAGTTCTGTATCTCCCAGATTGCAGCAATAGTCCTGAAGTTGAGAGTTGTTCTCATGCACATCATGGCATCTCCTACACCCTGCAATCCCACCTGGGTGCTCCCTACAGAGGAGGTGCCAAGTGTAGACACTCTGCTTGCTACAGTCAAGCCCTTCGCCCATCCCCAACAAAGCCAAGAAGTTTCTCTTCTATCCCTTGCACTGCTTCATGCATTAAGAAAGAAAATAATTAAGAACTCTGGTGCGTGGAGGAATATAAAAGATTCACAATCTCTAAGCTGGGAAACAGGAGTCCCTGAGGTATTTCTAACTAGGGTTGGCATTAGCACCAAGGGAGGCAGAGCTCTCTGACTCCTCTGCATACAAAAAAGAACCCTCTAGAGGAACCAGAGAACTTTGCTGGTGCAAAGGAAGAATAAACCAGAACCTGGAGTATACCCTTGAGATGAGTTCAACCATACAGATGCAGCAGTATTTGTGTTCCCATGGGTTTGACCTCAAATAGTTCAAAGGGAAAAAAATCCTACATGAGTAAAACAGGAAAGAAAGGATGGAGTAGCACTGAAGTTAAGGCAGAGGTTGGGTTTGTTTCTCAACCCAATAGTGGACTTGTTGTGATACTTCAGGCAACCACATATTTTATAAAAATTATCTATTCTTCACTCATATGTAATAGACACTAAATAATTAATGCTTCTGAGGTTGTTAGTAATATTCTAGGAGGGTACAAGAGGAGTCAAGTAAATGACTAAGAGACAGAGAAAAGGGACTCTCCCTCATTTCTACTTCTCATCCAGACTGATTTTCTTCTTGAAGGAAAATACAATTAAGCAAGTTTCATGTCATTGATGATATAAATGGTCATACAGACACTTAAAAGTCATATATATAATTTTTCCTTTATTTTTTCTTTATTGAAACATGTCCAGAAACAACGTCTATGAACAATTCCCCCCAGATTAGCTCAGTTGGTTAGAGCATGGTGTTAAAACACCAATGTTGTGGGTTCAATCCCTGTATGGGCCATTCTCTTAAGAGTTGGACTTAATGATCCTTGTGGGTCCCTTCCAACTCAGAATAATCTGTGAAATCCTATGAAACAGATTTCTACTGACTTAAATGAAAGAAAAAGCTAAAATACCACAAGCAAAACTTGGTTTTGTCATATTTCCCTTGGTATTGACTGAGATTCATTAGCTGGTGTGTCAGAATCTGATTGTCTAACTATTTTTATCATAAAAAAAACCAAAAACCTGACAAAAATCAGAAGTCAGATGCAGAAGAATATAAGAAGAAAACTAAAGGAGTGACTATAGGGTTCTTGGGTATCAGAAGGATTTTGTAATCATTTCCAGAACTCTAATACCAATAAAAACTTGCATTATATATTCAAGCACATCCATCATTCATAAATGTGCCATCTATTTTTCCCCAACATTCACAATTTCTTTTCTTGTCAAAGCCAAAAAGAGCCCATTTTTAACTCAGAGGACTCACGCCACCACATGGTTCAACGTCAGTTTTCAAGTTAAAGATGCTCATTTTGCCAACTGCCAAGGTGACCATGCAAAGCACACTGTTAAAAAACTCAAATAAATAAATAAGCTTTCAAGTAGAGCATACAGGATGTAGTGGGTGGAGCCAGACATGAGAGATGAGCATCCCTGCACGCCACCTCCAGCTTCCACTTGATGTGGGAGCTACAGGTCAAGGTGGCTGGTTCCACAGTTACAACACTGAGGCCAACATACAACACAGTGTAACCAATTCCTTCATGTCCCACCAACACACTGTTCTGTTTCCATAGTTTCCTGGGCACACTAAACTGTGGCAGCAATGAGAGATGCAAGAGGAGCCTTTTATCCTTTCCTTGAGTATAATGCTGAGAAACTTTAGTGCTTTCCAAACACTGAGAAATCCCTTAAAGCAACATATAATTATACTGCCAGAGAGACTGAGAGTGGTTTCCCATTGTGAAGGGGATATTTGGGCCACTCAGAGACTGGCCAAAATCAAACTATAACAGATTTGCTCCATGTCATTATAGTCTGTCTATGAAGGACAGAAATACTTGCTGGGAGAAATTATACCTATGGGAGTAAAGCTCAGTGAAATGTCACATTTCTTAATAATATGACAGAGAAACCCAGCAATTATGCTCTGTTACCTGTAGTTAGAATCTGGTAAGTGTGTAAGAATGTGTATCCTTCAACTACATGATATATGCTATTTGCCTTCACCAGCAATTTGAACAACAGCACAGTTAAAAATGTGTTTTATTGGAAATGGATGTCTTTACCTCACTGACAATAATAGCTTCACTCTGGATTTAATTTACACCATCAATCCCTTTTTTCTTCATTTTACTAATTTGCTTATATTTTGATTTCTGCACAGTTGAACTTTGTCAGGGCAGGTAATGTCATCTGAACATCTTAAGCACCCACAAATAAACACAATCACTAATCAGAAAGGTATCTACTATACAGAAGACAGGAAACCAAGGGAAAGTGTTGTCTCCACTCTGCTACAGGGGAAATTTTGAAAGGTATCATAGCCCAAGATTGTTTCCCACCTTGCTGTCCCAATAGCCAGAATGGCCATATATTTTCTTAACATGTTTTTCTCTCATGTTTGGCCCCAGGAACAGAGGTGGATTTGGTACCAAGTACATAGGAAATGTCTTTAGTTGTGAACAAATACGACTGTGAACAAAAATGCCAACTGTTTCCTCTGTAACCTAGCCAGATGCTAGGATTATCCATTTCAGCTCCATCTTTTTACCTCTACATTACTAGAGAAGCCAGAAGATGCCCAGCAATGTTAATCAATGTTTGAGGTCCCTGAAGGCACCAGCCTTTTGTAGTCTCTGTATGCATTAGATAACAACAGTAAATTTTGAAGTGAGAGCATCTCCATAGCTTGAGGATGAAAATACTGTCAGGGTTGGCCAGATTATGGGTGATTATTGGGGCTGTTGTGGCAAAGTAAAGGCTTATAAGGACTTCTGGACATCAAGAGAGACCACATTTTGGGACTGGCTCCTTTCAAATAGTTTACCTAATTTGCTGGGCAAACTTATTCTCCTCTTTCTCCTGGATTATTTACACTTCTCCCCTTGGAGGTACCAATGAACTATCTCCTTCCCTTGGACCCTGCAAGTCTAAGGTGGTTCAAATCAAGGGAAGTTCATACACAGAGAAATAAGAGTTGAAAGTGTTGACTGCCGAATTCAAGTTGGGACTGGTCTGAACAGAAACATCATATGCAACAACCCACTTAGGAGAGAGATGGGTCAAGAATGGAAACTCAAATACGTGTATTTCTGTCCCACCATTAAACACATGAAGAGCTCAGCAGCCCTTCAGAGGTCTGTTAACTTTATCTGTCCCATGACAGCTAACAGGGATAAACTTTTCCTGTATTGACAAGTGCTCTTAACACTTCTCCTCTGGGTGGAGGGTGTGCCCTGAAACCAGTAGTCCCCAGTTTTAACAGAATCCTGTAGGTTCTACTCTAAAACAAATATGCAGCACTTACTGAGACTCAAAGCCTTGTAATCTACTTGTAAAGAGACAAGAAAAGCCTGTCAAACTTTTTTGTGGTGTTCTGACTTCAGGAATAAACATTCAGGGCATGTGGACACATGTACGTGAAAACCTGCTGAAACGTGACAGCTGAATTAAAGATGCAGAGGCCCCTGCTTTGTAACTTGCTCCTGGAGCTGTGCTCATTCTTGTCTCCAAACTGACAGACCGTGACACCAAACTTTGCAATTAGCTCACAAAAAGGGTCTTGCAATATAATTTTTTAAGCTACTTCTATTTTTACATCCAACTCTCATTCTGTGCTTTGCATGAATTATTTTGAGCAAGAAGTAACTTGAAAAAAGGGGAATAATTATTATTTCTTATCTGCCTGACTAATGTACATTGGAGTCTTAAACATGAAGAAGGACATTCATTAAAGGTTACTGTTTTATAAAGATATTTTCCATTAATTTTCTTTTCATAAGGCTATTCTTACTATCCTATGAGACTCCTGTATTTTTTTGTTTTGTTTTGTTTTGTTTTGTGGTGATTGTACTTTGAGCTTGGAAAAATTTTGACAATGCAAAAACTAAGATGCAGTCCAGCACATCAAACTCAAAATGGTCTAGCTCCTACCTCGTGCCTGTGTGGGAATTACTGTTACAGGATAAATGTTTTCTCTTAGTTTCCTTCTGAAATTTCAATCACTTGAATGAAATTGTATCATTTGAACGAGAGGTAAATTCTTGAAATACAAGTCATTGAGTACACTTCAGAAGAACCTTGTGTTTAAGTTGGATTGCCCAAAGGTCTGCGTGCTTTCCAGGAGCATGTCATACATCTGCACCTTTTGTGTCCATCAAGAAAGGGAGTTGGTTTATTTCCCACAGATATTTCAGTAGAACAAGGTGTCAAATACTCAAGAGCAGAATCAAAGTACTTCAGTTCTCTTCAATTCATGGAAGAAAAAGAAGAAAAGGAAGAGAGAGAAAAAAAAACAAACACAAACCCACTCTAAAACTAAACCAGTCTCTCAGAGTTTTACTTCTTTTTCAGTCAGTTTTAATAAAATCAGGACAGTACTGTCTGTCACTCATAGGTCTTATGGGACACATGAGAACAGCAAAGCATCTTCTTCCCCCCGTGTGCTCTTGAGGATTTGTCAAAATGCAGACATCAAGTGCCAGGCACCTGGAAGAAGCTGACTAATAAAATGAACAGAGCCCATTTGCTTGGTTCAGTTTGGGAGTGTTACCTGGTCCCCAAAAAGTTCTGTGTAGATCCACCAAATCCAGGACTTTGATTCATCTCATGTTTTAAGTCACTGAATAATGGCCTTTAATTTAAAAAATATATCCATTAACCTAAGATGCCTGGTGACTAATAAAGACCCTTAGGAGAAGTCTAACTAGCTAGACACAACAGAGTCTAGGGAAGAAATCAAAGACAGTATGGATCAAATGACATCTCTAATCAAATGATCATTAGCAGTAGCATTTTCTGTTCTGTTGAAGGTCCTGACAGATCACTGTCCTTTACCCAGCTAATATGCTCTATTAATCTTATTCAAGAAACAGCAAGCTTTAAAACCAGGACAATTCTGAATTTACCAACTTATGAGTAAAGCACTGTACAGTTATTTGCTATAGTAATACTTTCTAAGGACTGGGAAAGTAAAGGAAAGCAAGTAAATGCCCTTTCCAACTGAGGCGCTGACACAAGACTGCATGTAGCATTTCCCAAGGGGAAGATTCCTAAAAGTCATGCTTACAGCTCCATTTAATAGCATGCAATCCAATGAAAAGTCTGTAGAAAACCACTTACCAAGGTGTTTATTCCTTCCCTGTACTGTCCTTTGCCCATCACCCTCCCATGCTCATAGGCAGCGCTCTCACACTCAGTCTGTTGACAGCACTGGTGCTGACTCAAGTGCAAAGCACTGAAGGCAACCCCCATGACCTCCTCTAAAGAATGAGCTATGATCAAGCCTCTGTGACTACTTAAAAAAGTGACCCCTCAAACAGCAGTACTGAGACCCAAGTGACTGACTCCACAAAGGCTAAGCAGGCGTCTCACTTCCACTCTTATCTGTTGCGAGATGTTCTTTATATGAACAGGCTGAAGCAAAGAAAGGCAGTTTCAGAGCTTGAATGTATTAACATCAGGCCCACCATGAAATTTACACTTTAGCAGTACTTAAATATTTGAAGACATAATTCTGCATCAGAAAAAAATCCAGTATTTTTTCATACACAGGAAAACTAAGCTCATGATGGAGAATGGTTCACCAGCTGCCATTTTGTGGGACTTTCTCTTTGAGTACAGATCAAACAAAATGGAAAACATTAAGTATTGTAAGTGTATTTACATTTATTTGACTTCCAGGACAACAAAAAGTTCTCTGAACTTTCAACCTGACCACATTACTAGTGGCCCTACACACTCAGAGCAGTATCAAGAATCCTCTTGGCAGTATGGAACAGATGTAAATCACATGGAAGCACACGGAAGGAAAGAAACCGCACTGCATACAACCTGCGGACTCCAAGAGATACTGAAAGCTGCTGGACCATAAAGAAGGAAGATAGGAAAGGATCTGGGCCTCCAGGATCCTTAAATAAGTAGAAAAGTATATGTGAAGTGGGAGAAAGCAGCAAGCCTCACTGAACAAAAGCGTCCCGAGCCTCTTGAGAATCAAAATAAATAAAAAAAGAAACTCACCCTTTGACCTGGTAAACCAGGGACTCCAGGCTTGCCTTCTAGACCAGGCTCTCCCTTTAAAAGTGAAAAGTTTTAGAAAGTTAACAGAATAAGAGAAACTAATGAACTGTATAACAATTTCCTAGCTGGTTTGTGCTACCATTGCTGTGTGGCTACTTAGGCAACTCTTACCTGATATTTATGTTGTCCTTTGAGCAGAAGAGAATGGGAAAACAAGATAGAGAAAAGTGACAATGCCCTGATTAAATACAGAGCACAGAACTATATTTAAATTACATAATTCAAACCAGATTTACCTAAGTAACACATATTCACAATGTCATCAATTTTACAAAAGCCAATCAATAGTGAAATACAATGAACAATTCAAAAGAAAGGAAACAGTGCTTGCAAATGAGGCAGCAGTGACAATCTGAAATGAGATATCCTGCAGAGCTGGGTCATAAAATATAACTCGAATAAGCTGCAATTTAAGTTGAAATTAAGAATGCTGGCATGTGTTAATTGTTGCAAAAATTTTGTGGAAACACAAACACACATACCCAATTCTTAGTTTTCATCCACAAAATATTTTAACCAAGATCTTGTGGCATAACACCTATGCCTTTGACAGCAACTGTTCCCTGACCTTCATGATGTGACAGCTCACAAGTTATCAGTGAGTGCCTCTCTGAGATGTGCTGAATGCCTATACAGCTCTACAGGACATTAGAAATAGAAAAACAGTGAGGTTCTGCATGACAACAGCCTTGAGGCAAAGTCTGCCCATGTCCTGGGTGCCACCTCCCTGTGTTAAGAGTGTCCGTCCACAGCAGGACACCTTCTCTCAGCAATGAAGAAAACTGGAGGCTGCAGGCACTGTCTAAATATCATAGTGCCTGAAAAACGTATAAAGTCTTGGAGTCTGAGTTTCAGCTTCTGGAACGGCAAACAGTGAGAGAAACAACTTACTGGAGGTCCAGGAAGTCCAGGTTGGCCTTGTGGTCCTCGTGGCCCAGGTTTTCCCTACAGAAATGTTTTTTTAAAAAAGAAAGTTAAAATACCTTTATGAAAAAGTGCATGGGCACATGAGCCATGTTGTCTGTCTTTACAGGACCTATACCACCCCTTTCCCCATAGGTCCCAGAAAAACAGTGCAGAGATCAGCTGGTTTTCTCCTTAAACCTCTGGCTACTTGAATTATCAGCACTCATTAGACTGTCCACAGACTGATCCACCCAGACTTATCCATAACTGGCTCTTTGCATTTTAAAGGTAGTAACTCTATCAAAGACACTGGGATATCCTGAGTATTCCAATAAAACACTGTAGGTTGAGGTTTGGTGGTGGAGAAGAGCAATTCTTGCATGAACAGTTTCAAAAGGCCTTTCCCCCAGGCCAGCACAGCTCTGAACGGCTTTACAGTATCAATTATATGATGCAAATTATTATATTAAGTAGCAGGTAAATATAAATTAGGCACCTACCAACACAAAATCAAATTTAAATATATTTTTTTAATACATAGGGTTACCAGACTGAAGCAAGGGTTGTGCACCCCAGTTTGAGTGCCCAAGTTCAGAGACAAAAGAGGCATAAAACTCAAATACAGTTTAATGTTTAACCCTTCCCTGTTCTTAAATAATTGGATAGCTGACAGTACAATTCATACTCTCGTTCATGTTAGATTCACTGCATCTGAAAAGAACATTGCCCTTTTTCCTTTCTTGTTTATTTTCTCCACTGTAAATAGGAAAACTTATTTCTTGATTTCCTGATAATGCTTCCATCCACCTTCCTTTTATGGTATTATTTTAAAGAAAAACCTAACCGAACAGAAAACAGAATTACATTAAAATATCCCTGCAACGAAAGAATAGATATTGAATCTCTCTTACTTCCTCTCCTTTTAGGCCTTCAATGGGTACCTGCAATAGAAATGCAGAGTCATAAAGAATGAAAAAAGTAGAGACAAGGTGCCAAAGGTATGATGGTCCTCCCCAGGGTATTTTTCTCCCCTCGCTATTCCTTCGAGTTGCTCAGTAACTCCTGCAGCCCTTCAAATCCTGTTGAAGGCTGGGAGATGTTTTCTATTTAAACAGCTCTGGCTGACACAAGTTACCTATTGACACAGTTAACTAAGAAGTGATTTGTGTGGTTGTATAAACAGCAAGAACTTAAGTCATTATCTCATCATATAAACAAGTCAGTCAATTGCCCAGATCTTATTTTTCTCAAAGTTACAAAGATCAATAGAACACAGAAGGCATCACATAACCAGCAGACTGGGTTGAGATATGCCCTGCCTGTTTTGCACCCATCTGCTGTAGCTTTAGGCTCATTTTCAGCTTTTATACTCATCTTTCAAAATTTCTTGGCAACTCCTGTCACATCATTACTACCACATTTGAGCAGGACAATAAAAGGTTCTTACCCAAACAGGAGGGTTTTTTCATAGTATTCTTTTTCTCATTCCTTTACTTTCTACCACATTCTAGGCAAGGTAATCGCCTGCTGCCTTTCCTATGATTGCAAGGGAGCTTCTCATTCTTGTCTTTAGCACCCATAGTCAAAGAGTGCTGTTTCCTAATATTAATCCTATTTTTTTGGCTAGTAAAAGGTATACTGCCTAACTGCTTTATTGCCAGCCCATGCAGAACTCAGTTCTAGACCTCTCCTCTGTATACTTCGTGGTAAATCTTTTTCCATTCACTTGGAGATGATCTCTTCATACAGACAATGTTAGTCTCAGGACATTCTTACATCCCTGCCACTGATGTCCCTGGCATCTGTGAAGGCATTGCTGAAGGCAGAGGAAGGGATGCACAAAGGATGATAAATCTAGTGCCACAGAAAAGATAAATCCCATTCTCCTGTTTTCTGTTTTCTTTTTTCATCCCTGCTTCCAGCACATCAGGTCCTGGTTGTCTTATATTCCACCAGGACTTTTTCAGACATAAGCCAAGGAAAGATCATTCACCCACATCAGAAATTGCCTTTTTCTTCTCCCTCCCCAACTCTCACACTGAGTCCATGTCAAAGGCACTCAGTTCTGAAATCTCATTTGCTTTTATGACTTTTATAGACTCTATGTACCAAAGACCACTTGGAATCAACAACTGCTGGAAACCACACAGTCCTGTCATAGTATTGCTCTGTCTGATGCACCTAAGGAGTGCTTTCATTGCCTCTTCAAGTCCTGAAGAGGCACTCACAATCTCCCAAAATTGTGGCAGTGCTTCTCTTTATTGAAACCTATCACTTCCTTTCTTCAAAAATCTTCACTGCCTAGAGTTTCACTTTTTTTGAAAAAAAAAAAAAAAAAAAAAAAAACAGAAACATTTAAGAACATCTTTCAGTAAGATCCCCACACCCCTCATTTCCACCTTCTCTTTTCATGCAATAATGCCTACAAAGTATGACAAAGCTAAAAAGCAATAATTCTTACTGAAGTGCCAGGCAATCCTGGAAGTCCTGGTTCACCCTGTAGAGTAACACAAAAGAAATGAAAAAACATAACACAGACTACAACAATACACGGCACAATACATAACATAATGCAAAACGAAAACAAACCTCTGAGCATATTTTCCAGCTGCTGTTGTACATTCTTATTTTCAATACCAATCTCAATTAACTCTGTTTGCTCTGCAGAGGAATGCATCCAAGAACTGGTTGTATTACCGTGGTGTTTTACACTGATTTAATGACATTTAGTGACTTAAAACGAATGATGCACTAGATGCACCATAGCAGTAGATTTGTGCTTCAAAAATCTTATATTTGATGTCTGCATACCACACAAATAAACCTGTTTGATGCTTAGACCCCCAACAGACCCGCAAGAGGATGGACATTTGGGGGGTCAAAAATGTTTTTGTTTGTTAATGACCAAAATAACTTTTCAAAAAAAGTAAGAACTTTCCCCAAGCCATTTTATAGAGCAAATCATGCTATATACTATATAGGACACTGAGATGCTACACCTTTTTCCCATGATTTATTGCCATATAGGCTATCAATTTGTTCCAGTCCATTTTTCTTCATCAATGTCCACCATGTATTATGCTTTAAGACTATGAATCCAGAAGGTATATCCTTTACTTTAGGTACAGACTGGTGCTAAATTGATCACATAGTTTCCTTCCACACTCTGACCCAGCTTATTTTTCATATTCTTCTCTCTTAAGAAAAGCTCAATTAGTATTTGTTATTTATTCATAGAGTCATAGAATGGTTTGGGTTGGAAAGGACTTTAAAGATAGAATTACTGAATCATTAAGGTTGGAAAAAACCTCCAAGGTCGTTGAGCTCAACCTTTGACTGAACACCACCATGTCGACTAAACCACAAGCACTAAGTGTAACATCCAGTCATTTCTGAACACCTCCAGGAACGCTGACTTCATCACCTGCCTGGGCAGCCCATTATGATGCTTATCCACCCTTTCAGTGAACAAATTCTTCCTGATGTCCAATCTGAACTTCTCCTGGTGTAGCTTGAGGCCATTTCTTCTTGTCCTGTTGCTAGTTGCCTGGGAGAAGAGACTGACCCCCACCTGCCTACAACCTCTTGCCAGGTTGTTGTAGACAATGATAAGGTCCCTCCTGACCCTCCTTTTCTCCAGACTAAACAACTCCAGCTTCTTCAGCTGCTCCTCATATGACTTACTCTCTAGACCCTTCCCCAGCTCCGTTGCCCTTCTCTGGACATGCTCCAGCACCTCAATGTCTTTCTTGTCATGAGAGGCCCAGAACTGAACAAGGATCTGAGGTGTGGCCTCACCAGTGCCCAGCCCAGAGGGTCAATCACTGCCCTGGTCCCACTGGCCACACTACTGCTACAGCCCAGGATGCCCTTTACCCTCTTGCCCACCTGGGCGCACTCTGGCTCCTGTTCAGCCATGTCGACCAGGACCCCCAGGTCCTTTCCCACCAGGCAGCTTTCCAGCCACTCTGCCCCCATCCTGTGGTACTGCAGGGGGTTGTTGTGACCCAAGTGCAGGACCTGTCACTTTGCCTTATTGAATCTCAATCCAGCCTGTCCAGAATATCCAGTTCCAGCCCTCTTGCCTTGGACAGGGATGCCACCCACTAGATCAGGTTGCCCAGGGCCCCATCCAAACTGGCCTATTCTACTAAAACTCATTCTGAAGAAGTACTGAAGAGACACACAGCAGCTGCTTTGGAAGTATTGGACCAAGGAGCAAAACATCTTCTGGAAGGACCAGATACAGCTGCTTCAGAGACATGGATGAAGTGTTATGAACTCAAGATTGATCACTACTGCAGAGAGAGAATGGAGAGAATTGCTTCCAATCTCTGCGTTCTTGGATAAGCTCACTGCCTTATCTGGAGGAGAAAGAAAGAAACCCAGAACTGACTATGCCTTTCCACTCATGCCAAAGACCTGTGTTGGAAATATCAAAACTACAACATCATCTCTAACAGAGAGGGAAATATAAGCCTGCCCTGAAAACTTTAACAGCTGTAAAAATAACAAGGTCAAAATTGCTGCTGAGTGCAGTGAATAATTATTTTGCAGGTAAGAGGCTCAGAGTCATTTTATTGACACTTTCTGAGTCAATTCTACATCTCCTGGGTCAGAAAATCAGCTTCTACACAAACATATTGACATTTCTTGGGTGAGGAAGATTTTCTGACCCAAACTGCATTCTATTTCCTTCTACTCCCACTATGAGGGCTTAACTAAGAGCAGTGGAGCTATAACCAGGCACACTTTAATACCTGCTTGTACCCATTTCAGAAGCAATACCAGGAAAGTTAAACATTTAAATGGATATAAACTTCACTGATACACAATGAGATAAACAGTAGACCAACAGCCCTGATATTTTCAGCACTGGGGGCCCAAGGAAGAATTAACAAATGTGTTTCCAAACCGCTCCTGTGCATCCCATCCCACCTTACCTTTTCTCCTTTGGTCCCACTAGCACCTGGAGGGCCGGGGCTGCCAGCAGGGCCCTATAAACAGGTAAAATGGAGAGAAAACTCTTTGTTTTTAAAGTACAGGAAAAACATAAGGCTGCAGATATTGGCAGCACAAAGGGTTATGTCTCATTGCGCTGGGATAGGAGCTAATAGAACACACGAGGCTGCTTTGGCTCTGCTGCATAGAGAGGAAAGAGAACAATGATGGAGTTGCCACAGCAGCCACGATAACACTAACCCAGTTTCAGCTGGTTCAAAAGAATTGCAGTTCAGTGGGTATATCAGTGTCAAACACAAAATTCAGTATCAAATTCAGGCATGAAGATCTGCCCACTCCTAGGTGTCTAGACATGAAAAGGGAAAAAAAGCTTTCGAAAACCTAACTTCTGTAACAGGGCTTCACTTGGGGAAATTGTTCCTTTAGAACAATAGACAATCAAGATCCATCTTCATGTCCCTGTGCAATTTCCCACTTCATCTACATTTGCTGCAAGTACAAACCAGTTCCGTAAGCAGCGTAATGGGCACAGTGAAGACAACTCCCTGTGATTCCAGTGCTGCCTGTAGCACCAGAAAACATTTCCATCTTATGAGGATGGTGATAAACACTAACTAGACACACACTTCTCCATACAGGGTAAACTGTGACTGAGAAACAGATCAGGATGCAGATGCAGCAGCCTGGAGGCTTCAGGCTCAAGGGTGGCAATGATTAGCTGCATGGCTTTTGGAAATCACTTCTAGCCTCTGCTTCTTACTCTGTCCTTTGCTATTTAGACCAGAAGATCCTTGAGAGGAAAGGATGCCTCTCATTAGGTATCATATCCTGAGTAATGAAAACAGTCTTGTGGGATCTACAGATAGCGGTTTTAGACAAAGCATTATGTGTCTGATCAGCAGAAATGTACTGATCTTTTAGACAATTTTCTGGTTTGTTCTTGTCTTAAAAATGTAAATAGTTCCAAGCCTTTTTGATTGAAAACAAAGCAAATATATTAAATCCAGTTCTCTTCCTCTCATGTTGTGGGAGGGGAAAAAAAAGTTCATAAAAATCAGGCTTAAACAACTGAATTTTTATGTGTGATTTCTTATGTGTTTAACAAAAATTAAGACAAACACTTAACCTATCAATTTGAAAGGACTGGCATTTCCTTTAAGTGTGTATTGGATTATAGTTTAATTCTAAAACCAACTAAACAAAAAAAAATTCCAACTGTACCCACAAAGACCCTTAGAGCAGGGATGCATGGAGATCCTGCCATGATTCAACAGTTACCCAGGATAAGTCTCAGTTTTAGAGTCAACTTTCACTCTTTTCAAAGAAATGCTTCCAGTTGTTATTTGCAACATACCTGTCTGCCCTCCACACCCGGCTTTCCAGGGAACCCATCCAGGCCTCTCTCTCCCTGGAAAAAGAAGACAAAAAACCACTGTATCTCAAATCCATGGTGTTCAGGTCACTACTCTGCAGGTGATGTCCATGGTATTTGCTCCAAGAGCAAGGAATAAAGAGAGAAATTCCAGACAGCCCAATAGAGAAAATGTCTAAAGTTCCCACATCTTGTACCACAAAAAGTTGCTGTGACCAAAAGCAGCTGTGTAGTAGCTTTCTATGTTGGCATCCTTCCTCTGCCTACTGGGGTGGGTTCACAAAAACTGGGTAGCATACACCAGGAGAACCATCAGCCTGGAATAGCTCTTATGAAAATAATGAATCCACAATCCAGCAATAGCTCAGTTTTCCCCAGTAAAGAAAAAGCCTTTTGGTTTTCAACTTTCCTTTTTGTAACTTAGGGGAAAAATTAATCTGTTCCTTTATGTCTTCAGAACTGGACAGTCCACAAAGTCCACAGGCAATCAATTTCACTACTTTATTTTTATTACCTGAAGATATGGGGTTTTTTTCCCCTGCACCTAAACCTGACTTTTTCTCACTACAGTTCCAGACTGGTGTTTCTTTTCCTAACCCCCCACAGAGAACAGACTATTTCCTTCATCTTTACAATGACATTTTATGTATTTGAAGACCTACAAAACTCTCCTTTCAAACTTCTCTAGACTTAACAACCACAATACTTCTAACTTTTCTGCATGAGCACGTTTTTCAGACTTCTGACCATTTTTGTTTCTCCCCTCTGTGCAGTTTCCAATTTTTGCATGTCTTCACTGTATCTAAGTGCATGAACCTGGACACAGTTGAGGCTTTGAGCAGAAATATTATTTCATGTTTCATAAACTATTCTTCTGTTTAAATGCCAGGACAACATTTACTTTGCCCCAAAGCCCCTTTCACAGGACAACTCCTCGATCACTTGTTCCCGATCTTTAGCAAGAAATTTGTCGTCCTACACCTATGGATCACCCTGCAGTTTCCCCTTCTCAATCTCATCTTCTGCTTTGGGGGATTATGTTTTCAAGATAATTTTGAATTCTGACCCTGACCTCTACTGTACTTCCACATTCAAGCTTAAGATATTCCATATTTTATAATCTAGGTTCTTGATAGAGAAAAAGACTGGATCAAAAACATACGTGTGCTGAACTTCAGTCTTACAGATTGTGGCCCTTTCTTTTTCTCTGTAAATTCCTTAAACCTCTCTAAAATGGAACACAGATTTTACTTGGATCCTGCACACACAGCTGAATATAAACTATCAAACACACACACAGTGCCAATGCAAACGTGAATGTGCATGTAAAAACAAATTCCACAAGTACAAGCACAAGCAGTGACAACAAACTATTAGTTTTATTCTATTTTTTTAATGTTTTAAATGTTTTAATCCCTGTTAGAACTGTTATTACCTACAAACCCACACTTAACACCAATGGATTTAATTAGCTCCTTTTGTAAACTACATTGATTTAGCAAGTCAGAAATGCATTTGCAAATCACTTTGTTTATTTTTCCTCCTTAGAAAGTCAATCAGTCTTCTAACATAAATATTATTTTAAATTATGTATTCAAGGAATAAAATTAGAGAGACCCATATCCTACAGAAAACCAGATACACTTGATTTTAGGGTGATAGTTTCCACATTAATGGTTTCCTTTGCACTGACTGAACTATGAGTATCCTGATTTCAAGACTTTCAGTAAGCAACAGCCTGGTAGATTGCTGACAAAATGTGCAGTGTATTCCCAGGAGAATTTTTAACATCAATATACTGCAGCAACGAGTACTTCACACATGCTGGTTTAGCTGCCAAAACAGAAAAGTGTCAATGTTCTTACTGCTAGTAATGGGGGCTGGGAAAGGCAAATGTATTATTTATACAAATACATAAAATAAAGCTCTTTGCAAACGCTCCAAATGATTGTGTTTTCTGTTGTTTCTACAGAAAAATCTGTCATTATAAACATTTTTTATCATTTTTTCCATTCTTTAAAGACAGCTACTTAGTGAAAGGTATTTTTTTCCAACAGAAAGAAGAAACACATTAAAGTTTTATTCTCAAATTTTCACTTTAGGACTCCATTTCTTTCTCCTGTGCTCTACTGGTTTTCCTGCTTTTAACTACTGGAAGAAAATGGTGAAGAGTCATAAGGAACTGGGGAAAATCCCAATTTCACCAAAACTTCAGAGCTACTCTCTGACCTCTACCAGTTAGAAAAGGTAATGATTTGTTGAAAAATTATTCTCCACGAGTCCAGAAAAGGGTGAAGGAGAAAAAAACCCACTGCAGAGGGATCTGGCAGCAGCAGACCAGCCCTGCTGCCTCCTTACACAAGTTCTTCTCAATAAAACAGAGAAGAATCTACAGGATGGACATGTGCTTATGCAGCAAAAGCAATGCCCCATGTCACACTGGGCTGCTGCACATACCTAAATTAACATGCCAAGTATCCCCGACATACCAGACTTATGTTGGCAGAGAAATGCATCATGCTTATCTCTGCATAGTCTGTGCTGGGGTCTACAACGAGCCCACTGGGTTCAAAAAACATGGAAGATCCCTTCTATGGTGCAGTGGTTTTCCTAAAGTTCAAGTGTAACCAATACCATTGGATTTGGGAACCTCACTGTAAAACCTTAATATTTACATCTGAGGTCCCAAGATATATGGATAAAGCAGCAAGATGTATTATGGAATATGTATGCTTTTTTGATGCTCAGGGTGCAGATGTGATAGAACAATACTAAGTGCACAGACTCGTGCTTTCATCTGATATTATAAACTCTTTTCTCCTCAGGCACAAAGAAACACAGGTTGTGTAGGTGTCAGTATTCAAGTTACAGACTGAACAGCAGACAAGGAAATATTTGGCCAGTCAAATTTACGCCCACTGCTTTCACAGTAGTACTTACTGGTAGAAGTTAAAGTAATGGCAGTGAGTGCTCTGAGACCATCATTAAAACATGGAAAAAATCAAAGTACAATTGTTGTAGCAGAGATTTGGCTGCTTCAGGAAAAAAAAAAAATAAAAAAAACCCCAAACCAAAAAACGGACCTTAATTGTGCATATCCTTCTAATGAAACAAAACCTAATTCCTTTCTTCCCCATTTTAATCTTCCTCTAGCTTAGTCAGCTGCTTGCCCACACACAGCTCCAGCTTCCTCTCCCATCAAGGTGATGTCAGAAAGATGGATTTTCTTCCGAGAGCAAAATATTCCAGCAGATTAGACAATCTTGCCTCTGGAAAAGCAGCAGAGGTACTGGGTGGACTCAGCACACTGAGCCAGTTCTGCAAAGGGCTGAGGGAAAAGCATGAGGAAGATAAAGTATGATCCAGCCTTTTGCTCTGGCTGCATCAACAAGGATAGGTAATATAAAATATAATTGTGGCTACTTTATCATAAACAGCAGAAAGGACACTGGTAAAGAGAAACACAATATCTCACACTAGGGGTCTATTGATAATTTTTACTGGTAGGCAAAAGTTTGGTGTAAATCGACGGGTTTCCTCTCCAGAACATGGAAACAAGAGAGGGAAATGGGAACAAGACTGTGCTAGCAAGCCAATGACTCCCTCTTTATAGAGGTATCACTAAAGAGAGTTTGAACACAGGCAAAGCTGCCAGACCATCACTGAGATATCTCAGGATCAGCTTGAGCCATAAGCAAGACAGGACACTTCTGGGGAGCCTTGAGCACTGTCAGGCAGGTCCACAGCAGAAGTAGGTGCATATCTGATGTGTCTGATCACAGTGATCAAACTGCTATAATTAAGACTTTACACCTGCCCATCTCTCTTTTTAAAGGCTTATTCCAGGTATAATAGGCACTTGGTCTCTTCCTTAAGCCATAAACATAGCTTGAATTACAGTGTGTCCTGTGCTCTGTAAAACATCTATTCCAAGTCGGGAAAGAACATAGAACTGGGAAGCAGCTCCATTTGGATGAAACTTTTAACATAGAAACTACCTGGTACTTAATGCTCCTGATTGAATAGTGATGGGAGAAGACAGAAACATAGGAAGTTGGATAATCTGAGTAACTGTAGCAAGACGGATGTAGGCATTGTCAGCAGCAGTCAGTGGTCATTCACAACCCTCAGGTGGTGCACACAATGTAGGCGCCCCTCTAGATCTCCCCACTGGCATACCTTCCCTCTACTCTTCTCTCTTCTCCATCCCTGGCTACCCACAGACAAGAAGTCCCTAAATGTGTGCTTAGTAGACAGCAGAGATCCATAAAGCCCTCCTGAATGCCCAAGGGACATGAGAATTCACTGGGAAGTGCAGCATAGTTAGGCAACTCCATCATCCATCCACTTCCAGAGCTGCTGGTCTTGCAGCTCACCTCACCTAATGGTCAGAGGAAAAGAACAGCTTGGCTTTTCCTGGCATGCAGCAGGAATACCTTGTCTCCTCGTGTTCCCTTTTCTCCTCTTTCTCCTTGTAGACCCTAAAAATAAAAAGAAACAGAGATTATAAAGTTCAATCCAAGTAGAGGCATAGTTACCTCCTCTAATTAGTCACCAAGTCACTGTGCACATCTGCACAATCTATTCAAATGAACCTCAAGGACATTTTCAGTTGCCAGTCCTCAAAGTTGGCCGCAGGCATAGTCCAAGCAGACTCACAGAGCAGGGACTACTTGTGGGCCCAAGAACATCTGTAATACTATATTGCCTGCAGACACACGACCCTCCTGCCAACAGCAGTGTGGAGGGACAGGGAACACACCACAGCTGCAGATGGCCTGGAAAACAACCAATGCTCTGCATTTTTCATGTTCCTTGTAAACAATGAGGACTCTGGTAGAGGACGATACTGATGGGAAAACCTATCGCACAAGCGAGCAAGAATTCCCATTCCTGGTGGGTCTGGATGCAGTAGCTAGGCAGACAGCAGGTAGCTCTGAGAACTGGCAAGTGTTAGATGTACTCTGACCCGGAGGCCCAGCACATTTTTGCACTGTGAATCTAATGCCAGTGTTCCTCTGGACTGCATAATTCACCTCCTCCCAGCTACACCAGAAACATTGCCGGAGCTCAGTTTGATGTGGCACTAACACAGGCCATCAATTCAGTGGGCAAGAACCATATTTCACCTTCCCTTGGCACAGCAAGCACCTTGTATTTTACTTTTATTGTGGAAACTGAGCAACCAGCTAATAGCTATAGAGAGACAGATATGCTTCAGTCAATAGTGACTTGTCTGAAACTGCCAAAGCTTAAAATGCTATTACAGCATATTTGTATTTAAACTTCAGTTTACTTTACACTGCAATGGAGCTTACCTCCCAGCTAATGGGAGCTGCATATCTGGGTATATTTGGAGGACTTAAGAGGGTTTACATAATCAACCAAATGAGCCGGGATATTTTCAACTAGATCATGTTGCTCAGCACCCAGTCCAAGCTGGCCTTGAATATCTTCATGGATGGGCCATCTACCACTTCTCTGGGCAACCTGGTCCAGAGTCTCACCACTCTTATTGTAAAAACTCTCTGCCTTTTATCTAATCTAAATCTACCCCCTTTTAGTTTAAAACCATTATCCCTTGTCTTACCACAACAGGTCCTGCTAAAAAGTTTGTCCCCACCTTTCTTATAGGCCTCCTTTAAATATTGAAAGGCTACAATAAGGCCTCCTCAGAGCCTTCTCTTCTCCAGAATGAACAACCTCAACTCTCTCAGCCTTTCCTCATAGGAGAGGTGCTCCAGTCCTCTGACCATTTCCATGACTCTCCTCTGGACCTACTCTAAGAGGTCCATGAATCTTTCCTGTGCTGAGGACCCCAGGGACAGAGACGCTTGCTGGATAGAATCTAATATGTTTTGGTCTGGCTGTTTGTTCACTGGAGGCAGGTTTGTCCACTGAGCCCAAAGACTACTCCCTGAGAGTTTTGAAAATGTGATTGGAAACTAGCTGAGAGGTGGTAATTTTTCTTGGTGTTCTGATGAAGTTTTCAAGCACCATATAAATGGTGCATCATCACAGACCAAAGTAATTACATTATGCTGAGAGAATCACAAAATCACCAGCTGTTATCTCAATAATAAAGTCAATTCTGCTGACATCTCTCTACTGGCTACAGGTCTGTTCTCTTTTAAAAAAGTCTGAAGAAACTCAGTGAAGTCAAGAAAATGTCACCATTGGACATAGTGCTGGTAAGGGGCCAGACATACCATATACTGCTTAATAATAACAATTAAAAAAATATAGCTGGGCAGAATCACTGAAAAAGTAAAGAAGTTTCAGGACCATTAAAAATTTAAAAAGAGCCATGACTTACCGGTGCACCTACGTAGCCTTTAATTCCAGGAGGACCCTGTTTTCCCTCGGATCCCTGGCAAGGAATTGAGATACAGTAAACCATCAGAAACCCTTTCACATAAGAGAACAAGAATAAAACTAGTTATTCAGAAATGTAAGTTGTTCTTTCAGGCTCACATTGGGCTGTTGAGGCTTCTTGATTCTCTCAGTGCTGATACAGGAGCAGTATTTGACTTTCCAAATACCCATCCAAAGTGACACCCCAATATTTTCCTCTGTCTCTGGCACTTAGACACTAGCAAGTTTTATCCTTCTGCTTTCAGTTTTGCCCTATAAAGGCAAACCGTCACATGCAAATTCCTTCTATAGGTTATGTCAGAAGGTTTGCAATGTCAGTTGTGTGCAACAACTGTTTTGTCTCCTAAACAATGTTGGTGGAACAAAACACGGGTGTACATTGCTGCAAAAGCTGCAGTTAAGGCCATATCTCAGAATAAATGAACTACAGACTTCAAAATGTTATATGTTTTGAGGAGTAAATGAAAAGAAACAGATCAAACCTACATTCTTCAATGTTTGTTTTTGCCTAAGTGGGAGAAATGCAAGAGGATCAGGTACATTTCAGCAGTCCTTCAGCTCATTGCACAGTGACCCTCCCTGGAGAGTGTACACTGAAATGGAGAGAACTCACTGTGTGCTTTTATGTGCCTTACAGTGTCTGAAAATGATCTGGATCCTCAGCTCCAAGGCTTAGCCCTTGGAGCCTGACCTAGAGAACTGATTTGGCATCTTATATGACCTGTTTGACTGATTATTTTCTTACTTATATCACTTCCCCTTTCCCACCACTACTGTCTAACTCCTGTTTTGTGTGGCTGTAATGGGGATGAGGCTTCAAATAAGAGATTTTATTTTTAAATAATTTTAAAGTAATTTCTACATTTCACATTAATAGATGTTTCATATTAAAAAAATAAAATTAAATTCAAGGTGTGTTTGCAATTGATTATTAGCAGAATTGAGGCTTTTTTTTCCCCCCCAATGTAAATGCCCAGATTAACAACAGTGGGGTTCAAGCACAAGCAAAGGTGGCTCGGGGATCTCTACAACATCAGGCACATGAGAACCTCTGCCAGGTCAGGAAGCATTGCAAGTCCTCTGATAGCAGAGGGAGAGCAGCAGGAATGCACCTAAACCTCTCCCTTCAGCATGCAGAAAAATACACTACCAAAGTCTAGGCAAAACCCCAAGAGAAACAGAGGCCTGTTCCAAGTTGTCCAAATTGTTAAAGTCCAACTAAGTACTGCTATATAAAACGTGGTTATAATATTCAGCAGAAGTTATAGATAGAGAAAATGGGTTTGTCTGGTTGAGAAGATGTGCTGCACCCACTCAAGGCCTGTGCTGAGATCATGTCTGGTAAACCAGAGAAGCGTGAGACCTTCAACAGCTGAAATAAGCAAGAAGGAAATTTGTCAAAATGAAACTCTTACCTAGCACTTTATATTTCAAAGGCTTGATTCTTTTTCCTCTCTCTGTGTCTGCTTTTTCTATCAAGTACAGATAACTGTCAGTTCAGATAGGAATGCTATAGCTGTGTCCATGCCATAGCAGTGACAACCACAAGAAACCTCTTTATCCTTTTATTAAAAAGATACAAAAAAAAGAAAAGCAGGAAAAGATTGAATATTTGCTGAAAGATATTACAGGCTAAAGGGTCTGATCTCAAAAATCCAAGTTCTGTTTCACTGCTATAACATCATACCTGAAGGACCAGAGCTGTTGTTTTTTTTCTCTGGACCCATTTACTCCATATAAATTAACCTGCCACATATTTACCTGGGAGTTTTCCAACCAATGGGTATTTCTTGCCATCTCAGACCACCATGACATCTTCTATAACCAGAAGTTCCAACACTTCAGCACAAAGCTGACTTTGAGAGCACTTTGCATCCACCAGCTTGTAGCCAGCAAGATCACACTTGAAGATCAATGAAGTTTACCCTCCAAGTTTGATGAACAAGGAAAAAAAAAATACACCAAAAACCAGAGTTTTATGCTGAAGACACCACTCTAGGAACAATCTTCCCTGGAGACATCATTGAGCAGCAAAAGCAGTAAAAGCAGAGATGACAGAGGCCATTTCACTCCTGTGAGTTATACATGTGCCGTAATGGGCTCAGATCCATTTTGGTACCTCTGTGGACTGAAATCCTATTACCAGGAGTCTGCAGGACCCTTACCTGTGCTACTGGAAGCTTCACACAATTAATGAGGTCTGTAAAAACTACAAGACAACTTCTTAAAAGAAAGTGCTGGCAATTCCCACTGAAGCAAAAGACTCCTCAGTCAAGGACATAAACAAGGGGCTGAATTTCCCGTGGTGCAGGTATCCTTGCTGAGCTCACACTGCACTGGCCTGGTTCAATGCAAATGAAGATGGATTGAGCTGGGAAGGACCACAACCCAACCGACCAGAGAAACTGCAAGGTAGCTCTCCATGGAGCCTGGGGTAGAGCCCAGAGCTGCTGTATTGACACTGATGGTAAAAATAAGTGATCTGGCAAAAAAAGCAATCATTACATCACTAATGGGAGATGTGACCTCTCTGATCCTTATACACCTTGTTCCATACCAGTGAAATGCTCAGACTTTACACCAAGGAGTAAAGGAGTGTGGATTCCTGTTTTAGATTTTAAAGCCCTGTCAGCAAAGTCATGGTTCTTTCTTAAAATAACTCAGGCCAGAATCCAGCTGAAGGACACTGCATACAGCCAGTGCATCCATTGAGGTAAATGAAAGTCACTGTGAAAGCACAGTCATTTTATATTTAGCCACCGTGAGAGGCTGGGGTTAGCCTAGCTCACCTCTTCCCTGGGAGCACTTGGCACTGGCCAGTCAGATGTCTTTAGGTCCAGCCCCACCAGCACCTGTCCTGCCCAGCCCATAGATCTGAATTTCTTCTATTCAGCATTGCCTCTTTGCTTGGCTGAACTACATGTGCCTGATGATCCTGGTGGTAAATGTGGAGCAGGATCAAGTCCACCCTGAGGCAGATGTAGATGCTTCAGTTTAGCTTGGTTTGCAAAAGCTTTGCAAAGCAGGTGTGAGGAACTTCATACCACAAAGAGCATCATGTAGTCTGCTGGTTTGTAATTCCACTACATGAAACATGCAGGACAGAGAGAAGGTGTGTGTTTGTTTATGTGATAGGAGAGATGCAGCTGAAAGGCATTTGTGAGTGATGAATTCAGTTCATTTCATCCAGTCCCAGATCCCACTGAAAGACAAAATATTGTGTGCCTCCACTCGGCTCAGCTTTGCAGCTGTCATTTATCCCCTGCTGAAGCCAATATGGTTCCAGGAGAGAACTGTGGGATGGCTGCCAAGTATTCTTGCTAATCCACAAACACATCATTAGTTCCAATACCCTCCTGATGGGACTTCAGGAAGGGATGAACATTTCCCTCTATGCAAAGACAGAGACATTTTGGAGAAAGGGTCTCTCTGTAGCTGAGGAACCCAGAGGACCTATATATGAACTGCTTCATCAAGTCCTCGCAGACAGAGCTGAGTGACAATCAAGACTGCATCCAGAAAAGTGTTCAGGTACTTAACTCCTATTTGAGGACAAAGGCAACAGTGGGAGGTTTAGGTGACTAGATATGGCTCTTCCAGGAGCCACTCTTTCAGGGAATCAAACTGTTGTCCTTGCAGCACCTTTCACAGGATGAGCTAAACTTGCTGTGTGTGATACCCCTAAAAACACACTTGTCACAGTACGCTTTTTTTTGTGTTATAACATCAAGACTGAAACCACCTGAGAGGTATCTATCCCCTCAGTAACCAGGGAACAAGGCAAGGAGAGAAGAAATTTTGAAAAGAGGTTAAAAAATTGCTCACGAGAAGAGCTTCAAAATTAAGGCACATTTCTGATGCTCAGAAGTCTCATCAGATCTCTATTCAAAAGCACCTTGCTTGAAGCAAACCCAGTGACATGAGAATTGGCTCAAGTTCTGTATCACTTAGCCGCTGTTCACTGGTGCAAAACTGAATCTCCCAAAATGTGCAGAAACATCCAGGATCTCTACATGATATTTTTTCGGTTGTAAGGTAGGGATAATAATTCTCATCTGAATCTTTGTGAGAGCTGGGAAGGCTAGTGAAGACATGAAACAAGGCTTATGTGCCCCAAAACAAGTTCTTTTCACCTTCTCCAGCTATGCTGTTTATTAAACAAAACGTTATTCTGTTTTACAGACTCTGCTTAATTGCTGATACTGTAGCAGACCCCTGATGAAAATGACCATTTTGAGTTTCTTCATTCACCACTGACAATATCAAACAAGAAGTAATTCTAAAAAAGTCAGTGAAAAAAAATGCCTGCCCATGTGAAGAAGAAATGGAAAGCTTACCTTTGGACCTGCTGGCCCAGGCAGTCCAAATGCTCCTGGCCTTCCAGGTTCACCCTGCAAATAACAGCAATATCACTGGTAAATACTAATATTTCATATATAAAGGCTAGGATGGCTAAAAACAGTCATTACATGGAGTTAGAAACAGGAGGTCTATCCAATATCTACAGTCCTGAGTACCATTCTCCAGAGATCTGAAACTTTATGGTGTACTTTCTTTACAAACATAGAAGTAGAAAGAGACAAATTCAAAAACTGAAGCATCTCTTCATCTGCTCTCTAAATACAACCAAGTAGTAAGAAATTAGTTCCCTAAGTTGTGAACAGCTTGCACTGACTATAGTCTACAAACATGGATTCCTTGGAGACAACATAATGCATTTGTTCTTGAATAGTGACCTTGCAGTGTATAAACACATCCCATAAGCAATTCTGCAAGTACGTCACTGTCCAGTCCCAGACCATGACAGGCATGATGTGATGAAGTTGTATCAGTTCTGGAAGCAATATTGGAAAATTACCAGTTTTTCCAAAGTAGAGCAAGTGTAGCACTAAAAAGAAACGGGCTGTATGGAACACAAAAGAGTTTTTCTGCTGTATGGACCTTTGTGTGTGCCTGACCAAAAAGTCCTTCCCCAAGGTCCTTTTGTTGCCACCAAGTGACTGCCAGAAAGGGACAGCGAATGAGATGATGAAGGTCCATCATCAGGATGAAGATTGCTCTAAGGGATGGTGATCCAGCAGGGGAAAGGACATAAAGCTCTAAAACAAACTTGTCTAAGATACTGGAAAATGTGTTTGTGGTTTTACGTTTCAACTGGAGTCCTCTTACAGGCAATATTTGGTATGCTGCATCCATCCTTGAGTTAACCTGGCACTCTTCCCCTCCTCTTAGTTTTTAGAGATGCACAAGAGTCCAGGTCCTTGCTTCTGTGACCAAGACACTAATTTCTCTAAGCCTTGTCTGCAGTGGGAGCACAAGATGGTCCCCTGCACCCCTGTCATCTCCACTATCTGAGGACTCCTTGCCAGGCATAAACCAAAGGGCCAGGCTCTGCAGCTGCAGCTATTAACCAACAGGTCCCAAACCACAGGCTGCCCAGACAGCTCCCTTTCCCTCCTTAATGAATGGTAACAGAGCTGCCCCTGGAGCCTGTCAGGACGGTTAATCCATGTGACACCTGCCTGGGCTGCAAACGTGAGGGAGAATGGTGGGGCTATTAACCTCCTGACATTTGCTTCTGCTGCTCCTAAAACGGCCACACAAATCCTCCAGACATGTTCCACTCAATAGGGATTGATTTCCACTGCCTACCTTGCACTGAAAGGCAAGATTACATGAGAGGAACAAAAATGGCTTACGGCTTCTCCTTTTGCTCCATCCCTCCCAGGGGGGCCAGGTGAGCCCATGGAGCCCTGTAACAGCAACAGAGTTATCATCAGCACAGCATTAACACCCATTGCAAGTGCAGTGACACAAGCAGTGTATCAAGGCAAGAATAAGGAATAAGGAGAATCATTTCAACACAAACATTTATTATTTACAGTTTCTGGAGGAGCTGCTGCTGACAGTAACACACTAGGGACGATTGATGAGTTGCTAATGAGGAACTAGGCACTCTTGGTTACTTAACTCATTTAAAAATAAATTAATACAAAAGCTCTGGAGCTAACTAGACACATAACCATTGAGTCATCTTAATATTATCATATCATCTTCCCTCAGCCTCTCTCTTCACCATTCTATTGTCTCAAAAAATTGCATTTTTTAATTTTTTTTTTTTTTACACTTTGCTTGTATGGCATCCATGCTAAAGTTCAGAAGCTTCTAGGTGCATCTGTAATATACATAAGTAGTAAACCTAAAAGCAAACAGAAAGGAAGCCTTGAACAACTCAAGCAGTCCTCAGGAATGACCCTGGGAAGTGAGTCTCAGAAATGTGAATGTGCAAAGGTGTAGAAAACAAAGAAACAGAAAGCCAGGAACCACTTAAGTTTAAAATTTTAGCCATTTAAAATCTTTCTGTGCACTAGGATGAATGGAACTAAATATGCTGAAATTAGGGGCTCTACAACAAATGGGGACTGCAGCAAATGTGGAGAAAAGGCAAATTTGCTGCCTGCAGTTGGCAATTTAAAGAACAAAAAGAAAATGGAAAGACAATAGACAAACAACAGGCGAGTCAACATACGCAGTGAGAAACTGGCTCAGTGTTTGCTCTTCTAGGCATCCCAGCAGTTTCTTTTTAAGTGTGTCATAAAAAAAGGCTCAAATAGAAACGGTCACGGGAACTGCAAGGGTGCCACTGTGGGCTGTGATTGTACAGAGCTGGTTGTTGTTGTGTGTTACTTGGAGGGACATCTTCACTTGCAATCCTGAACATTTGCTATTTTATTTTTAGTGGAAAAGGTTTAAATTCCTAAAATTCCTCCTGCAAATTATGATTAAGGCATTTCTGACAAATATGTCCAAAGTAAATACTAGTCACCAGAGCAAGCTCAGTACAGGATTTATTTTTTTTTAAGATGATGACACAGTAGGCAGCTAAAGGCCACCACAGTCCAAAAGTTATTTACGTTCAATGCAAGAAAAGACACAATAATCTTTGGCCTTCCATGTCTCACACTGAAGAAACACTGGTGTTTCTCTATGTTGAGGTATTAGCACTGTGTTCCTATTCTGCTTCACTCTTATATTTTGGATTTTTACAAAGTTTAGTCAAAGCTGATGCCCTTGAGTTCTCCACACATTTGTCAAATGTATCTGGGCATCATCAATAGGTTTAAAGACTTAAGCTGCACTTTGATGAAAAATAATACAACAGCCCAGTCTCCTTTTCTTAGCACCTTGATAACACAAAACAAAAGACACAATACAGACACAAAACAAAAGACTTAGAGGAGGGTCAGTTTTCATTACACTTCCACGATAGCTTTATAAACTCTTAAACTTTTCAGAGTGTAATTGATAAAAACTCGGACTTACTTTTTCTCCTTTATCCCCTTTCAGCCCAGGAAAGCCAGGGAGCCCTTCTTCACCCTATAACATCAATGGAAAAAATAGCTCCTATGAAATGCCATATAATTTTGTGGTATATTTGAGTATTTTAGACAGCACAGTTGTCATCTCCTGAGAACTGAATCCATCTTCTCATCCTCGCTGTAACAATGTTGTGCTCAGTCACCTGTAACTTGCCTGTATTTGAACAGGTTCACTTTTGGTTTTCCGTTCCTGTGCATTCCTCCGACCGATCCCTCCCACCCCTCCTTTTTGTTATTACCATCCAGAAAGAGTAGTTTTCCAAGAAAAAGATTAGAGACCTATCCTGGTTAAATTGAAGTATTTGAAGCATAGTAACATTTCCCAGGGAAACTTTTCACATTTCAAAGCACAAAAATTTGAAGTCCAGCGTGGCCAATATACTAATTTGCCAAATTTCCAATGCCATGGATTTTTTTATTATTTTTTTTTTAGTTTCCAAAGGTGTGGAAATTTTTGGAAAAAGTCAAATGTAGGATTTTCTTTTTTCTCCATTTATCTGCTTCCATTGGGACAAAAGAATAAGAGCTTTTTCCCCATTTGCTTTTGTAAAAATTCGATAGTCAGAGAAATACTTTTGAAAGAACATGAAAGTGACTAAGAAGTTGATGCATAGATTTCTAATTTTCCTGTATGAAAAAAAACCCAAAACCAAGCATAAGGACTGCATACATATCAAGATAAATTCAAGCCAAATTCTGCCACATGCAGTATTATTTGTAACTTTTTTTTTGGTATGACTAGCCCAGTAGACTTAGAGGGACATATTCCTAGGGTAAGGTTCCAGTCAACAATAGACAGTGACAAAATCCAGTCTTATTTATTTATTTATAGGTGTATTTGGAATTTAAAGGCTAATAAAAGATAGCATCTGAAATGTATCTGTACTGTATATGCAAATGAAAGTAATTAGATACGTTTTTAATCACATTTCTTCCTAACTGAACCTTCATGAAGCACTCTGCCTAATTTGCAGTGCAGTAGTTGATAAAAATCAGATCTGCTATATTTGAATGGCTCCCTAATGAGACAGAAAACCCATCAAATAGCAAACGTGATTTTTAAGGAAATCATTTGCTCTAACAGGTCAATATAACTTGGAGGAACTGCTATTCCATAGAAGAGTATGTCACACAGGTAGGAGAATGATTTGTGCTTTTTCTATGCAAAACAAAGGAATATAGTTAATTAGCTTCTTCTTTTGCCTTTTATTTATTTTTTCCTCCATGAAGTACCAACTCCTTAGCAGAGCTGAACAAATTAATCCCAGCATCAGCCAATAAGTTTGAGGCACAGTGCTCACAGAAATGTTCATGCTGGGCAGGTGAGTATCCACCAGCTTTTGCAGTTCCTCCCTGAGGAGAAATTGCACCGAAGCAACCTAGGCTCTAGAGACAGGTTTAATGTCCCCTGGGGAACCACCACTGAAAAGGCTACAGCTACTGCTGCCCCTTCCACTGATTCCCCATTGAATCTTCAAGGTTGTAAAAGATCTCTAAGACCATCAAGTCCAACCATTAACGCAGCAATGCCAAGTCCACCACTGGACATGGCCCTAAGCTCCACATCTGCATGGTGTCTTGAACACTTCCAAGGACAGTGATTCCATAACTTCTCTGGGAAGTCTGCTCCAACCTGTGACCACCCTTTCAGTGAAGAAACTTTTCCTAATATCTAATCTAAACCTCCCCTGGTACAGCTTGAGGCCATTTCCTCTCATCCCATTGCTTGTTACCTGGGAGAAGAGAAGGACCCTCACCTGGCTACAACCTCCTTTCCGGGAGTTGTAGAGAGTGAGAAGGCCTCTCTCAGCCTCCTTTTTTCCAGATAAATAACCCTAGTTCCCTGGCTAGCTGCTTGGTATCACTCAGTCAGCAGGAAAACCTGCCAGGACAAGAGCAGGTAGATTCTGCAGATGCTTGAACCATAATAAAAGCACAAGAAGAGATCATGCAGCCTATGCCAAAAAGCTCATGTTCACAAAGTAAACTACAGAAGTGAGCAGTGATAGAGAGCAGGAAGCAGAGAGTCATCAGTGGTACTGTGCTGCTCAGTGCCAAAGGAGCTGTGACAGGCAGGGATGGGAAAGCAACCAACAGCTCACACTCAACTCCCAGCCAGCTGCCAAAGCCCCGCTAAGGATGATGCAGCTAGCTGAAATGAAGTCATGTTGTCACAGCAATTCATTTCATTAAGCAACTCTTCTATTTGGTTGGGTTTTTTTGAACTGACCAACTTCATGAACTGCATTGCAGAACAACCACCTTTTTGCTTGCCCACCACATTTTTTAAATCAGGTAAAATCCCAATTATTCTGCTCAGCATGCTGCTAAGGCCTAGGGAAGTGCTGGTGCACCCAAAAGGGTCTGTTCCCACCTTTAACCCCTCCAATCAGGTCAGTTGATTCAGAAAAAGAGCTCACCTCTCTCCCCAGCACTTAGGGACTGGGGAATTCTGTCAGCACATCTATCCTGGAAATTACTTTCCAGGGAAAGTTGCAGTTAGAGAATGACAGAATTGGCCAAACAAGAAATTATAGGGGCCTGAAATATTGTTCAAGAGGAGTTCTTGCTGGGGAAGTTACAGCTTCAGCAATCAGTTTCAAGAGCAAGGAAGCACATTTTCCCAAGAACTTTCCCCATCCCGGCTCATGAGTCTGCTGTCCCTCCTGACCCACTGGAAAGTCAGCCACTTGTGCTGAGTTTCACCCTCTGAGCTCTACAGCCAGTGGCCTTTAATCAAACAGTTCCATCAAAGTTAGCAGGGGAATCATCACGTTCATTAGCTCACAGGTGACAAAAGAGCCTGGATTTGGCAACTGCCATCAGATCCAAAGCAACCAGAGGACTTTCCTTGCACTGTGGCTATGAAGTGCAGTCACTCAGATGGAAGCAGAGCAGGTAGCACTGAAGTCCTGTACTGATATGGACTGTGAGCATACAGAGGTTAGGTAGCACACAAGTAGCTACATATTTCTACAAATGCCAATTTGTTTTTCATTAGTAATTCTATGTTTATTTACTTGAATTACAGCAACACCTCATTTGTTCCCTGCTTGGGTCACTCTGTTGGACACGGTATGAATAAATATTAAAGAAGAAGCATTACACTTCAAAGCTCCATTTAAAATTGCAAGCAATGTGTAAATATAAGAAAGAAATAACAGAGGTCACAGGGCAGTGAAATAGCTGCCAAGCAGACACAGTTGGCAAGTGGTCTGGGATGAAGGATCCGGGCACAACACTGAGAAAACAGGTAGGCTCTGGCAGCTGGCATTGAGCCTGGGTAACAAAAGTCCATCACATTCCTTACACCAAGGACAAACCCAGTTGTGCCACCGAGGGATTAAAATAATCCTGTATTCCCACAGAGTGGCTGCACTCCCAGCTTCAACACAATGGGAATCTTGTGGTGACATGTAAACCACACTTAGCTGTTTATGCCATGCAGTCCTACTGTCACCCATTTATTTTATGATAATCTGAAATTCAAAGGCTGTCCTCTGCTGGAGAAACATCAGGACAGAATAGGAAGGCAACAAAGACCAGGGAAATAAAAAGAAACAACAAAAGCAGAAGAGGCTACTGACAAATAGGGGAACAGACTATAGCTTCTAAAGCATCTTCCTTACAGTTTAGCCTATGTTTTCTGGAGTAGTTTTACACTTTAGTTGGGGTGACTTTTTCCTTTCTCAGTCAATAGTTTAGTGGAGAAAACTTGAATGTGTAGGTAGTGACATCTGTGAGATATTTTGCATTAGCAAATATGGCAGCCTCGCCTAGGAAGTTCTTAAAAATGGAGCATTGCAAGCTCTGAGAATGGAGCACTAAACAAGCCACTCTGAAAACTCCATTTTTCATTCCTCAAAGAACAGATAACAATTCTGCAAGAAAATTAAGAAGGTTTTTAGAGCCATACTAAAACAACAAGTTTAAGCAGAATTCAGTAAAAACTATAGAATATTGAATTTCCTTGTATTTACTTTTAAATGCAAGCATTCAAAGCCACACAATGGATAAAAAGCAAGGGGTAAACACTACTCCTGTTCTTCTAGGGGGCTCTCAGAGCAGGGCTCACATAGGCATATGGTTTCTCCAGACCGAATGGACAAAAGGATATACCATATCATGAGGAATTTCAGACCACAGGCAACTCTCGGCTGCTGCAGAGAGAATACTGGGGTGATAAAGAATAATGATACTCCCCTTAGCTTCAGCCATTAAAAATAAATATGTGATCTGGGTAAGGATAGACATACCCTTTATTAGTTTGTATATATCAGAAGAGTTATTCTGTTTCTATATTTGAGCAAGGATGTCTTCCTGACACACCAGCATCACATGGATTTACCATATCATGCCAGCTCCAGGTTAGTGATCTCTCCATACTCACCATACACACATGTAGCCTAATTTGTTGTGTATTGTGAAAAGATTCACCTCACTTGGGTTACAGTGATCTCTGCTACCCCATAGATTTTCCTGAACACTGTGTATATGGTCTGTGACCAAATTATATCTACATGTGTCGTGGTTTAACTCCAGCCATCAACCAAGCCCCACAGAGCTGCTCACTCACTCCCCCACCAGCAGGATTGGGAGAGAATCAGAAGGGTAAAAGCTGGAAAACTTGTGGGTTGAGATACAGACAGTTTAATGAGGAAAGCATAAGCTGTATACACAAACAAATCAAAACAAGGAATTCATGCACTGCTTCCCATGGGCGGGCAGGTGTTTAACCATCTCCAGGAGAGCAAGACCTCATCACATCTAACTGCTACTTGGGAAGACAAACACCATCACTCTAAATGTCCCTCCTCTTCCTCATTCTTCCCCCCACATTATATACTAAGCATGATGCCATATGGTCTGGAATATCCCTTTGGTCTGTTTGAGTCACCTGTCCTGGCTGTGCCTCCTCCCAACATTCCATGCACCCCCAATTTCCTTGCCAGCATGGCAGCACGAAAAGCAGCAAAGGCCCGGGCTCTGTGTGAGCCC